TAAGCTAGACTGACATAGCATTTTTGTAACAACCATTAAATAAAAACAAGCCATACCCCATAAATCCTTTACTATACTAGGTTACTAGGGTTTGTTGATGCAGTTTTTTATTTATTTATTTTTTTTTTGGTAAAAATTCTTTCCTGATTAAAGTCAGGTGATACACTTGTAATTCACGCCCTAACATGAGTTTGGTGAGCAATGTTGTGCTAATAGTTTACCATGTTGTTTCCAGTACAAAAACACACTAAATGGCTTAAGTGCTCATTTTTAACCAAACAATATTTTTTTAAACAATAAAAATGCACCCAAGAATATTGTAGAATAATAATTAGAACAAAAAAAAAAAAACACTTTGTCACCATTTCTTAAACATTTAAAATGTAATCAGTTGTACATATGGATACACTATATGGACAAAGGTATTGGGACACACCTCTTAATCAATGAATTCAGGTGTTTCATTCAGTCCTATTGCCACAGGTGTATAAAATCAAGCACCTAGCCATGCAGTCTGCTTTTACAAACATTTGTGAAAGAATGGGTCGCTCTAAAGAGCTTTGAGCATGGTACTGTAATAGGGAGCCACTGTTGTAACAAGTCAGAATTCCTTCCCTTCTAGATATTCCACAATCACCTGTGAATGGTATTATTGAAAAGCGGAAGCTTTTAGGAACCACAGTAACTCAGCCATGAAGTGTCAGATCACGTAAAATTACAGAACGGGTCACTAAGTGCTAAGGAGCATAGTGCATAAAAGTCCCCAACGCTCTGCTGACTCTGCAGATTTCCAAACCTCCTCTGGCATTAACGTTAGCACAAAACTGTGCACTGGGCACTTCATTGCATGGGTTTCCATGGCCAAGCAGCTACATGCAGACCTTATATCACCAAGCACATTGCCAAGCATCGGATGGAGTGGTGTGCCACTACTGGTCTCACCCCTAGACCCCTTAGTTCCAGTAAAGGGAAATCTTAATGCTTCAGCATATCAAGACATTTTGGACAATCATATGCATTCAACTTTGTGGGAACAGTTTGGGGAAGACCCTTTTCTGTCCCAGTATGACTGTGTCTCAGTGCACAAAGTATGGTCCAAAAGAGGCATGGCTCGGTAAGTTTGGTAAGAACTTGACTGGCCCGCACAGAGCCCTGACTTTAACCGCATCAAACACCTTGGGATGCTAGGACAGAGAACAGAACAGAGACTGTGAGACAGACCCTCTTGTCCAACATCAGTGTCTGACTTCACAAATGCTGTTCTGGATGAATGGACAAACGTTCCCACAGACACTCCAAAATCTTGTAGAAAGCTTCTCAGAAGAATGGAAGCTGTTATAGCTGCAAAGAGAAGACCAACTCCATACTAATGCCTATGTATTTAAAATGGAATGTAATAAAAGGTGTAGGTGTAATGTGTATGTGCCTCGATACTTTTGTCCACATAGTGTATGTAGCTGTCTCCCATCTCCATTGAGTAACAGATACATTATGTGTGTATATATAAATATATATATATATACATGCATACATATACATACATACACAGACACACACATATGTACATACATATATACAGTAGTGTTAAAAAAAATTGCATTATCATTATACATCATTATAATAACTGGAAATACTAAACATTCAATTCCAAGTCAAAACATTAACTAAATTTATCCAGTTTGTGTTAATCCTTTACAGAAAGTAAAGAAAAAGGAATATTAGGCTGTTCAAAAAAATAGCAGTGCCAGCATTTTTCTTTAAAAACTCAAAAATGTTTGAGATTTCACTTTACTTTGAATTACTGAACTAATATTTAGTGGCTTAACCATTGTTTCTGTGAACTTGACATCTATGTGGCATGGAGTCTACCAACTTCTGGCACCTCTGAACAGGTATTCCAGTCCAGGACGATTGGACTACATTCCACAGTTCTTCTGTGTTTTTGGGTTTTGTCTCAAAAACGCATTTTTGATGTCAGCCCACAAGTTCTTTATGGGATTGAGGTCAGGGGACTGGGCTGGCCACTCAATTACCTCAATCCTGTTTGTCTGTAACCAAGATGTTGTTCGCTTACTGGTGAGTTTTGGGTCAGTAGTGTTAAAACCGGGGCTTGAATTCAGTGCTTGGGGGTCATCTGCGTACTGTCTGCGGCCACTAGACCCAAAAAGAACAATTTTGCTTTCATCAGTCCACAAAATATTGTGCCATTTCTATTTGGGCCAGTCAATGTGTTCCTTGGCAAATTTGAACCTATTCAGGACATGTCTTCTATTCAACAATGGGACTTTGCAAGGAGTTCTTGCTGGTAACTTGGCCTCACTTAATCGTCTTCTGATTGAGGCAGTACTCACTGGTAACTTCAGATCTTCTTTGATCTTTCTGGAGGTGATCATTGGCTGAGCCTTTGCTATTTTGGCTATTCTTCGATCAATTCGAACAGTAGTTCCCAGCTTCCTTCCGTGTCTTTCAGGTTTTGGTTGCCACTTCAAGGCATTTGAGATCATTTTAGCTGAGCAGCCTATAATTTGCTGCACTTCTCTATTTGTTTTTCCCTCTCCAATCAACTTTTTAATCAAAGTATGTTATTCATCAGGACAATGTCTGGAGCGACCCATTTTCCCCAGTATTTCAGAAGGAAGTGCACTTTAACAAAAATGTGCAACATTTGCCACCTTCCTACCTTCAATAAGGGCCAAAATTGACACCTGTTGTTCCACAGAATAAATGACATCAATTGAACTCCCCACTGCTATTATTTTTAACAAGGCCATTTCAATTAATGATTCAATTACTCAGAATGAGCAGCATGCATGTCCTAATTGTTGAGTCTGTTTTTTTTCTATTACTCAACCACACTTACAAGTAAATTATTTGCTATGTGTAAATATCACTTCTACCAAAAACAGTAATTTGTCAGGCTAATGATGTTGGCCTAGGTTTTTTACCACGACTGTATACAAACACACCCAACGAAACATTTTAAAATGTTCCATATTTTTATTCAAGGTATTCTTTTTCTTTTTAGGATAGAAAAATGTAGATGTCCCAACCTTAAACATTATACTTACTGTGTGAACAAACATAGTATTGTAACAGCCATAATGTTTATAATGTCACCACACATGCATTTCCAGCTACAGGTGGGTAAAACACAGTTTTTCCATTCTTATTTGTTTGTCACACACACCCACCCCCAAAAAATGAAATGAAGCACAGCAATTCTCTCTACTGATGTGGTTTTATTTCTGCTTACAGTACATTCTACAGATGCACGTGTGTTACATCACCTTGAAACAACATGGTACTTTAATGCCGCCTCTTAAAAACGATATTGGTCCTAAAAATATAGAAAGGAACAAATTTAAAGTCACAAAAACTGTACATTATTAAAAATTCACTAAACACCACATTTGCTTGTACATTTTAGTACTTTCTTTTCTTCCCACTCTTAGAAAAAAAAAAAAACATCCCTTTTGTGTTGCCATGAACACTGTGAAATATGCACGTTCTGGTATAGGACAAGTTCAGTGTAAGAAACTACATTAACACAAAGAAGTCTACTCTTGCCATCTCATGTTTTCTTAAGAAGAAACCATGCTGCTATAGCCTCAGTGCTGTATTAACCGCTGTCTAGTTACAGTCAACAGAAAACCTTCATTGAATTGTGAAAAAAGTAATACAACCATTTCCATTAGACTAGCTTTATCTAGAATCTTTTACTGTTAGGTCTTCAGGCATATGGAAAGCAAACAATGGCTAACAATTAAAAACCTAGCCGTCAATACATGTTAGCCATATTAAAAAGCTGAATGCTGAGGTGTGAACACTTGTTTTTTCTCTGCTAGTAACAGTAATAATGAGACCAGAAAGGGGCCAATGTCCTAAGGTACAAGAAATTAATCTTTCAGAGAATGAGTCTTGAAGATCCAGGTTTTAAAACACACCCAGGTCCACACTTCGTAACACAGTCATCAAATATCCTACTCATATCCACGGATGTTGAGGTGATTAAAAATGTCAGAAAATGTTCTGATCCACTTCTTTCAATGAAGAACGAGTGTCTGTAAATACGTTATCTATAGTCTGCGCTCCAAATGCATACACATAACCTTTGCACTTACAACAATAATCAGTCTGTCTAGTACTTTTCCCATACACTATTCATACAGAGGCAAAAAGGTCTTAAAACTGCTACACCAAGCTAGCGGAGGTTCCAAAAACAGAAAAACAATTTATGAAGGGGGGAAAAAAAAAACAAAAAAAAAACAAAAGGCGGCCATTGTCTTTCAGGGCTGTCAAAACATGTTCTGCTGTTGTTGCCAAGACACCTTGTTTTTTTTCCTGACAAAAAGAATGGGATAAACTGATTAAAAGGTAAAAAGGGGAGGGGGGTTGAAAATGGTACAACTCATCCAGGAGGCAAGACCAAAGCTTTACAACAAGCAAGGAGAGAGGTTGGGAAAGTACAGGATATAGAATATCATAGAGAATAAATGTTCCTTGACTTTTACTGGCCTTTTCATGAGTCATCTACACATCTCTAAGATGTGATCTGTACACTTTCACTACAGGCTATTGCTATTAAATAATCCCAGCTATTCAGTTTTTTTTTTTTAGGTGTTTTTAGTATATAGGAGTATATAATAAAATATATTGAGAGAAAAAAAAAAACATTTTTCTAGACCTGATAAAACACTACATTAATATGGTCAACCAAGCGGACATAGCCTGCAAGATGAAAATGAAGCATGACGCTTTGTGGGAAAACTTGCTATGCTCATGTTCCGATAGATGTCCAAGCAGGCCCTGTCAGTAGCATTACATTTACTATGGCTGAACCAACAAATGATAAAAAGTTTGAATCACTTCACATGAGTATATCAAGCAAAAGTCCCACCTCCTTAAGAAAGGGGACCAACAACTGGTATGATGTGAAACTGTTAACTGCTGAAATTAATAACTAAAAAAAAAAAAACACACACACACACACACACACACACACACACACACACACACACACACACACACACACACACACACACAAAACACCTGGATTTAAAAAATAGGAACTTGTGTTTTACGCCCAAGCAACAATATTGGAAAAAAAATATAACAGGAGAGGGCGAAAGAAAAAGGACAGACTGGACTCAAAATGAACAGAACAAATCTATACATGTATCTACACATATGTATACAGAGGACTGGAGAAGTCTTCAGAATCAGTCCTGGTAGTCATGAGCAACAAGGGGTAGGGTGTGGCATTCATATCCTTTCCAATATCAGCCCCACAGCAGGACCCTATTTGTCACTGTTCGAATAAAACTCTGCCCAGCGGCTCTCGAAAAAGCGCCTCATGGAATGCCCGGCCTTGCCCACCTCTGATGAATCCTCATTAAAGAGCTCACAATTGTTGAAGACCAGTTGGGCATCTGCAGCAAACTCCTCACAACTACAATACCTGCAGCACAAGACAAATGTGTTTATTAAGCAGGTGCTCATAGCAAAAATAATACATTCCTAACAGACACTAAGCATCAGGACAGGTAATCAGCACATATATCATGGTATAATATACAACATCAGTAAGATACATATTACAACACAGATCTGATCAGTTTGAGTGCAGCACCAAGAAAGGTTTAAAAAAATAAAAAATAAAAAAATAACAGCATTAGAGCACTCAAAGATACAATTCAAAATCTTTAAAGTTTTTTCAATTCTAATCTAATGGACATTGTTAAGCGCACATACAAAACACTCTTACCCTCCTTGTAAAAGCCTTTCACGCATTGTTAGAAAGTCCATAGGGTTTTTAATAATCCGTCGGTATCCAGGCACAAGTCGGGGGTTGACCGGCTCCAGGAAGGGCCAGGCATCTGCATGGGCCTCCATCTCCATTAGAATGATCCTGAAAAATCACAGAAACCTTTATCACCAAGTGGTTTAAAGAATTCAGATTAAATTGGAGAAATTCAATTGCCAATATTAGTTAATGGATATTCTCTATCCATATGCAAATGTTCTGATATCAGTCTTAAAGACACAGTAAGAAAAACAGCCAGTTTAATTCCAGGGAAAGTAGTGTAGTGTAACAGTGTAATGCATGACACTTTAAATTCTCATAATCACATTACAGTTGCTGACTTAAGAATTGCACTGCTTGCATTATTTATATCTAATAAAGTATCACGTGATATTACAAAGTTACAAAAATTTCTCTACATATTAATTCTCCATGTCTGACCTTATCCATTTTTAATCATAAAGAGCTCTGCAAGCTTTTTGAACTTAATCTACTGGCTAGTTTCTGCGTTTTCAAACAGCATTAGGCATTTATATACTTTATCGAGCATAACTGGCTATGTCTTACTCAGAAAGAAGGCAGAGAAAGGGACATGCCTTTTAAATGTTTCCTGCGGTTGTCTACAGTTTGAGAGAAGTAATTAATTATTTTTTAAATATTACTTTGAGTAACTACCCCAAAACTCAAATTCTAAGAAAAAAAATGTTAGAAAATGCTCATGTGAAAAAGAGGTACAACTGTTCTCACTATAGAAAAATGGACCAGAAAATGTAGAATAGGGGCCTTTTAAAATGTAAGAGCTCAAACACACTCGCAGTATGTGAGGTCAGGCTGGTTCCTTGTAGCCATGCGTCTGCGTTTAGCGAGTGATTGACTTGTCCCACTAGAGGGAGTTTGGACATCTTTCTGTCGGGTACTCATGCTCCGCTTATGCCCATCCTCATCATCAGAACTTTCCGCTCCATAAGCAAAGCGTCGTTTTCGTGCCTTTGACCTCTGCCTCGCTGATCGCTGTGGCCGCGAACCTTCACCAATTCCCTGAAAAGCCACATGTGCAAATACGCAAATTGCATGAATAAAAATACTACAAGTGCACCAAGCCCAAATAAATAAATAAAATAAAAAGAATTGAAGCAAAGACACTGTGAAACATAGCGTTATTTAGAAAAGGGTTTGAGTTTCATGCCAGTCAGCCTGACCTTAGAAATGCAGGTGGGACAGAACCAGTCTCCATCCGGCACCTCAGTAACCTTTGGCCTCAGGCAGAACATGTGCCATCCGCGATCACAGCCGTCACACAGCAGCAGACACTCATCATTATCACCTTTCCGACACATCTGGCATGTCTGTAGACACACACAGCCCTCAGTACACAATACACTCAGAACCTCACAAAAAAACTCAAAAATAATTCAGCACCATATAAAAACAGTTTACTAGTCTGAGACACTGTTTGGGACTCTGAGATAATTGCTTGGTCAAAATAAAGTTCAAGCACTTTTGAAAATTTTAAATGTAATAACCAAAGGGAAAAAAACTTGATTTTATTGTCTACTTCATTTGCATATTCAGGTGTTATAAATCTGAATCACATCAAAATAATAAATAATAATAATAAAAAATAATAAATTTGAGACTTGTTTTGATTAATCATTTCTTCAAGAATCATGTTTCAGTGGAATTACTAGGTCAGAGATTTATACCTCTTGACTATGAACCCAAAAATGCTAAATCTAACCAAAACACAAAAAGGTTTTGACTCAGCTGGACTCCTCCCATGTCCCACATAGTTAAAGAAAGTAGTGCTTGGTTAATGAGTAAACTGCTGCCAACAGATTACTGAAAGTAATCCCCCCAGGACAATGTGTTCTCACCACTTTGACAATGGATTTCTCCCAGGCAATTGCCCTCTCCAGCTGCAGTAGACACAGGGCGAGCTGAGATGCACTACGGCAGCGGTCCAGGGCTTGCCTCCATGTCCTCAGCCGAGGCGTGATCTCACTCTCCAGGCTACAAGCGCACACACACACACATTAATTAATTTATAGAAGAACTTGCAAGCATCACCACTTGACATATACACAGGTCTAAACTCCTCAGTAACAATACATTTGGGAACTCAAGTTGTCTAAAAATTGCAGGTGGTGGTTGGCATTATTGCCAAAGTTGTAGTTTTGTTCAGTTTTGCAGCTTTTGCAAAGAAAAAAGCCCATATCTAAATAGCTTTCTAGCTAACGTTCTTGCAAATCAACTTACTCACTTATAACTATTTTGAAAATCGACGTGTCCTCAAATGTTTAACGAGCAGTGGTTCAAATAAAAACTCCCAAAATACGTGGAGCTTTATGCATGAATTTGACTGACCTGACTGCATCCACTGGCATCTCCTCTCCGCCGGGTGGAGGTGTAAGTGGGGCCAAGCGCACCACCTCAGACAGGTTCCACAGTGGATCCTTGAGGTAGCGGCGCTCAATGTTCCTTTCCAGGTTGGTCAGCCGCAGAACAGCTAAGTCCAGTGGATTGGAGGGCACACGTAGCAGGTCTGACCATTCCTTCTTGATTTTCACTATCCAGTCGTCCCTAGGGTCTACCTCATGCTCATAATACTGCAGATCGTCTCGAGTGGAGTCTGGCTCTGGCGGGGTGTACATCTATCCCAAGGAAGAAGAGAAGGAAAAAGGAAAAAGGAGATAAAGAATAATTTATATGACTCCTAGCTAAAAGCATGGATGCACAATGTTACCAATAAAATGTGCAAATTACTTATAAAAGAAATTAATTACTAATGACCAACCACACTACTTTAAGTAGACTGACCAAACACAGGTGCACTTTGTATGTTTGGAACACTTACTGTAGTGCTTAACTGACTTTTTGGTGTACCACTCTCAGCTTAGTCTAAATATCAACATGGTAGTGGCATGTTCAGGAGTGTATCAGGCACAGGAGTGCTTCTGGGGTTTTTAAACACTGTATACTTATATGGCACTTAAGACTATTGCCCATCGTTTTCCCTTCACAGTTTATGATAGCCATGCTTTAGCTCTTCATCAGTGGTTATTTTCTGACCACAGGAGCACTCTTGACTGGATGTTTTTGGTTGGTGAAATATTCTCAACTCAACAGTGACCATAAGGTGTGTAAAAAAACTCAGTAACACTGCTGTGTCTGATAGACTTGATCTAATGCAACACATACTAACATGCCACTACCGTTTCTGACGTAAGAATGGTCCACCACCTAAATAATATCTGGTGGTCCTGTAGTGCTGCCTTTGTATCAATGTATATGGTAGAGGTTGGCTTACAAATTATGCAGCAACAAATACGTTTCAGTCAGTAACTATATTTACAAAGCACACCAGTGTGGTATCCAAGCACAGTTCTGTGCAAAAGTCAGTGACCACCCTTCCATAATTTCATCTCAAAACAGCCATTAAGTATAAAATACTCATTTTTCCAAGAGACATTTGAGAAAATTAAATCCAACAACTCATCTGCATAGAGAAGGACAAAAACAAAGGAAAATAAGTAAAAAAAAAAAAAACAGCAGTTTCCAAAATCTGGGCCCAAAAAAGGCAAAAAGAACAGGGACTTCAAACAACCACTCAAGACTTGGTAGGTCTGTCCTTTTACTGTGAGAAGACAATTCAACACTATGGGTCTAAAAGGATGTGAAGCTGTCAAGCTGTTGTTACTGAGAAAAGGAAAGAGACAAAAGAAAATTTCCAAACCAAACAAAGAAACTGCTAGCGCTCTCAAAACAATGAACTAGAAACCAGACTTCAACACTACTGAACGCGTTTGGGATTACTCGGTTTATGAGAAGCAGAAAATGCAAAAGCAACTTTTAGGACTGAACTTTGGAGGAGTGGAAAAATATCCTTGCAGAATTCTTTGAAAAACTAAAAGCAAGTCTCCTGAAAAGAAAATAATTCTGTTTCAACTAGTTATTGAGGCTTCTGTGTAATTTTCTGTTAAACATGCTTTCTGCTTTTTTATGGCTCTGGAAAATAAATAACTTGTACTTAGCGGCAGTTTTGACTAGAAATTGAATGGTGGTCTCAATGTAAATATACCTAATATACAAACATGGCAAGCATATTTTTATGTATCGTTACAGGTGCCCCCTTATTGAAGCCGTAATATTTAAGACTGCAAAAGGAACAGAGAGGACCCCTGAATAAAATAAATAATCCTAAAAAGAATGGCGCCAAAGGTGCAACTGGTGGAGTTCTGAGTGGTTTGTTTTTAAGTTAGAAAAAGATGAAGAGGAATGGGTTAGGAGGGGAGCAAGTCTGTACTACAGGAGTTGAACACCGGGTTAAAGAAAGAGGAAATGTGTTTCCTGTATAAGCACCTTATGGGAGGTTAGAACCGAGACTCAACCAGCATGGCAGTTTGAATGTTCTATTTAAAAGAAAGTTTGCCACTACCAGTCAATTTTCCCCAATACAATCCTGATGCATTCATAAAAATTCTATGATGTCCAAGCAATTATCACATAATCTTGGTGATTCTCTGGTAGAATTGCTGAGCAACTTCAAGTTTGGTAAAGGAGCTTATCTGTCATGATGGTTAGAGCCTCGCATGAACCCCTCCTGCCCAGACTGCCATGTTGCCATACCTGAAATCCTGCAGCTGATGATTCGGCGGCACTCTCAGTGTCGCTCAGTCCACTTGGGGTAGCCATCTTTGAATATAAAGTGTGGACATTATGATGCAATGGCTATGCTTAAAGGACCCCCAGCCTGTACATGCAGCCAGACTGCTTGCACAGAGCTCCCCCTGTTGTTCATTCAGCTTAGAATTGGCCATGAATGATTCAATGCATTAAGACCACAACAGGCCCATTTTATATTTATTTTATATAACAGAAATCAATCAAATGGGGAGGGGAAATTATAAATAAAAATAAATAAATCAAAGCATGTACTACAGTGGAAAAAACAAATCACTGACAGAGATGTTTTTATTAAAGGGGTCTGGGGAAAATGTCCTCGCATGTACTAGCAATTTGCAGTAAGGCTTGCACAGTCCAGCTTATTATTCATTGAGTGAAACAAAGTAAGCAACAGCGTGAACAAAAATGGAGCCCATGTTAATATTTAATATAAGTTTGATGAGCAAAGGTCTCATCAAACTCTCTTTAAATTCAATCCTGTTCTATCTCACCTTGAGCTGCAGATCAGCACCCAGCACCCTTTGCTCCAGGTCCTCCACCCACTGTAGAACACTGATGTCAATCTGCATTGCCAGCTCCTGTGCCACCCATGGCTTCTGTGTTGCCTCCAGCAAGCCTCCATCCTCCTTCTGCTGGAATATGGGGTCTGACAGAGGCAGAAACAGGAGGGGAAAAAAATAGTGTGAGAATATGGTAAACAAAAAACAAACTATTAAAAACAGGGTCATTTACTTGTATGTAACTTTAACATCACAAAATTCAAAAGTTTAGTACTTCCACTTTGATATGAAAATTGGGTGACCAATGCAGATTTTGAGGAGCTAAAAATTCTGCTAACCGATTAGATTTGCAACAGAAGATGGATGAATAATTAAACAAAACAAACTGAAATTAAACAGCAACTAATCAATATTTGCCAATACTGTTGGCCAGCTAACATATCAGTCAGGTCCTACTCGATACATAACCTAGTGCTTGGCTTTTTAGGGATGACTCACCAGTCAGTGGCCGTGTACAGAACTCCACCAAGAACTCCATATGCTTGGTGAGGTGTTTGTGGAGAACCTTCTCTCTGATACCGCGGGGATGGAGAGCGCTCAAAATGGCCGTCAGCTCCTCAGGCTCTCTGATCCACCACCAGCCTTTCACCATCGCTAGAGAAGGTAAGAGAATGTGTTAACGCCTAGAATTCATGTTCTGGAAGATCATCAATTGCAGCATGATGGTAGTTTAATTAGCAAGAAAATGGGACAAGACAACACACTTCCTATTAAGCACTATTTATTTAGCCATCTACTCATCTGGATGATACAAGCCAAGCCACATTTGCACATTGTGTAACTGACTTTTCCTGAATCCTGTCTCATGGGTCAAAGGTATGCAGGTTATAGATCTATTATCTATGCATCATCTGATTAGTACAAAACACCAATCTCACACACAATTTTTCCAGTGCAAAGTCTGTCATTGACAAATAAATAAAAACAGACTGACCAAGTGGAATGGGCTTGACCACAAGCTGAGTGAAGTACTTCTGTTCCATCTCCTGGAAGAGAGAGGATGGTGGCCTGCCCCTGCGCTTCGCTGCCCCAGACCGAGAGTGCCCCCGGCCAGCACCACTGCCCCTCCTGCGCCTCCTCCCAGGCCTGGGAGCTGGAGTGGAGCACACCTGAGGAGGCGGAATCACAGCCTGCAACAACACCAAGTTCACAGTAAACAATATGAAATAATTACAACATACAAGACATACAAATAATTGCATTATTTCTGGACATCTGGTTTCTGTCTGGTTACCATTTACAATACGGCTCAAGGTCTTTCGGCGTAACATCAAGAGAAGGAGAACAGAAGGAATCTCTAATCAAAACAAGCTATGTCAAGTTCATAAGACATTCTTTTAGAATAAACTAAGTGTACTTACAATTGACAGAGCCATTAGCTGCATCAGAAACACGTTTTAATAAACTTCAATAAGCATTTGTTTTACCTTAATCAGAATGAAACCTAACTTGCCTGTTTCATGTATTTCAATTATAAATTCCATTATTACTGTTAGGTAGACCTTTTGGAACTGACCTGTAGGAGTGGTCCAAAGAGGGGTGCGGCACTCAGGGGAAGAGGTGCAGTAATCAGGGGAATGGGTGTGTCTTTAGTGGGAGACACAGAGGTAGATAAGGGTGCACATGGCTGGGACAGAGATGCCTCGTCACATGGCTCCTTGGGCAACAGGTTGAACCACTGCCCTCTCTTCTCTGCCAGCTCTTTCATACCATCCTCTGGTTGGCTGCCATCCTCGCCCTGCCCAGCCCCAGATGGTAAGACTGATGTGTCAGCTGTCATGGAGCCCTGGGACTGGCTGAGCCACGTCTGGAAGGCTGACTGGGTCAGATCCTGCACTGTGGCATCAGGCCGTATCCCAATTACTGAATCTTCACCACCTGATCTGCTGCTGCGCCGGCGCCTGCGGTTCTTAGCAGCACGTAGATGGAGCTCTACTTCTGGTTTAATTTTGCGGGGTCGGCCGCGCCCTCGGGGGCTGCTCATTAGGGAAGCCTCACCTGGAAGAGGGTCCACCTCTGGGGAGAGACTAGAAGAAGAGGGAGGTAATGGATGGGAAAGAGGGGAAGATGGGAGGGGGATTTTGGTCACGTTGGGCACAGGAGATACAGGCGGCTCCTCTTTGACCTCCGTCTTCACAGGGGAGACAAATTCTTTCTTTACTGCTGTTACTGGCACATCCTTCACCAGAACATCATCTGATGCTGCAAAGAAAATAGGAGAGAATGAGTCCAAACAAACATGTCACTTACTCATGAAGACATTTATACACTGAAAATGCCAACACTGAGAAATGTATTTTCCTGCATAAGATCTCTTGCAAATATCACTGTTTGCACGTTTAGGGTAGTTGTACAAGCAAAATACACATAGTACATAGCGATTAGTGATTGCCGTTCCCTGGTATAAGCAGTACTAGCACCAAGATGATTTTTAAATTTGAATACAAAAATGAGATGCTGTTCAATTTATCTGTATCAATGAGTATGTCACTATATAAATGGGGTGCATACACCATAAACAAATGTCATAGGTTTTAAAAAGACAAATCCGCTGATAATATGTTTGAGTTATGAGGGGAAAACAAGCAACAAACTACAAAAGTAATAAGCACACAAAAAGAAAAAGCAAACAAACAAACAAACAAACAAACAAGAAACACACTATATATTTGCCAATATAAATACCAAAACTGATTATGCTGTCTCAGGATACAGATTTGAACATATCGCTAAGATTTTGATAAGGCCAAAAGGAGAACACCAAACAGCACTGCCCCAGGACAGCAGAGCCATTTTTTGTAATGGTCAACACATCAACAGTAATTAATGTGTGTCACACGCACACACTTATTTTATTTAACTTTATGAATAGTGGAACATGTTGCATATTGTGATGTAGATTTCTGTTTATACTGCCCAGACTTCTGGTCCACGCAGCCCCACCATGTGGTGTCCCTCTGTTCAAGAACATTTATGGTATCAGCCAAGATCAACAGTCTGTCTGCTTTTAAAGATCATTATCTTCCAAATTTTGCTCTCAATGACTCCTACCTAAGGGCTTGCTTCAGCCACTCATAAAAACACCCAAGTTAAGAGTGACTAGAATATTAGAAACAGGAGACTCACCCAAGATCTCTTCCGGCCCTTCAACCAGCAAACCGCCAATATGAGGCAACAGCCAGTATCTGCGCCGGTAACGATCCTGCCCCAGAGACATTGCCCGCATGCAATGCGATGACTGCAACAGCTTCTTACGGAAAAACACCTGGCGCTGCAAAACAGGATTATTACATGGAATCTCAATCATGCTTCTTTCTTTAATTGAAGTCTTTAATTTAAATAAGCCATTAATTTTATTGAGAATCCAGTACGTATTTTTGTTCTGTTTCAGCTGAACATCTGTAGCCAGACAATCAAGAGCTCCTCCCATTGCTGATGGCTGGGTTATGGTATGTTATTCTCAAAGAATGAGTTGAAGACACACCCTAGTCCAAACCGTTTTATTTCTTGCAAATGGAAATGAAAGTATTTGTGTGGAAGTCTTACCTTGGTTAGCTTATCAATCTGTCGCTCCAGTTCAGGAATACTTGCACTGTTTGGACTTTCAGCCTGTAAGGAATTATAAAATAGTCTTAATCACAAACATTGTACTACTGCACCAGATTCTTTACTGCTTGTGGGAAATTACAAGGAGAGCAATTAGGCTGAAACCTGGCAGTGCACTTATAACACTTATAATCACCACATCCAGTGATGACAGTGACTGCATAAACTCCCATTTAAGTTTGCATCGGTGTAGGTTTTGATAAAATGACACAAACGAGTAATTAAATATTCTGGAACGGGTATCCATATTGTGGTCCACAGTAGACTGTGGAGACACCTGATTAACTTTTTAGTCTACCAGCTGACATTTAATTAGAAAAAAAAAAAATTATCACTTGTATTTTGTTCTATTTCAGCATGCTGGCTCAAAACATCTAAACATACCTGGATAACAAATCCTTCCCTTTGTGTTCACTACAAAAATACCCCTTAACCTTACAATGCATAAGGAGAATCAGAAACTAAGGCTAAAAAGTCTAAGAAACATCATCCTATACCTCGCTGAGTTTTGGCTCTTCTTTGGGCCGGCGTCGGCTGCCCCTTTCCAGCAGGCTATTCTCCTCCAGACTCTCCTCTTCAGCCACTCCAACACGGGCACTGCGCCTCCGCTCCTCAAAACATAGCTCCTCTTCAGAGCGGCCTGTCTTCCGCGCTAAAGCAGCCTTCAGTCTGACACACAGAAACATTCAAGTGTGTATTGGAGCAGACATGTTGAGATTTGACTCTCAGGAGAAAAACTCATCTGACAAGCAGCTTTGATTAATGTCTTACTTGCGCAGCTTGCCCTCAATAATCCACTTGTTCTTCCTGTAGGTAGTCATGTTCTCCAGTGTGTTGTCAATCTCCCTGAACATTCAAAACAAGGCAATTAATTACAAATATCGCCCAATTAATTCTAGTGAAGCAACTGTTCTGCCTTTCTAACTGTATCAGTCATTACTTTTCTACCGTAATTTTTGCTGCAACTATTAATACTAAATGGTTGAAACTAGGGTTACATGATATGGACAAAATACCATATAGTGATTACATAGCTACATATTATTGCAATATACCATACAACATAATGAAAAGCACTGGTGAGCCCTTTACATGACATGGTTAGAGACTGTCCTGCAGCATTTTTAACAAAAATTACTTTGATTTGTTGGATCATGTGAGTGCCTTAATTCATCAAAACACCCATATCCAAAACATCTGAAGTTGGTACTTTACATAACAATTTTAAAACATAATAATACTGATCTCTTAGAGGGTTATTTGCATACTACAGTTTTGTGGAAATATATATAAAATACTGTAAAAAAAAATAACTGTGACAAACTAAATATTACACATCACTAGTGCTAACAAACCTGCCAGCCTAAAGCCTGTGAACAGGAAATATAATTACCTGATGACTATGTTGCTAGCGTTAAGCTCCTCCACAAGAAAGGCCAGGATAGCAGCTTTGACATCAGGGCACAGAGTCTGGAAGCTTTTAGTGCGGAGGATGTTGCACACCTCCAGCTCAAAGCCACGAGATTCCAGAAAGATCCGGAGCACCTCAGAAACCGTGCTGTGGCTCAACTCCAGATCCACCAGCTTTTCACCCAGGATTTTTACCGACTAGAAAACAAGAGAGGAAGGGAGGGGAAAAGAGGGCGGAAGCCAGAATAACATACATTATCAAAATAGCCATTAACCATAGCAACATAAAGCACTATCAAATACCTACTATGAGAGGCAAAAAGTAACTATCAAAATGAAAAAAGTGAAACTTCCAGCTCATTTTAGCAGTGTGTTCCCAAAAGATCACTAAGCCTACAAGATTCACACAGTAAATTTCACCTGGAATGCCCCTTTTTACTGTTGATGTATAAACAAACTCCCTCCATTGCACTCAGTACACAATCATCTCTTACTAAGAGTAATCTACTCAAGTCTATATGTTGACAAAATTGAAAGCTTGTCTCCAAAATCTACTTCAGGTTTCTGTTAGTGTAATCCAACTGATATTTACCAAGACAAATCTAGGATAGATTACTCATAATTCACAAAAAAAAGCTGCATTGCCTTAACAGTTCATGAGTAATATAAGATTAGTACTTTTTGTTTCTGCATACACCAATTACAATAAAGTATGTTGCAGTGATAAAAAGATAAGGACACCTCACACTAACAAGCTCATTCACGTAAGAAAAGTTTTTATATTCCGTGCCTGAATCTAATAGAAGAAACCAAAAATGCATCACCCTTCGATACACTCCACAAACAATGTTATGGAAAACATCAGACTCACCTGGTAGTATGATGGCAGTCCGGGATCAATCAATGCAGCCTCCACCAGTTTTACTAACAGATCCAGGACTTCAGTCTGGCTATTGTCAATGCCCAAAAGACCCTCCTGCAGGGTGGCCAGGCTGGGGATGTCCTTAGGCACTTGGAGACCCAACACCTTGCCATAGCTATGCAGAAACTCCACGACTGTGATACAGTGGGAAAAGGCCACACCTGACAGCACGAGTCCAGGGATACAAGACAACTCTGGTAGAGGCTTTAGAAACAAGAGAACAGAAAATAGTGATCTGAAAGCACAATTCAAATAAATACATGACAAATCTTGTAACAAATTACTCTCATCCCCAATATTTTAAGATATTTTTTCAATGTGCAATAAGCATCACAATGTTTTGAGGTTTCTTAGGCTTGATAACAATGCATTGGTAGGGTGAACTTCATGAATCTTGAATTCATGATCTCCTGGTAACAGGACTAAACCTCAGACAGCCATGCCACGTAGAAGCTTCTCCTTAGAGCTGGGCGATATGGCCAAAAATGTTATCACGATAAACAAAATTCATATCGTTCGATATCGATACATACCGCGATAAATGTTAAATCATTATTCCTTTCAAGTTTGAAGGCTGATTTTTGCTCCTGGGTGGTTAATTGCTGTTTTAAACTATCCTTTATAGTCGGAACACGACAAACACTCGCCAAACAGTGGAACATTTCACAAATCTGTCATGGGAGAGTGGGAGAAAGTGTCTGGTGAGCTGTTTTTACCAGCTGGAAAAGCATGGCTATTTTGTAAGAGTCATAATTTAAGAAAGAAAACTTTTTTTTTTTATTTTTAGCTCGTGACGAGTGCTCGGCTACCCCGTTACAAATGACATTGTAGTAGTTTAAGTGGTGAACCGCAAAATGTCTAACACCAGACAAACAGAGTCCTCTTGTTAGGTACGTTTAAACAGAAAGCAGTGCTTTTGTTTTGTGTTTGATCCACAGTATCATCAATTCTCCGTGTTGTGGAGTGACGGAGCGCTGCTTCAAGTTAGCCAGCTGCTAAAAGCAGCTAGCCCGGAAAGACAGCGCTCTCCCGCTCTCCAATGCTGCACAGTTTCCCCAGTTTAAATCAGGGCTGTAATTTACATGAGCCCACTTCTTTCTTTCACTTTTGTTGCTTGGGAATGCACTAATACTTAAATATGACTGTTCGAGCGCTGTAACAGCGCTTTAGTTGCGAGGATTGTGATTTAACGCTGCTAAAGCTGGTTAGGATGTTAGGAAAGAGGTGAGTTCCCTGTAGGACAGTATAGTTACACCACTGACCTCGTCACTCACACTCGGTCACAGAAGAACAGATCGCCGGTCGCTCCACTCAAACAGAGAGAGAATGTATAACTCCGTGTTTCAGCCGTTGCTTAAGACTCATCTTACTCGTGGCCCCCTCCCTCTCTAATCATGTAGAAAAACTCGGAGGTGCGCCCTCTCCTGGCCACAGCAGAGTAGTGTTGCTTTCCTTGCAGTAGAAAACGCCACCAAGGCTTTCGCTGAACGTGGAAGTGTGAGAATGGTGTATTATATCGAACATTTATCGAAAATGTCTATCGCTCTATCAAGGAAAAGTTATATCGCAATAATCGTCATTGTTTTATCGCCCAGCCCTACTTCTCCTAAACAACTTTTTAATTAAACATGCAGTTGGTCAGGTCTTTAAGTGCTGACAAAACTCAGAAAAGCTTATGGCTGCATATCTTAACCTATACCTATATTAATTTGTCACATTGTCCACCCTACTCTGAAACATGGTGTTGTAGCTCAACTATAGCTCATGGAAATTTGCATACAGAATAACGTTGTAAATGCTCTCTTATGCAACAGTGGTTCTTTTTACAGTCCCATACCCCTTCAGACATTAAAACCCCCAACTGCATAGCCCCGCTCACTCCTTATGCATACACGTGCACATATTACCATGATGCATATTTAAAATGGTCTTACAAAATCAGGTCACCCTGAAAAGACCAAACATGTTTATGATGTGATGACATTTTACACCAGATATACTGGATAAATTCTGTTATTCACAAGTGCACAGTGGTCTATATGAGGGCACATTATGCACACATGAGAAAGTCTGTGGCTGTAAAAAGAGCACCAACAAAAATGTTCACTAATGTGCATCAAATCACATTCAGCATAGTAACAGCATCCGTTTAGTACTGACAGCTCAAAAATCAGCTCTAGGAACACACACACAGCATCTGCAAACTAACACCTCACTAGATCCACGAGGCAAACCATGTCTGTGAAAGTGAAACTGAAACTAAAACTAAATCGAGTACACAATTAACAAGGAGTATATGGGTCTTAACAACAGTTAGTAAATGATTCTTTCTTCACCTCAACAACAGCACAGATAAAAGTTAGCTTCTGCAGAGGCCACTGTATGCATAAGAAACTGAAAACCTAATAACAGCAAAATACCTATTAGAGCACAAGTGTGTCACATGCTGAATGTTATAAATATTGTAAGCACTCATCACTCACGCATATATGCCAGAGCCGCTATCTAAAAAAAGTCGACACTGGCTTTAGATTAAACTTAAATGTTCAAAATTCAGCTTGTAGCAGTCTCAGTGAGATTCTCTTGTTCAGCAGCCGGTGATCGAATTGTTGTGTCTGTATCGAGAAAGGACCTGTGTAATTGCCTGGCTGGCTAAATGAATGAAATGAAGAAGTGTGAAGTGTAAACGTCAACAGTTTACCAGTTTTAGAACAAAACTTCAACCTGGTAAATAGGTTGCACAGTAACCTATTTAAACACAGTGTTCTGACATCTTAGTATACTCACAATACACACTGTGACAAGCTAACATATTTCAGGTCGTCCACTTACTGTGTGGTCAGTGAGGCACATGTCCTCAGCGGGTTTCTTCAGCTCCTCTAGGATCAACTGCTGCCTCTTCCTCTCCTCCAACCGTTTTTGCGCCTGTGCCCGCCTCTCTGCTTGCCTCTTAGCTGCCAGCACAGCCTGTGCTTGGGCCTCCATTTCAGCCTGAGCCTTAGCAAGAGCCTTGGCTTTACAGCGGGCCCTCGCTGCCCTCTTCACAGGGCTGGCCTTCTCCAGGTCCTCCTCTACAGGCGCTGGGGCTGGAGCTTTCCTCCTGCGGCCACGCTTCTTTGGTTCTGAAGCTGGCTGGGGCATCTCTGTGTCTGGAAACTGGCCCTGAGCTTGCTCCTCTGACATGGGCTCTTTGGCATTCTCCAGCTATTCATATATATTAGCGCAGGATTAGATATTGGATATTGGATTTAAATGCCTTATAGAATGAGGCTCAAGAGATGATTTTAACTGTCTACAATTTTAAAATCTACGCATCACATCAGAGTGTAATTTTATTTTTGCTACTTTTTAAATAATTTCTGGACCGCATTACCTTAGCTTTTAGTTTTTCCTGTTTCATCTTTTTGATCTTGGCTTCTTCCCTCCTCTTCAGTCTTGCCTAAGTAAAAAAATTGCAATTTCAGTTACACAGGGACACATCTGTTGGATAAAATATGGGGTCAACTTGAAATCTCTCTTAAACACACCAAGCAAAATCAGAAACAGAAATATTCCACAAATAGGACTTTAGGGCAGACATTGAACATGTGAGACTACCATTTATAGAGCAGTAGAACCTAACCTTTTTCTTCATTTTCTTCTTTATCTTAATTAGTTTCTCTTTCTCCTCTTCTGTCAGCTCCTCTGTCAAATGAAGAGAAAATATAGACATCTGCTCTTGGACTGTAATACATTTCCATCTTAGAATATATACATTTTCAGTTTTAACCTAAGTGTTCTCCTGTGTTCTCTATTTACACACACCTTCAGATGTCTTTACATCCACCCTAAAAGCATTTATACTTACCCTTTGCCTCCAGTCTCTTCAACAGCCTGGCATCTATTTTGCTTAGGAGGTCTATCATTTTGGCCTTTGGAGGTCTGCCCGGTCGCCTAGCAGGTGTCCCTTTGGGCCGACGGCCTCGAGATCGAGGCCTGCCTTCTTTGTCGGGATTTGGGGGGCGACCTCGTCTGCCAGTTATTGACATAATCATTGAGGGAACCTCCTCGTTGGCCAGAAGGAACCATTTCTTTCCCTGCAATTGTGAACATAATATTGTGGCATATCAATTTCACAAATAAAAAACGTCAGAGAAATGAATAAAAAGGTATTTTAAAACTTTGTAACAAGTCATAAGATCTCAAGTAGTCATTTAGACAAAACGTTTTCAATAATTATATTATTTGCATATTCCTTTTAAATGCTCAACAATGACATGGTAAAGTAATTTTTGTTGTCTAGGTTAGAATGCTTGCCTGCACTGGTTCACCAAAGCAAAAAGTAGCCAGTTAATCACATATCATCATCCAGTATCTACACATGTAAGCCATTTACATACTTATGAGAGTTATAAGCAAGGATCACTGTGTCAAACTATGCTTACATTTACCTTAAAGAAACTGAAAACTCTGTATGTAGCCCTAGTAAGGGCGTTTTCACATGTTTAAATGGCATAAATGGCCCTAAAAACAAACTGAACCCAAACTACCTCAAGAGGTCATTTTTCCAATTGTGCACAATGCACTTTGGCCAATTTGGCCAATAGGAGAGCAGCAGGTGTGTCTGGTAGTTCCTCTCACTACCCAAAAGGTTAGTTTTATCAGAGAACACTGCCCCCTTCATAAGCACTGCACACACTGTGAATGGAGTGAAAGGGGTCCAAGTTCCAACAGAGTTGTGGTCTGAACAAGAAGGGGTCTTAGACCTCAACAATGCAAAAAAAAGACCAGAAAGAAAACTGAAAACACCCTGACACTGAAGTAGCTATGTTCACTAAACAGAATGCAAATTCTCAAACCAGAAAAACCACATCAAGAAACGCAATGAATCACACACAGGAACATGTCCCTTAGCAAACCTCTCACATTTCTTCCACACCTAATAAAATGTACTGTGAGGCCGGTTACAGTGACCTGCCAGCCTAACCTTGTATTACACAACAACAATAATAATAACAATAATAATAATAAACAATAACGATAATAAAAATAATAATAATAATAATTAATAACAACAATAATAGATGTTTTCAGTGCACAGACCTCAGGTGTGTCTCGTTCCTCATAGAAGTCCCCCACTGGGATGCGGGGGCTAAAACTGAAGTGCTCCCTTGTCACTCCATTCAAATTATTCTGGTGTTTCTTCAGATACTAAAATGCAAAAAAAGGTGTCAAAATCTAGATTTAAAAAAATGATAAGCAAAGGCAATAAAACAAAATAACAACCATAATATCAGACAGATAGGAAGGTAAGGCAACAATATCTCAGCACTGATTATTCTGAAGAGTCTAGAGTCTTTTGGTTGATTATCAGTTTGGACAAAATGAAAACAAAAAATTAATTGGAATTTCCACAGTGGAGCTATGACTGTATGACTGGTTCATATCTATGAAAAGGGAATATAGGAGCGATGGCTCACCTTAATGACCTCAGGGAACTGTTTCATTCTCCTCCCACAGGGGCTGTAGTACCACGTCTCCCCTTTCATTCGGTCTTCAAGTGTACGCACACGAATCTCTCGCCTCCAGCTTAAGTGTTCAAAAAGAATTGGCATAAATTATAACTTTGCCTAAACAAATAAAAGAGCAGCAAGTTGAAGAAATTGAAAAGGAAAACAACTTTTTGGATAAGAGCAATTTCTGAAAGGGGTATGGATTTTTTAAGTGATTAGAGAACTGACCAACAGTTTGCTTTTACACTACTTACCCATGAAGAAGAGGGAAGTTCACTTGCTCTTCAGTAGCTATTCTTCGTCTTGGGGTTTCTCCTGGGGCAAGAAAAACAGGAGAATTTAGCAGGTGAAACTCAACCATCAGGACCATGTCTGCACAATAATAAGGTAGACAGTACATGTGTGACACACACCTGCTGTGGAGCTGTTGTCTTCATCACCTTCATTAGTCTTTGCTTCCACAGCAGCTTCATTTTTGGGTGGTTTGAGAGACTGCCCTGTCATTTCTTTTATTTTGAGTTTCCTGAACTTCTTAGGTTTAAGAACAGAGACTTCATTATTATTGGGCAAGTTGGGGTCATCGATGATGCTTCCTGACACTGCAAGCAGAAGAGGAGGTGCTCCATCAGAAAGTGGACCATCAGAGACAAGTGCCAGTTCTGTTGCCTCTTTGGAGGTTTTCCTCTTCTTTGTTTCAGATGGTGACTTCTCTTCATTTGTTTTCTTCCATTCCACATTTTCCTCTTTTGGAACTTTAGGTGTTGACCTTCGTCTCTTTTTCTTAGCATCTGGTGAACCTGACAAACATGAAATGTGCTTAAAATGATTAGAACAACAACAAAGTAAAAGCCAACAATTAGTAATAGTATTTTGTCCTACTAGTTTCTTCACCTTCTATTTCAACAATAGAGCACAAAAATGATGCCTTACTTTGATCAGGAGGAGCCGAAGCCTTTGGTGTCTTTGGTTTGCGAGGCTTCTTCACTGCCATGGCACATGGGGCTGCTGACAGCGGAAGATTAGTGCCTCCACCCAAGTCTATTACATCACTACCTCCTTGTACTCTAGTGTCTGACAGTGCAGGAATGATGTGGTTAACACTGCCAACTAATTCTGGAGCATCATGTCCTTTCTCTTTAGCTTCTGCCTCATTGGCTATTGGGAAAAAAAAGGAAAAAAAGGAGAATGAGAAGACTTTGGAATTCTGATTTTTTTTTCTTCCAAGCATTTTTTTTCAAAGATTAAAAGATTTCTGTCTTTTGATGCAATAAAATTTGTCCTTTGGCGGCATTTTCCTAAAGAAGCAGTTAGGGCATTCAAAAGCTGGAAAGTTTTAACTAGTGTCAGCAAACTATGTTTGTGAATGGGCTCATGCACTAACAGTCAATGAAATACTGAAACTGTGATACATATTAAAAACACTGGTTTAGCACTAGCAGTGGTATCTGTTCAACATTGTTAAAGAACAACAAATGTATTGGAAAACATTTCAAACAAGCATGTTAACGACCAGTAATACATGCATTCAAGAATCATGTAAAGGACATCAGGTCTTTTGACAGCAAGTCCTAAACCACAATGTAAAATCTTCTGAAAAATAATTTACAATTACAAAAGAATTTACAATTACTAATAGAATGAATGGGTGTAGCCCTACATTTATTTCCCGAATAAAGCTTTAAAAACCTCACCTTTAGAAGAGTGAATGGAAAATTCATATACAGACAGCTGAGAGGTATCATTCTGTGAAGTGTCATTTAAGGAGTAATCTATCTGCAAATTACGCTGGAGTGAGGTATCATCACTGGAGCTCCCGGTGGCCATTGTCTCATCTTCACAAGAGGTGTCTTCTCTATGGCTTCCTTCAGGCAACCAGTCCTTGGACTCTTCAGTGGTCGCTCCATCTGTAAACATGGAGGAACCTTCAGCCTGGGAAGCGTTGTTGAGGGAAACGTCATAACTATCCTCCATGGATCCAATGTCCTCTGTTCTAGATGCATCGGTGTAGGTTGACTCATCCAAAGATGGGTAATTCATAGATGTCTCGGTGTCTAAGGTATCATTCAGAGTGTTAACTCCTGCTTGATCTCCTGGAGTGGCTTGGTCTTTGCTGGTGCCAGGATCCTTTTCAACTAAAGGTACATTGCCCCTCTCCAGCTCTTTCGAACCTGGGGTGTTCAAGGATGTTTCATAGCTTTTATCAAGAGATACAGATTGGTGATCTGTGTGACATTCCTGTTTGGATACTGAACCTGTCAGAATAGCTTTATCACATGGATGACTAACATTGGGTTCACTGCTGGTTTTTTGAGCAATATATTGTTTGCCAAAGGCCTGCTGTTCTGCTTTAAGAGAAATCATATGTCCTAGGCTCTGAGGAGATGAGGAGACGACCTTTGTGTTGGCATCCCCAAGAGGTGTTACGCTTCCTGCAGAAGAAACTGATGCCTTAGGAGCAGTGGATCCAGGAGGAGGTGATGGGGAAGCCTGAGGTGTAGCACTTACAGCAGGGGGAGGTGCCGAAAACTTCTGAGGAGATGAACCCATCTGAGAAATGACAGAAGCAGATGGAGGAGTAGAGATAACAGAAAGAGTTGTAGTATCTACAGGGAGAGAATAATTCTCAACAGTTGAATGAGCCAAGGAAGCAGCAGTAGGTGTAGAGCTTGGGGTTATCAGAGGAGACATCAGGGCCCTTTGGGGAGGGGCTAGCACAGAGGAAGGAGTGGATATTACTGGATGAGGTGTATCTTGACATGTAAGTGGCTGAGGAACCTGTGGACCCATAGACCCTGTGCACTTTACTGGAGGTGTAACAGCCACAGGCTGACTGCAAGATATAACTGGAGGTGGTGTAGACACAGCAGGAGAAGGTACTTTGGAGCTTTGGCCCATCTGAGGTGTAGAAGATTTTGAAGCAGAAGTTGAAAGTGCTGCTGGCACAGCAACAGACGCTAAAGGTACAGAGACGGCACCATGTCTTAGGCCTTGAACCATTAATGGAGGAGTGGTGAGCAATTGAGGAGGTACAGCCATACATGATGAGGTGTTCACTCCAGGTTTCGGTACAACTGAAGCATGTGTAGAAACTCCTTGAGGAGATTCTAAAACTGCTGTGGAATATGAGGACTGTGTAGTAGTGGGCCCCGAGACTGTTTGAGGAAGTGCAGTTGACATCTGACATGATGGAGAAGCCACTGGAGGACTCAACTCCTTGAGCATGGTTCCCATGTCACGGTGCTGTTTTGCAGGCTCAGCATCCACGACTGCCTGCTGCATTTGTGATATGTAGTCATTAGCGGGCACTAAGGGAGTTACTGGAGGCTTCACAGGGAAACCCTCACTGACAGACAGCCGCTGGGGGACAGACGCCATTTGAATGCCATTGTAACCTTGATCAACTTCTTTGTAGGACTCATTCATATGCACTGGAGACCACAAGAAAACAAAGAGATCAGTTGAAAAAAATTTAAATCAGTTTTCAACACTATTATACCTGTTCTCACAAAAACTGTTAAATGTTTGTTTTATATAAACACTCACATGTATAAATTACTTAAAAAGGCAGTCGAAAGTGTGACTGCCTGCTGAGATTTTTGAGAAAGAAAAACAACATACTGGGAAAAAAAAAACAAAAACTATAATAAACTCAACATATCCACTGCATATAATTTGCCCGTGTTCAGTAAATGACAAATACTCACCTTGAATTCCAGTGGAATGAGCCACACTGCCTCTACCAGGACTCTCCTTTCTTTGAGGTGAACCACTGTCAGACTTGGAAGAGGGGGACATTCTTGGTACTTGCATTGGCAGGGGGCTACTGGTACCCCCATGGCTGATGTGAGGGTGCTGTGGACTTCCCCGTGGTGGGGTAAAGTTCTGTGTGGTAGGCATCATTGGAGTTGGGGGTTGTGACTGGGCTTGGGTTTGAGGCTGCTGAGAAGACAGAGGCGCATGCTGAGCTTGGTGTTGATAAAAGGGCATCCCATTAGGCACCATGCTATAATGCTGCTGCTGCTGCTGCTGTTGTTGTTGTTGTTGTGGATGCTGAGGTTGGTGGTGCTGTGGGTGGTGATGAAGCGCTGTTGCAGATTGATGCTGAATGGGTGGAGGCTGCTGGTGATGTGATGTTTGTGGGATGCCAGTGTGCACCTGGTTTGGGTAACCACCATACATGCCATGAGAACTGTATCCCATTGACAGTGACGATCCCTCTTGCTGTTGGCCAGGATTTCCTCGGCCCCAGTATTGCGCCCCTGCTACTGGGGGTTGCCGAGAACCCCCCATGCTCCCGTTGACTTGGTACTGTCCATGTCCCTGAAAGTGGTGCTGAGGCTGCTGCTGTTGCATCACTCCTTGTGAGCCTGGTTTCTGGTGCATTCCGTGACCAGAGCCAGAACTGGTGCCAGAACTCAGAGCAGGATTATACGGAGACTGGCCCCACAAGTAGTCATAGCCCATGCTGCCCTGCCGGTGGTGATTGCTCATATGAGGGTAAGAGGAAGAAGGAGGGTGAGGTCCAGATTGGCTGGCCCCGTCTGCAGTAGTGATGCCATTCACATTCATGTCGCCGTTCAGATCTGCACGAGTCAAATAAAAAAAAACATCTTTCACATACCCCATAAATCTCAAATGACACATTGGTTAGACATCTGATTTAAAGTTACAGAGTGTACGGACTGTGTATTAGAACTAATATAAAATAACAGTGCAAATAGATGCTCACTTTTCCCTTGCTGGGGGAAGCTCATGGAGGACCCGTTAGTAAAAAGAGACTCCCCTGAGGAATGCTTCAGTCCTGAGTTAGTCGGCACAGGGTGAGGCCCATAATTAAAATGGTTATTTGTTTCCATCTACAAAGAAGAAATTATAAACATCACAGAAATCTGGAATTAAAATTCATATAAAAAATTTAATGCCTACAATAACCAGGCTGGATAAAATTACCAGTAACTTAAAAAAAAAGTTCCAGATGACATCTCATGTCTTAAACATAAACAAAATCCCTTTTCCTTTCAAAACTGTCTCCCAGTTGCCTGCAAACTGAAACTATGGTGAAAGCTCTTCAGATTAGAAAGACTGCCTATTTCTCCTCATATCGATACTTAATTCCTTATTATTCTATTACGTTTTCCGTAGTCTGAATAACAACAATAAATCACCTTTCCTGTTAGCCATAACGTGATTGTACAGTTTGTTGTAAAAACAGCAGTTACATTCAATTACTGCATGCAAATGAATACTGAGTGTGATGACATGCTGTGGCCGACATCACAAACATTGCACTGCTCAACTCTCCCTAAAATGTCGCAGATAAGCGGACGAGATGCTCGAGCTTTCGTGTTGATACTCACTGAGATGCTGTTTCACGCTGCCGACCATTTAAACAGGCACTGATGTGCGTGCAAAATAGTTACACCAGGTACAAATTAACCGATTTAAGCAGAATCGGGTCTATCGACTCAAATAATGTGACTGGCCAGCTAAAATGCAACACAAATAACGTGAAATGGTATAGCTAATGTTACACATCTTTAGCCATTATGCTAGCGTAAACATTTCATTCGGTGCTAAAATCCAGAACAGGAGATAATCACAATGAAAACACTCCACAATTGAAACAAATCTAAACGGTTATCACGGCTATTCTAAAGAGGATGGTTTATCAACTGCATCATAATTAGTCCGAAAGACACGAAAATAGCTAATACAGAAGCTAGTCGCGACACGTGACCATGCGCTCTGAATGAACCAACTCGCTAATGTTAGCTCCGTAACAACCTTGCTAGATGGTTAGCAAGCTAGCTAACTTCTCACATCCTTATGTTGCTACCAGCCTTGTTCAGCCGTGCTCTTCAAAACAATGGTTTGCTACCTAATAAAGTCTCTGGCAATACTGTACACAGACGATCAACAGAACAGCTTACTGCATATTTGTTTTAGCAATTTATTAGATTTACCTACCACTATCCATTCATTGCGAAGTTATCCCCATAAAAGAAATGGAAAGCGTTGGGCTGCTACTTACATAGCCACATTTAATCGCAAACAAACACCCCAAACACAAAACAAAAAGGAGTTTGCCGCTAGCTAACGTTAGGTTTCCAGCTCTAGCTAGTGTTTATAAACGTTCCGTTCAAAACGAACAGATAAGTAGAGTAACTTTAGGTTGTCAGTGCCGGTGCTTTCCTCATACACTGCGAACAGACTTAAAATATTTTTTTGTAACTTTCATTTAGCTCGGAAGATCTCGAGGGTAGATTAGCGGGTTAATGCCGTTTTAATAACGTCATTCGAATTGGGCCTGTACACCACTGCCTGGTATGATAATGTTTCAGACACTCGGAAATTTCTTCAGCTGCTCGAAAAAAACGGAGTTGAAATATGTGCACGGGTAATTCTGTTCATGAATACACGTATGAATATATATCTAAAAGGATAACGACCGGGCTTCTTCGCGAACGACGTCAACTCCAAGGTTATTTAAATAATTAAAGAAGTTAAAACCTAGCTAGCTACAGATACACAGCTAACGTTTGTGTACAGCCGACGGTCAAATATGTAGGCACACCGAAAATTCAGAGTTCACCGACTGAATCACAACATGTAAAATAAAATCTTAAGGAGTCAGCCATTACATCCGTTTGCCACGCTGATTATTTTAGACGCTTGTCTTTTGTTGATTAACTCACATTCTTTGTCGTGGCAGCTACGGTGAAGAAAATTGTTAAGACCGCATCACCCACACACACTCAAAAGTTTTCAATAAAGGATAGTAAAAAAGCTCTAACCTTACTGTCTTCGGATGAAAAAAACAACTTTGCCTTTGGGCCCCAGGATGACGACTTAAATGAATGAAAACGGTGTAGACGATGTAAATAATAAACAGGTATTCGCTAACCTTTAGGTTTCAAATTAGCAAACATGGCTGGTATGTTTGAGCGCAGCCATGATCACAGACGAGAGAAAGAGATCGAGCCGAAGGAGGAAGTGAATGGTGCATTACACACTACGGGGTGTCCACACAACCCAAGGTCTTAGTGCCCACCGTCCCTAGGCGAGTCTGTAAAATGTTACTAGCCTGTGAAAACTTTTGTTTTCAATGTAAATACTTTACGATTTATTCACGTACTCCGTTTACATGGATTAATAATGTAAATATGGCAGTCAATTTAGCGAGGTATTTTAATCATATGACAATGTCCTATTAATTAGGTGTATCATATCATAATGAGCAGACACGGACAATCAAATGCGCTGTCTTTGTAAAATAAATGCAGCCTAACTTGTGTGGTAAACGCAAATTCCCTGGTTCTAACACAATCAAGCCTACTTATCAGGGACTGACGAGTTTTACATTTGACTTGTTGCCATTAAAACTGATATAAATTAAAATCATTTATCTACACGAACTGCTTAAACATGATGTTAATAAAAGCGGTAAAGCGAAGAGCGGGCTCTAGGACCTCACGCTACGGCCACAGGGCGCTAATACTGATTAGCAAGAACGCGGGTTTAGAAGATGCTCCAATGTTAAGCGGCTGTACAAATACAAATAAAAATCTACAGAGACCGGGGTACTTAATATATTATTCGTCAAAACACAAGATGCATTCTAAGGGTCATCGGAGACCTTGGAATATCAAATGCATGAGTGGCAGGAAAAATCCTTTCATTGTATGGAATTTGTCTTCTTTAGGCATCACTGCACACTATATCGATTGACTGATCGATAGATAGAGAAAACCTGCTAGAGTAGTTTTATATAACTGCCCTACGTTTAGTTAAAAAATTTGCACAGCAGGTAAATTCTAAATAATCACCATTAGGGTCCTTATGCAATTACATAGTAAAGGGGAATTATGCCATTATTATTTACATATCGAACCCCAGTTACTCATCACAAAGTGCAAAACTGAACTGTCTTTGCTACTTAACTGAAGAAAATGAAAAGTGAACATTAAGCAGTTTATTAAAAAGACTGAACAATTTTAAAAGTCTCCTTAAAAAAATATATAACAAGGACCAGCAACCAGCAATACCCAGATATATAGTATTTGGTCCATGTTTGTAGGAAAATGATGGCTAAACTTAAACTGGTCAAAATTTGTGTGTTTAAATCTGACAGCAGCCATTCAACATCTTTTAACATCAATATATAATGGTCATCAAATTATTCTATTGCCAGAGTTGCCCATAGTGATAAGGGCAACATAGTTGGAAATGTACTAAAAGACAAACTCCACAAAAATCAGATACTAACCACCATTTTCCGCAATTTGTTCTAAATTATTTTCATCTATAAATATTACAGAAAGTGGGAGACAAGTGTTCAACACAGCAATCTAAACTACCATGACAAAGTCCTTGTGGACAAATACCTGGGAATAATATGAGAGGTTCTGAAATTCTTTATCATTCTCAATTTTAATCACAGGGTTGCCATCTATGCTGATTCCACTAAACACACAAATCTTGGGAAGGGTGTGAATGTGTGTGGAGAAGTATTTAAAACATGGTCTTCCTTTGCCTTTTAATTACAATGTATTTTGCTCACCATTTTATCAATTATATTGCTTTTCTGTTGAAAAATACATGTACAGTGCAGTTCCTGAAAGCAAATTATGGATATATTGAGGTTCAGATCAAAACACAAATCAAGGCTGCTCACTGGCGCTGACAGTATGCATATTAACCTTCAATGGAGGCTGTGTCTACAATGGTGGAAGAACAGCCCCTGCATGGACAACAAGATGTTAAATATAACTGTCCGTTCATTTGGCTTTCATTCAGCTCCTCTTCTCCTTTTGAGTTGTTATGTACAGTTGATGTGATATTTCTCCTTTTTGGTTGCCTTTCGTTTCATTCTTCCACCTTGCGTCTGCAATCGACAAGCAGCTCTATTCTAGATCAGGCATTTCTACAGGGGTAGAAACAATAAACTGAGTGCTGCTTTTGTGTATTTGAAGACTTTCAGAAATATTACACAATGCATAATGAAATTCAGTAGTTTCAGGTGAAAGCACTTCAGAATAAATGAAACAACATGCTCATTAATTTTCTTTTAATATAAAGAAAATTTTAAATATTTAACTTTTATTGAACTTACTTTCATCATCACTGTCTGCAGACTCCTGAAAACATTAACAAAGCATTAAAAAGAAGAAATTAGAAATCATCAAAGCTGAATAGATCGGTGGCAGCTCTGGAGATGAATTCTCCAGAATATTTTAAAAAACTTCAGTTAAGGTTATTGAGAGAATATCAAAATACAGCTGCAAGCAGCAATCACAGTGGTCCAAGCACCATCAGTCTGTCATACTGTTTCCAAGTTTCCATTGCCATCATTTTTTGATTATGATTAATATTTAGTGTCTTACAAGGCTCTCAAGATACAAACTTCACATTGCATCAAGTTGTCCTTTGCTTTGGCAAGGACAGCTCAGGCAGGACTTAAACCGAGCAACTTCTAACTGGAAGGGAGATGTTTTCAAGGTGAGCCACAAGCGGCACATGGCAACAATGCATTTTTTGAGACAATTTATTGGTAGGTAGCATTAAGGAAACAAGCACCATTTTAGGAACAAGTTCCCAACTTTCAATTTTTGATTATTTAGTAATATTAAAACATTGTTCTAAAACCAATTTTGGGGTGATTTGATAAAACCTCAAGAAGAAGACAGAAGAAAGAAAAAAGAAAAAAAGAGTTGTATTTGCAAAATTGTCAGGCTCGGTGGAATACATAAAATCTAGAAGCTTTCTGTGCCACGAGATAAATTTTGTAAAGCCTACAACTGTATATATGTTTGAAGTAGGAATTTGCATTTAATGCTGACACTCCCTCTGGTGGCCGAAGAATATGTTGCCATTCCTGATTCTGTGGCCAAGATGTGTTTGTCAAATTTCCATATTTCCTCTGCTATTTTGGGACACACATATAATTGCAAAGTTTTAGACATTAATTGGATGTGCAGTTTGAAACCTTCATTTCAATCATAGAAAGATATAATAACATTTAAGTAAATTTGCATTTGGTTAAGCACTGTAGAGGCCCATGGGGACCAATTTAAACAACACTTCGCATGCCTCCTCAGGTGACTGTTTTGTACAATACTGCCAAATCTGGCTGTAATCAGAGAAAGCCTGATGTATTCTTAGCCCATTAAGAAAAAGCAAAGCTGAACAGAGTAGCTGATGTCTCAAGGCCATTCTTTGCAATAAAGTCATTTTTTTTTTAATGATTTACCTACAGACTCCACAGATTGTGTAGAGAAAATCTGATTAAAATTCAGAGACTAGTTCAAAAAGTCAATTTTTCAAATTTTGAACAACTGCAGAAAAACTTGAAAGCATTTTAAAAGACAATGCCTGTTGAAAGCTTATTGGCCAATGGTGGCCATATTTATCCAATGACAGAGTTGTTCTTAACAACTTACTTCTAAAGTGGACCACTGATGCAACACGCAGAGTTTCAGCTCAATTGGCCAAGCGATTGCTGAGAAACAGATGTTTTGTTGTTAGGGGTGGGAATCTCTAGGCACCTCACGATTCGATTCAATTACGATTCAGAGGGCTGCGATGCGTTTATTAAATGATTATCGATGCATCTCAATCTTTTTTTTTCTATATAGCAATTATATTTTCTCACGGCGTGAGCTCAAGTTTCGAGTTCAAGTTTATTTGTCACTTGCACAACATGTCAGGACATTTATGCATTGAAATGAAATGCTTGTGGTGAGGCTCAGCTAAATCACTCTACAGAAAGTAAATAAGTGAAAATAATACAACAAAAACCCACTGAAATATATTAAACATACACAAAATATACACAGAATATAGAGACAATATACATTTTAAAGTGACTAAGTGACTCGGTGTTATTGTTATTTAAAGTGACTTGGTACTTTTAAAGCAAAGTATTTGTAATGATCCATAATGAATTTACTTCCAATATCTTTTATTAATAAAACAAATGGAAGTGATGTGGCAAGTGAACTAGAAGGCTCTCATTCAGTGCTCTTGTTTGGAGCACGAGAAGCTGCTGCTACTCATCAGCGATAAAATGCACAGTTACGGTGAAATAAGATCCAGTGGTTATGGATGTCTTCGGATAACTTCGGTTTCGGTCTCGTTGTAGAGACGAGGGGGAATCGCTGTGTAAGTAAAGTATTCATGAGACAGGACGTGTGCAACATTGCGTGAAAGCCCTGTTTCGCAATGACTGAGAACCGGCATGCAGACTGCAGGTCACATAGCAGCGATGCGTTATTCGCATTTATAAGCACTGCAGTTGGTTTCCTGGTACGTTAAATCTGCAACAAGAGACTGTCACACACTAAAAAGTGGCGAAGATGAAGTCGCTTCTCTTTCGAATTTTCCCGTTCCACCTTAAATGGTGCCGCATTTACGTTCGGCACCTCAGTCAGAATTTAAGGTGGAACGGGTAAATTTGAACAAGAAGCTGGAGAATAAGAAGCAACTTCAGCCTCGTAAAACAGTCGTTGAGAGACATTTAACTGATCTACTTCTGAGGAAAAGTTTTCTGGCGGAGATGGGAGGAAAGTGGCTATAGCTGAGCTAAAGCTTAAAGCAGAGCGAAGTAAATCTGCGTTTTCGTTTAAATTGTTTAGCCTATACTAGGACATTATCACATACTGAGGCATACTGGACATTAAATGTTGCGGCTCCCAAGGTGGTTTGATTTTTGTTGAAAGGACAAAATGTTAATATTTGTGTTGTGACTCCTGACCTAACCTGGCTTTAATGCAGAGGGAGCCGGTCGGTTTTTGCTATGTGCCGCCACAGACTGTCTGGGCGCTACACTTACGCACTTCCAAGTTCCGCCTTTTGCATTCCGTCAACATTACGGTATAAATTAAATATTTAGAAAATCGATTTTTGACATTTGTGAATCGATTCAGAATCGTTCACGTCCGCACTGCGATGCATCTAAGAATCGATTTTTTCCCGCACCCCTATTTGTTGTTATAGCTCCCCCTATTGAACTTTTGATATCAAACTTAAGCATCCACAGAATCATGTGGGGTATGGGCCTCTTAAGTTTCATGACAATTGGCCAAGGCAATCCAAATCTGTAGCCACTTACGTGAAATAAGCTGAACCCAAGTGGGCTTAATTGGCATGCGGCGGCCATACTGTTTAAAAATATCCCAATTTTCCTGACCAGCAGACTCCTCTGAACATTTTGAGACCAATATTGTGTGGATATCTTAAAAAATCTTAGACTAGTAGAAAAATGTAGAGGTCACATATATTGCCAAGCCAGTGGGATGTTTATGTGTAATAAACCAAGGATTACACAGAAGCAAGAATTTGGAGTGTAGGCCTCATTGCTTAGAAGACATAGACCAACACATAAAATGTTGCTCTATAGCATCACAATCAGGCCAACAAGGGTCATTCCACCTGCCTGAGTAGTGGGAGAGATACTACACCTACCCTCCAAGTTTGGTGTTAGGATGACTTAGTGTCGTCTCCCCAATCAGTTTTGGGGAAGAAAAAGAATAAGAAAAAAAACCCTAGCAAAAGCAATAGGATGCCATGCACCTACGGTGCTTGGATTCCTAATTAGATAAAACAGAGCAACTGCTGGATTAATATGAATAAATGCTGGTTCTTACATCATCTGCTCCATCCAAATCTGGTAATTCATCCTCTCCTCCCATGCTGTTCATCATCTACAAACAACAAAAGCAGCACAGCCATGTAAAGACACCCATCAGTTTCAGTCATATACATCCTAACCTCATCCTTCTGCAACATTTGTGCCTTGTTGCATTCTTTCATTTAACACAATCAGAAATTCCCTGAAGTCTTTGTTAACTGGTTGGAAAAAAACTAACCTCTGAAAAACGGTCAAAGTTCTCCTCGTCAGAATCATCTTCCCAGTCCTTCCAGTTGTTGAAGTCAACGCTTAACCAGTTGAGCTGCATTAGAAATGTACATCATTACGACATGCTTCAACCATTTCTTTAGTGCACTATTTGAAGTAATACAGAAAAATGAAATGACAAAATAAAAAATATTGATCAGAGAGCATTTTATTAGCCCACCAATCCTCTACTCATTCATTTAACAATTATTTCATTATTATTGAGTTGTGTCACCACTAAGGTCTTTATGCAGTATGGGCACACTGTGTTGATTCAACATTTGCCAATCCAGGAGGTACAGACTGTACTGTGAACCAGGGATAGACAAAAAATCTTTTTTGTTGATCAAATTTTGTGATAATATATACTGCTTTCAAAATGAGTTTACTACATTTAAAAGTCCTTTCTTTATGCAGTCAAATCTATATCTATTCACCATTCTTTGATTTCTCTATAGGCTTAGAAAACAATACATTACTTTCGTAAAATCCTACAAAGTAATGTTACGTTTTTCAATATGTGCAAGTCCTAAATAAATGAATTAATAGTTTATGTAGGTAAGAAGAGTGTCTGCTCAACTGCTTTTCAAAGTTGTAGTAATTTGTAAGAGTGTCTATCACACCCATCTGATACCATCTGAGACCTTTTACAACAGCAAAGGGGCAATCTTTGCCCTCACTGACTGAAATTCAGGGGCATTTCACATATAAATGAGCCACTTTGCATGACATGCAAAACACAGCTAACAAACATCAAATTAATACGTCAAGGTAAATGACTTAAAATGCAGTTTTTTTTTTTTTTTTACACTTACATCATTTTAGGGACATTTTTTATCTATGTATTTATGTTTCATTATGACAAAAAAGTTGAATATTGGGGCATGTCTCCCTTTATTTACCCCAGTTAATTCTAACACTGTGCAACACTGACAACTCTCAGCAACCCTTCAAAAAGTGTCAAATTTATGGGAAGAAAACGATTTAAGTAATGTTTGTAATGCAACATGGCAGGCAAGACTTTTCTACTGAAATTAAACAATTTGCCAAAAACGGCATTACTGACCTTTGCTTTTTCTTTTGTTAACCTTGGCCATGCTTTCCCCGATTCTGCTTTCCGTAAACAACACAACACTGACCGATCTGTGCGTCTGTGTTTTGACTCCTATTAGAAGGACAAAGAAGTATTACTTATGTGCGGAATTAGAGAAAAGCTATATTATTCAAATACACTAACTGATTTAATGTATAATTTAATTAGAATCTGGAGAACTCACATTTTGATCAATGGCTTCAAAGAGGTCAATTTCATTTGAGTGCTTGACATTGTCAGTTCCACCAAGACAACTTTCAAAAACAAAAAAAAAAAGAAGGAAAGAAAGAAAGGAGTTACGCTCAGATTCACTGTATATATTCTGGAAGCACATACAAAGCCCAAAAAGAAAAGAAGAATTACTTTCAACTATATGAAGTGCTACTAGCTTTGCAAACCAAAGGCACATTTGTGCCTTCCAAACATTTAATTTATATAACTGAATATCTAGTCTTAACTACCATTTTCAACTAACATCTAAACAGCCAAAGCTTTGTGTTGATTCTCTGTAAAAAGACTCAAATATTGTAAACTGATGTTGCAAAAGTCACAATGTGCCAAACTAAATACTAACAGAACACAAAACAGTACTTTATTAAAGACTGCCTACACTTTGGTTTTGACTGATGTAACATTTGTTTTGTTCATAAAGCACAATGAAGATGAATAAAACACTTTTTGTCTTCTGTCTCATTTCATTTGTACTAGATTACATTACGTTATGGTAAAGCTCTTGTCTTTTGGCTGTGAATTCCTGGAGATTCTCCAAGCAGTTTTTCAGACTTCACTTAACTTGCATTTTTTCACAGTAATATTGTTACCTGTTGCTTTTTTCCGCTGTGCTCAGGGTTTTTGATGGCAACTTTATTTGTTATGCCCCATTTTTAGTCTTTTATGTTTTGCATCTACGCCTGTAGATATTAAAGCTGTAGTTAGCTAATAGCCAATTTTAGCATTTCCTCACATTAAAGATGTATTAAACTGACGACTGAACAAATAAGACGCAAAGGGAGTATTTGGTGTGCTTCCACCGCATTAACTGTACCACAAACCTGAAACCAAATTTGGACTTCTCAAAGTTTACTTCCACATCTTTGCTGTCCTCCACACAGAACTCAATGAAAACGTAGTCCCTCCTGTCGTACCACTTTGCAGTTGCTGGATGCCTGATAATGAGACATATGCATATGCAGGTGAGCAAACTCAGATCTACATATACATGCACAGTACTCGTTTTCTTCACATTTCTTCATTTTCTATAACTCAGAAGTGTTTAAAAAGCACACTCAAAGTGAATAACATTAATATGCATCATGCCTATTCAGTACACATACTGAGGTAAAGACTGGCACCTTGGCCAAATGCACTACTCAGAATCAGTCTTCTATATAATTACTGTTAAGAATATGGGAAGCCACTAATTTCAGATGTCACGTGTACTTGTTTATCAAAACAATGGCTGGGTAAACTAATGTTAGCTAGCTAGCTAGCTAAGAGAATGTAATATTAGCGTAATTTTACACAGTGCTCAGTCACCTATGATTCTGCAAAGGCGAAGCAGCCGCAATATTTTTACATTTCTTTATATTTTTTGACCAAAAAATAAACAAATAAAATAACATTAGTATACCACAATGTTATGATATATCAAGGTTTTTCACCCCCAAGAACACTCTGGTAGAGTTTAAACCACAGCTATACATGCACATATATTTTCACAACCCATTCAATGGGGCACCCCGGTCAAATTTTATATTTTGTTGATTTTATGAAAATAAAATTTATGAGAAGTGAAAATAAGGTAACACATCCTCTACAGCAGGGGTGCATAACTCCAGTCCTGGAGGGCTTGGTGTCCAGCATAGTTTAGTGATTTACCTGCTCAAACACACCCGAGTTAACTCATCTGTTAACTGGCAGGTTTAGTGGGTGTGTTTGGGGAGGTAAACTACCAAACTCCAGGACCTGTGCACCACTGCTTTACAGAGAACATACTCTGCACAATTACTGTTCATTTTGCTATTGCACAATTAGTGTTCATTTAATGTGCCCACCCTTCGCAGCTGTGTGTGTATATACATATACATACACACACACACACATATATATATATATATATATAAATAAAATTAGGGGTGGGAATCTCTAGGCACCTCACGATTCGATTACGATTACGATTCACAGGGCTGCGATGCGATTCTAAAACGATGCATCTTGATGCATCTTTTTTTCTATACAGGATTTCTATTTTCTTGCGGTGGCAAGACTTGGTACGTTTAAAGCAAAGTATTTGTAATAATCTATAATGAATTTACTTTACAACATCTTTTATTAATAAATCAAATGGAAGGGATGTGATAAGTGAACTAGAAGGCTCGCATTCACTGCTCTTGTTTGGAGCACATGAGACGCTGCTGCCACTCATCAGCGATAAAATGCGCAGTTAGGGTGACATAAGATCATGTGGCAATAGATGTCCACGCAGCACGTTACAGCCGTCCTACACGTTTAATTCAGTGATTTTATAACTTCAGTTCTGGTCTCATTCGTGTGCAGCATAGCACGAAAGCCCTGTTTCGCAACAACTGAGAACTGGCAGACTGCAGGTCACCTAGCAATGATGCGTTATTCGCATTTATAAGCAGCGCAGTTGATTCCTGGCAAGTTAAATCTGCAACGAGAGACTGTAAAACACAAAAGTTGTGAAGATGACGTCATTGTCCCGTTCCACCTTAAATGGTGCCGCATTTACATTCGGCACCTCAGTCAGAATTTAAGGTGGAACGGGAAAATTTGAACAAGAAGCTGGAGAATGAAAAGCGACTTCAGCCTCGGAAAACAGTTGAACGTTGAAGGACATTTTACGAGAAACTGATCTACTTCTGAAGAAAAGATTTCTGCCGGAGATGGGAGGAAAGCAGCTATAGCTAAAGCTTAAAGCAGAGCAAAGTAAATCCGCGTTTTCGTTTATATTTTTTAACCTAGGACATTCGCACATACTGAAACATACTGGACATTAAATGTTGCGGCTCCCAAGGTGATTTGATTTTTCGTTAAAAGGACAAAATGGCTCTTCTTATCATTTGGGTTGTGACTCCTGACCTAACCTGGCTTTTAATGCAGAGGGTGCCGGTCGGATTTCTCACTCATCCAGTCGTGTTTTTGCTATGTGCCGCCACAGACTGTCTGGGCGCTGCACTTACGCACTTCCAAGTTCCGCCTTTTGCGTTCCGCCAACATTACTTTATAAATTAAATTTTTAGAAAATTGATTTTTGACATTTGTAAATCGATTCAGAATCGTTCACGTCCGCATCGCGATGCATCTAAGAATCTATTTTTTCCCGCATCCCTGATACACACACACACACACACACACACACACACACACACACACACACACACCCTATATTGCCAAAAGTATTTGCTCATCTGCCTTCACACACATATGAACTTGGGTGACACCCCATTCCTAATCCATAGGGTTTAATGTGCCCACCCTTTGCAGCTGTAACAGTTGTTTATGGAGTGTGTTTATGGGAGTTTCTGACCATTCCTCCAGAAGCGCATTTGTGAGGTCAGGCACTGATGTTGAACAAGAAGGCCTGGCTCGCAGTCTCCGCTCTAATTCATCCCAAACGTGTTCTGTCAGGTTGAGGTCAGGACTCTGTGCAGGCCAGTCAAGTTCTTCCACACCTCATCCATGTCTTTATGGACCTTGCTTTGTGCACTGGTGCGCAGTCATGTTGGAACAGGAAGGGGCCATCCCCAAACTGTTCCCACAAAGTTGGGAGCATGAAATTGTCCAAAATCTCTTGGTATGCTGAAGCATTAAGAGTTCCTTTCGCTGGAACTAAGGGGCCGAGCTCAACTCCTGAAAAACAACCCCACACCGTAACCCCCCCCCCTCCACCAAACTTTACACTGGGCAAAATACAGTCAGACAAGTACTGTTCTCCTGGCAACCACCAAACCCAGACTCATCCATCAGATTGCCAAATGGAGAAGCATGATTCGTCACGCCAGAGAACACGGCTCCACTGCTCTAGAGTCTAGAGTGTGCTTTACACCACTGCATTTGACACTTTGCATTGCACTTAGTGATGTAAGGCTTGGATGCAGCTGCTTAGCCATGGAAACCCATTCCATGAAGCTCTCTACGAACTGTTCTTGAGCTAATCTGAAGGCCACATGAAGTTTGGAGGTCTGTAGCAATTGACTCTGCAGAAAGTTGGCAACCTCGGCACACAATGCGCCTCAGCATCCACTGACCCTGCTCTGTCATTTTACGTGGCCTACCACTTCGTGGCTGAGTTGCTGTCGTTCCCATTCGCTTCCACTTTGTTATAATACCACTGACAGTTGACTGTGGAATATTTAGTAGCGAGGAAATTTCAGTACTGGACTTGTTGCACAGGTGGCATCCTATCACGGTACCACACTGGAATTCACTGAGCTCCTGAGAGTGACCCATTCTTTCACAAATGTTTGTAGAAGCAGTCTGCATGGCTAGGGGCTTGGTTTTATACACCTGTGGTCATGGAAGTGATTGGAACACCTGAATTCAATGATTTGGATGGGTGAGTGAATACTTTTGGCAATATAGTGTGTGTATGTATATGTATATATATATATATATATATATATATATATATATATATATATATATATATACACACACACACACACACACACACACACACACGTACATCTGTACGTTTCTCGCACTTCATCTGCCTTGCCATTGTTTTAACACAATCATAGCACTTATGAGACTACAATGCTGATTACTTATAAGCCTACATCATAAAAAATCCTAAAAGAATCTCCACTGTGGCTGGATTAATGGCTTGTTGCTGTTATTTAACACTATCAACTCAGTTGAGGCTACTAAACTAGTGTAATGCTGTGACAGCAATGAATCCTGGACACTATACGTATGTGCACGTATATTACCTTACCAAGGCAAATCAAATTAAATTTTGGGTTCCATGTCTTTTTAATTTAAAAATAAGCGAAATATTTGCTCATTTTTACAAAAATGAAAATCAATGAAATAAACTTTAAGCATGTACGTCATGGTTCATTTGATTTTTTTTTTTAATAAACAGCATTCTTTGTAAAGTGAAGAAAAACAAAATGAAATTGTGATCTTAAAATCAAAAGTCATTACATAAAATTAAAGAATGCACAGAAGATAAATTAGACGTTGCACTGGAAATAGCACTAAACCCCTTCCATTCTGTTTAAAAAAAAAAATTATATATATACATACATACATACATACATACACACACACACACACACACATATTATACATAACCTGTAGCCAAATTAAATTAGTCCCAAAAAAAAAAAAAAGGTAGTCCAAAACTCTTCCACAGCGATGTAAAAAAAGACACTTCACAAGTTATCGCAAATGGTTGATTGCAGCTGTTACGGCCAAGGGTGGCACATCCAGTTATTAGGTTTGGGGGTAATTACTTTTTCACACCGGTTTTGAATAAATCTTTATCTTCAATAAATGGAATGATCATTCAAAAGATGCATTTTGTGTTTACTCGTGTTGTCTATCTTATATTAAAAATTTTTGAATATCAAACATTTAAATGTGACAAATTAGTAAAAAATAAAAGAAATTAGGTTAAGGGCAAATACTCTTTCACAGCTTTGTAAATAAATAAAAATAAATAAATAAAGATAAAAAGCAGTACAGCGTATTGCCTTGACAAAAGATAGAGATAATGACAGGTTGGAAAATGGTCATGTACAAATGAACTGCAATCATTTTTGGTAGGTTACTTAATACTACACAAACGTGGTTTATAAAACAAAAGTGGACTATAGTAAGCGTTCTATTCTAGGCATTGTGCATGTGTTGTGCGGGAAAGACTTAAAAGGAGGGGCTGTATGGTTGTTTAGTTTCAACACCAATAGCTTCACCAACATCAGCCAACCTGTCAAATTCACCCACACATTTAAAAGACTGACATCCTGGTGTAAAGCTGTTTCCATACAGTTAACGTAGAGATGTGTGTTTGCATCCTACCTTTTCATATAGCCATCGCACTGACTACTGAAATCTGTAATTTCCTTTCAAGCTGCTGTTACAGGTAGTCAAGCAGTTTTTTTTTTCTTTTAGATATTCCTATATTGAAACAATGGTGTCTACTGGGAGATAAACAACGTATAATAAAGACTGTCATTTACGTTCATTAAGTATTTGAAAGCTATATGCCATTGTTCTGTTTGTTCTGATAATGTGGTGGAGTGTAGCCTACTATGTGGAAATGTTTGCATCCCAAGACTACCCAATCAACAATTACTGCTTTTCAACTGACCTCTTAAGTCAACCTGATCTCTCTTCTTAACTGACCAGCTTAAGACACAAATACTACAGGCTAATACAGCTTTAATAGAAGTTTATTGAATTGTTGGCCTGTATATTTTCTCCCTTACTTTCTGTGACAAAACAAATGATACCTCAATAGCAGTTCCAGTTTTCCAAACCTGCCACCCGGAACAGTTAACTGAGTACTCGAGTACCTGTACACATCCCTACTGATTACAAACTATCACATATGGTTTTTTTAAAGGGGAAGTGATACCTAATTTTTTCATTTTTCAAACCTATTCTTAAAGTGACAGTGTTTGCAATTATTGTTTTCATTACACTTTTAATGTGTGCCTTTTGAGTAATCAGTGGAGTGAATGAAGGGATAAGAAACGAACAGATGAAAGCAATAGGCACATAAACATTATGAAAAGGTGAAAAACAATTAACTGCTGAAAACATAAAAGATATTAGACGTTAGCATTGGTGTAGTACAAATTTTTGGCATTAACCTCCGTGAAGTAGGTCGCATTTCTGCAGTATCGACCTCACTCAAATTTTGATCCTTGCTTATTAACTCTGGTTGCTTTATAAAAAAATATTAATATTAAATTAATTATTATAAATAACATCAATAATATTAATTTAACACATCTGCAATTTTAGCACTCTAGTTATTTCCCAAAATGGCACGCATTTAATTACAATTCAATACGGGTATTAAATCAGTCATATCGCTAGACAACTAACATTATTTCACACAGCCAATAAGCTGTAGCAAGAATAAAAAGCAATATAATAAGCTAATTCACTTCCTATTGCTTATTAATGTGTCAAAAACCAACATAAGAAACGCAGGATTTTTTAAAGAAGTAATGGTGAAATTTTCCAAAACATAGACCAGTCTACAAGAAATTTCTTCAGTTACAGCATGCTCGGCCATGGCTCCTTGCAAACCGGCCAGAGTTCACGTGTAGCTAACATGCTATCTGGTATGTAGCTACGATGTACGATGATAAGCGACCGCTACGCATATGTTATTGATGTGAGATAAAACTACAGGAGATGTCGTTCACATGTTGTAGTCGTGTGCTTGCACTGACATGTTTGCCTCACAATCAGAGTCTTCCGTTGTCAACAGAAATGACAATGCACAACCATGCGGTTGTCAGAACCGCCAAGAACCTAGGTTAACATATGAAACCAGCAGGCTAGCTAAGCAGGTTAGCAAAATGATCCACAGTGGTTTAGAGTCACTTGGCAAGCTAACTTCACACAGCTATCAAAATCGATGCAAAATCCCACATCACAAACCAGTTAGCTAGCTAAGTTAATCAGCTAATGTCAGCCTACAGCTTTAAGGGATAGCTAGCTAGTTAGCCATGCTAGCCAAGTTATCGATTTATACAAGTCACTTTTCCACCAATAAATATTTTCTAACTTAATTAAAGCGGTATGTCTAAAGTTGAACGGAAGAAAAATAAGTGTTCATTTGCGAAACACAATAGCCAGCTGAATAGTTTCTTATTCATAACTCATTGCCTTGCTACAAGTAACAGTTGCTAAGCTAGCAAGATAAAATTAGCCTAGCTTTTCATTCCCACTTAGGGTAAGCAACGTTAGTTACTGTTCTGTTCAAACATGAAATCGAGACACGTGGATTTATTAACTAATTTTAGTTAATAGTAAACTTACATTGCTTTGGCGTATACCACTTTCGCGGTTATTCTGAATGCAAACTCCTCTTTACTGTGTCGTCCTCCTGGGGATCTCGTCTCAATGAACCCGAGATAGGAAGGAACTTCACTGGGGAGCTCCTAGCCCAGCCTGTAGACGTTTCCAGAGCTTTTCGCAAAGACCGCCGCTTTCTGCTGTCAACTTCCACCACCCTCCTCGCGAAATTTCTTCTCGTAGGAAGGGGGAGCTTATTAATATTCATTAAGCTCCGCACAGAACGCCGTCTGATTGGCTGAGCAAAACGCTGTTTTTTTCCTTTTGTTTTTTTTTCCCCCCACTGTGAATCCTGTAGTAAATATCTTCTATGAAATGTATTCCTCCGTCTAAAAATGGGAAAAATGTAAATAATCTACAAGAATTATCAGGAATAGTAGCTGATAAAGAGGCTAGTCCATTTAAAGGATAATATTTATTATCTGCTTTCTAGGCTAACGGCATTTTTTACAGAAGGTATAGCACGTCTGATTCAACTAATTAACTACAAGCTTCATATGTGCTGGGTCAAGTGTGTTAAAGTAGGGAAAACACAAAAATGTGCAGAGCATGGCATCCCCATGGCTCTGGAAACTCCTGGTTTGCAGTCTCCAAAGCTGATGCATATGTGGGTACCCTTAAATGCCAGATGAACATTTATCCAGCCTTTGAGGGCTCGTTATTTAAACTTTTGACTACTGGATATAGAATTATTACTCCACTATTATTAGCTTATCTGCAGTTTAGGGTTTAACATGGTCTTAAACCTGAATGAGTCATGTGGGTTCTCCATTAATGTTTATTACTTGCATTCCATTGCTGACAGTTTAAACTAAACACAATTGCTGTATCATTTCGAAATCACATCAGTTATAATAATCAGATATTGATTCACTCATATCTCTTGATGAAACTTCAACAGATACAACAGCATTGTAGAGAAACCTACTGACTCACATTTCTTTACAATAGTGGTGATAGGAACCAGGAGTCACAATGTCTACAACACAAATATAGCCATTCAACTCACTATCTAAAACCACCAGTGAGCCTACTTATAAAATTATTATATTAAAGTCATGGTAAATCAGAAAAAAATATGTATTTTAGGGGTAATGTTTTGCATGTACCTCTCCATCATAACTGTATGTTTCTTTACAAGGGAACATCAAACCACTCAGAATAATGTTTACATTTTCACAATTGAATTTTACAGGAATTCTCCTTTAACTAGTAACCTTTAGCACAGACACCTATTAACAGTTACATACTTTAGCTAACATTTATCGTAAATGTTATCGTTTCAACTGATCAGTCTGTCGATGCCCAATGTAAAAGTTACGGTTGGCTTTTGAAATGTATATTAAATTGTTTATACAAAGATCCAGAGATGCAAACTAGCATGCACGGGAAAGTATTTAAACCTGTTTTTTACGTTACCCTTTTCGAATGAACATTTCTGAACCAAATTAGGGGAAGATACTGTGAATTCAGTTTAATCTTGCTTTTGAAATATCAGAAAAGAAGAAGAATTGGTCTACGTGTTCAATTTCCATACAATATGATACACATATATCATACAAAAGCAGAAAAGAAGAAAATGTTAAATTATTTTAGAATTCGAAATAATAATAATATGTGAGGAATCAGTGCTTGACAAATTTAGTCATGGAACACGACTTGGAGCTTTTATTTTGAAGACCTATCCGAGAAGCCAATGACATGTTACTGTAGTCGTTGACTTCACAATTCCAAGGACGTTTGACAGCGGTATCTCCGAATCTGTGACTGTTGTGCTTATTTATTGAATAACTATGGTCACTAGATACTAGAAGTAATTAACATTTGAGGAAAACTGAATGAGTCATTCGATATAGGTTACGTTAAGTCTTTGAAATACGTTGAGACCTGGATTAGCGCGTCAGGTAAATTAGCTAGCCAGCTGGTTAACGGTAGCTGTGTTTCTGAGAGAAACCGAAGCACAGAAAAGGTGGGTTACCAGCAGAGCGGTAAACCACCACGCCAGTAAGTAATACCTAAAAGGCAGTGTGCGTGAATGAGTTTTTTCCCGATATCCCTTAAGGAGCCGAGTGGCAGCGTTAACGTTTCTGGCGATGCCATTTATCAACATAATCGTTTGTGCTACAGAATGAGACGATAAGCTAGATTACTACATGAAAGAAAGAACGAACGAACGTAAAGGGGTTTGCAGAGCCGTACTGTCGAAATGGTAGAATACCAGGAGAATTTCCAGAGTACCGAAAGTTGCTCAGATGGACCACCGACACCTTTCCAGTCACCTTCGCCTCCTCCGTCTGCCCGGGACTGTCTTCGTCTCCAGAGAAGCAGCGTCTGCTCCCGTGCATACTTCGTGGTAGTGATGGTCTTCTTTCACCTCTACATAATAAATATAATAGCTTTGCTATTGTATGTGCACTATAACACTGGATCCGGGGACGATTCAAAGAACGAACACAACCTCGCTGACAGAAGCTCGAGTGTAACGTTAGCTCCTCCGGCATCCAGCGAGCTCCACACTGCATCTTCAGGCTCGTCAGGACCCATATTTCATCTCCCACGCTTGGAGGGTATACGGGTACGGAGATTGTCATACGCCAGTAACTGTCCTACTGTAACTTAAAGGAATGGTCTGGCAATAAATAAAATGTAGAGGATTTTCCCCTTCCCGTAAATGTAGTTGAACAGCCAAGACATGTTTTGTGTCCAAAGTTTGCTTTAGTAATGGAAGTAGTAATGCAAGTAATACACATACTAGGGTACATTACATTTGAGGTACATTAGCCTCGCAGTTTTAGTATAAAACCAAGGAAGCAAACTTTAGACACCAAACATGTCTCGACCGAAAAGGACTGCATTTTGAGTAAAGGGAAAAATATGACTTTTTTCCAAACCACACTTTTAGCTGTCTACTAAATAGGCATTCTGTTCAGTGGCTAAATTTGTTGTCTGTTTTCTGTTCAGGTTGGCCACATGCAAACAGTGTCCCTAACTCCTGACCGTACTCATAAGTTGCGGACCCTCAGCCTGAAGCCACTGTTGTTTGGTGAGCTATTTAATGTTAACTTTGTTAACTCAAACAGTAATGATATGCATTGTGTTTTGTCTTGTGTTAAAACGTCTATTTACTATATATATATATATATATATATATATATATATATATATATATATATATACACACACACACACATATATATGTATATATATGTATATGTATATATAGGCACTATCTGGTCCAGTTTCCAGTTTTTAAATGCCTTCCATTTTGCAGTGGCATGGGGAGTTTTTTTTAGTTCCCCCTTCTGTTCAGTTTTTTCACTTTCTCCCTCTCTTCGTTGACCCTCTACCCTCTACACCGATGACGTTTCCATTTCCGTGCAGCCTGGCTGAGTTGTCGTTGGTGTTTGTTCCAGCTGAAAGCCTTGTTGACCAGTAGCCTCTCGCCTGTCACAGTGCCCGTCAGAAGGAAGGTGGCGCCCTGAGGATGATGGCGGCTCAGGTTGCCCACACAGGTGGCGTCCCGCTCCAGCCACAAGGCCAGCCTGCCCCTCATTTCCCCTCCCAGCAGTGGCCCGTGCTTAAAAACCTCCAGCCGAGAACCCAGGGAGAACTTAGCCAGAGCTGAGCTGCTGGAGTTGGATGGTTCTAAGCGTACTTTAACCACTGAAAGAGAGGCAGAGAGGAGAGTAAGAAGAATGTGTTAGGCTGTGAGGAGAATAGATGGAGACTATTGAAAGGCCAAGAGTAGGGTTTGGCAATATTAACTTTTCAAAATTGATGATATACCTTTTTTTTTTTTTAAACACCCCATTTAGATAGGGCACAATACCAGTTTTTCATTCGTGATACCGAAGTTGAAACCTTGATTATTGGTTGAGTCTGATATTTTTATTTTATTTTTCTGAATTTTTTTGACACTGTGTCAATAATATTGTCCCTCACCCAAGCCTAGTCAAGAGAAAACGGGGATAGTTGGGCTTAAATGAATGAGAATGTCAGTAACCTTTGCAAAGACTGTGTTCATTAAAATGACTGAGTGAGCACTCACCAAAATCACTCTTGCAGAACAATTCTAGCAGCTCTTTGGCTGATGTGGTCTCCTCTAACTCACAGTCTGTGCAGCTGGCTTGTGGCACCGCTGAAACGAACAAAAGGATCACATCAGTTAGGAACTAATAGAAAACTATTTGTCAAACAGACTAACGCTGTCCTTCATCATTATTATTGTCAAGTCCACACAGAGAGAGTAGAGTTTGTGAGCTTACCTCTGCGGCCATTGCTGGTGCTGTTTGGCATGTGTGTGACTGAGGAGATACACATGAGGTGGTCTTTGGGGAACTGGTCACAATGCAGGATTCTGGGCCAGGGGTAGCCGTAGCAGTTCATGATGGGAGCACAGCTGTCCTGTACAGACTCACACAAACTCCGACACGGAGAAATGATCCTGAGGAAAAGGTAGTAAAAGAGAATGCAAAGATGAAAGAATTGATAGGAATGAGAAAGTAAGGGGGGGTCAGTAGGGGTGAAAAAAGAGCGAGGAAATGACCACAGGGACAAGGAGTGATGCTTGATGTCAGTGACACTCTATGCCCTTGTTTATCCTCAATAATATAAACTATTTTCTTTTTGGAATTTGTTAAAATGGGAGGCAATGGAAACTGCATAATGTTACAGTCAGGCAAATATACTTTGGTGGCAATATACTGGGGAGGGGACGCTATGGTTAAGTCTTTTTGTGGAAAAAACTGCCAGACAACATACATTTCAAAGTTTTTTTTAAGGAGTGTTGTGTGTGCACTAGGTCTTCACTACTATAATGATCTGTTGAGATTTATTGAGGTTGCAGGCTCTTGTAGCTGTGTAGTTTCAGATTAGTTACCCAAAGCAATTGAATTTGCAGCAAAGAATAGTTCAAAGTTATTCATGGGCACAATACAAGTGAAAATTACTTGCATGCAATGGGGAGAGAGTGTGTAGATGGCCTGTATGTGCAAGGACATTGGTTTCTGAAAGGAACCAAACAGTCCACAACCTAAGCAACTCTTTTGTTTCAAAGCAGGCACAAACAAACTGATTTCCATAATCTTCTCTCACCATTTAGGGCAACTGTGGGCAGCATTCCTGACTTGACTGTCTGTCCATACATCTTAAAGCAATAGCTCTGTGAAAAATCCAATTTACACAATTTCTCCTAACCCCAAATGTAGTCAGCCAAGACACATTTGCCTCTTAAGTTTTTCTATTTAATTTTGCTTTCATTACTTATTAGCTGCATTAGCCTTGTAACTCCACTGCAGACTTTGGACACTTTTTTTGCAGAACTGTTCCATTAATTCTTCACTGGTTGGCCTGAAACATGCAAACCTCCCAAATTACAAATATATTCTTGTACCTGCCCCAAATATCTCAACCAAGTGGATGGCTTCTCTTACCTTTCGAGACACACAGGGGCGAAGAGTGAGCAGAGGAAGATCCGGGCATGCGGGTGGCATTCGCGGGCAAGCAGAGGCAGCCAGCTGGTGCTCTGCTGGACAGCCTCGGCAGGCGACTCGTGGCCCAGCAGGTTGGGGATACGCATAGTGTTGTAGCCCAGCCCCTGGCACAAAGCCATGCTGAAAGGGATGGGGATGCAACGTGATGAGCCCTGTGGCTCCCAGTGCCCATCAGGCATGGCCCATGAGCTCCAGCCTACCAGGAATAGCAGCAAAGCGGACACAAGCAGAGTCATAGTCCTGATGGAAGCGTTAGCAAAGCAGGTTTCTTTCAGCCAGTAGTTCAGGGAAGTGTCAGAACAGGGCAGTGATAGGTGTATTTATACATCACCGTTGGAGGCCCTTTGGGTGAAGGCGGGTCTTGTGATGCTTGAGATTTGGAGGGTGTGTGTGTGTGTGCGCACTGATTCTTCCGTTTCCCTGCTGGAGATGATGAATGGTAGGATTTCCATCACGCACTTCTATTTTTTTTCCATTTTTTAATTTTTTTAATTTTGCATTTGTTACCTGTATTTTTAGTAAATTAAACAGACGGGAATGGTGGCAGATAAGTCTCAGACTCAAAATGGTTGAGGAAGTATAGGCACACTCCAAAGATGTGCGTATCTTGTGTCGCTACACTACAACAAAATAAAAAAAAAAGTAAATTGAGTAGGTGAAAGGAAACATAGAGAGCAAAACAAGAAGAATTGATAGTGTTCTGAACTGTAGTATTTACCCTTACACTACTGCTAATCACTGCAATAGTTTCAAAGTTGTGGCTTCTTTGCAGTTTATGTAGCAATTGTCTGCATTTGATAACTCTATTGTTCAGTATAACTTCTAAAATGCAAGTGTGAAAGCCAGTATAGTAGTGGCTGCTTATCTGCTTCTGGGGGTTGTGGAGTTGCTCTTCACCTGCTGGGTGCACAATGCTGTTTCTACCCCAAATGTGGCCCACACTTCCTCTGCTTGCACTTCCCAGGAAGCCCTCCCTCCTCTAACCTTCATGCCATCAAATAAGGAAGCAGAGAGGAAGCATGTCACCCCCTGTATGTTTAGGCCAGCCATGCGGAAAACATCTTGTAAAATTTTGTGTGTGTGTACACGCTGCTGCAGAAATTGTCTGCACTGAAACATAACAATGGCTGTGGAAAATGAAACTCAATCCTTTATAAGCAATTTGACACTAGCTGCTCTCTATTCTAGAGGGACAATGGCCCCCACCGGAAACCATTAATGCCCCAGTCTCATTAACACTGTCAATGGCAGCACCACAAGCAGTCCCAGAAGACGGGTGGGGGTAGGGAGGGGGAATTCATTATCCCCATATCCAAAATCACTTAATGGCCTCTGTTCACACTTATATGCTGTTGATGTGTAGAGTGAGGATCAATCATGTAAAACATATAGTGTGAAATACGGTCCAGTTTATACAGCTTTTCTTTATTACAGTTCTCAAAATATGTACAATTCAGTTAAAATGCCAGCATCAACTAATATCAACATTGATATAATTTTAAATTAATCCAGGACCTCTGTGTCAGTGCTCAGTATTTTCATTCATAGGCACAATCTCATTTGAGAATTGATTACGTTAACACTCATTTGCATGGGGGGCTAGTTGTGAGAGACCCTATAGGTTAATGCTACAGAGTGTGAATGTGATCCTTTAATCTCAGATTAAAATCTCTCAGTGCCCTCTTTCACACCAATGTTCAGTAACTATTCCAAACAAACTGTGCTTAGAAAGAACTCCTCTGAAAAAATAAATCACCACCACTTTGTTAGGCAGACACAGCTAATTCAAGAACTGAAGCCAAATTTCCATATTAACAGTCATTCAGAGTGCTTTGATGCAAAATGATTTATTGCAGAGAAACTCACTCATTGTTTCAATGGGTGGTGACAGGAATATAGGATATCACTAAATAGCATTTTCTTTACTATCCAAAATGACTAGTGAACGTACACAAGTTTTTTTATTTATACATAATGTTGCTAATGGTAAAACAGTGAAAAAATTTAGCTAAAACATATTAAAATAAGTTTACTTTGGGGACGGTTTTGCTTTCCAATGTCCTGCTTGGCTTTAAAAAATATGTTTAAATCAAAAGCAGCATATTCATGCAAGGTAGTTTTTAAAGGCCAGACACCTGGTTCCTATCATTACCACTGTGAATAGTTCTGACTTTGTAAGTTTCTCTAGAAAATAGCATTTCACATCAAACCAATGGCTTTGTGCATGACTTTGTTCACATTTTAACAATTTAATTACAGATATTTTGAAAAATCACTGGAATTCCCCTTTAGCTGAACTTTAGATTGAGGTAAACTCAAAAGTATTATTTTCAGTGAGCTGTTGTTAAATTGTTGATAAATTGCGCAGCAACAGATGAGGTACAGTCGCAGTGCACTTGTATGGAAGGTGTTCCTGCTAAAATGTCCAGTGAGTGTAGCTACAAAGACTGAATGGGATTTTAGTTGATTCTTAGTTAATTTTTGTTTAATTTCATTTTATGTTCAGATTTGATGGTTTTGTTTGTTTTAGTTGCTTGTTATTTTGGTCTGTTTTGGTCTGTTTATTTTTGTATTGTTTTTTTATTTTTTTACTTTTATTTCTTTTTTGTTCTTATTTTATACTTAGTAATTTTCATTTTAACATGATTTTGATAGTATTACTGGCTTTAATTGATTACATTTCATTTTACACATATTCATCACAATGTTTTTTTTAATAACTGCATAACCTGTATTGTCATGCTCTGTTTATTGCAAATGACAGTCACCTTGAATGTACTATCAATCTATCAAGCTTTATTTAGGCTTATTGCAAATGTCACTTCCAATGTACTCTAAATAAAAGCCTAAATAAAGCTTGATAGATTGATAGTTTGATAACTTCTCTTTTTTGTGTGCCATTCTGCAACTTAGAGATTCCAGGGTTTCTGAGCCCAGAGGAGTGTGCGGTTGTAATGCAGCTGGCGCAGTTAAAGGGCCTCACTGCCAGCCCAAGGCCAGCTCCCGTGGACAGTCTAGAGGAGCAGCTGACCCAGGATGAGCTCTTCAGTCTGCTGGATCTCAACCAGGACGGTTTGCTGCAGAGAGAGGAGGTCAGTCTCACACAGCCACTATCAGCCTCTATGGCAGTTGTGTGCATTGCAGAAATGAAGACTCAGGGATCAAATTGGAATTTGACAGGTGAGGGAGCACTGCTTCTTTCATGAGTGTCAGCAGTGTAGGGGCAATGTCATCCAGTTTGTTCAAAATATCCTACTCAGTCTTCAGCGTTGAAATAATAGAAATGAGACTAAAATAGTTTATATGCATACAGCCTCTATATCTAGGCTAGCTACCTATGTGGTAGAATGCTTAATTATTTGAATGTAACACTACAGTAGGAGAAAACAGCAATACTTTAATGTAATGATTTATTGAGGCACTATGAACTAATTTATGTGAGGTGTTGATGCTGTGTTGATGCTTGAGGCTTCTTTACAAACACTGCAGTTCCAGCTAAGGTCTGTGATTAGGCTGATAAATCAATGTGATGGGCTAGTTATTAATTTTATCGCTACTGAGCTCTGCAAAAGCCTGAGTAGACTGATAAACGAAGGTGATCAGCCAGTTATTAATCTCAGCATTACTAAACTCGGCATTATTAGGGATGATGGAACTGAGCAGTCTCCTTGGTGGTGGACAGTTGTAAGCTAGCATTGGTGTTATTCTGGATTTATGTTGCATTTTGTGGCATGTTACATACAATTCATTAACTGAAAATCACATAGCTACCCACTTTATTGCAAAATGTGTAAGAATTTGTTACTGGGATACATTAATACATTTATGACCGCATTTTCAGTATTCAGCCATCCCTCCTTTTCAAGTATTCTGGTCAACCAGGCTTGTTAGATTTTCTTTTTGGATGGACAGAGGTTATGAACACTTTCTGTATCTTTCCATGATTTCAGTACATTTTTTATACTTAATTTTGGATTTTTCCTGCATTTCTTAAGGGTATTTTATGAAGAGATAGTATTTTTGACAGATTAATTCAGCCCAGTATTGAAGTTTACTAAAGCAATATCTTTCAGAAAATTAATGGCATTTTGAGTCAAGCATGTTGGATGAGGATTTTCAGAAGAGCACTGGAGATCTCTGGTTTAATCATGATGTGTGCATTTGGATTAGTGTCTCAACGTGTTCTGTTTTTTGTTTTTGAAGGGGTAAATTGAAAGTTTTTTAGCTTATTATTGTTCAGCTGGACCCATAGCTGAAATTATGTACTTTTGTTCATAGTGAAGCACAATTTGAACTGCAATCATGTAATACATTTAAATAATAATAAAAACAAACAATTCTAAAACCCAAATGATGATATCCAAGACTACTTTTAAGCACTGTAGGATGAATTTGTGAGAGGGATGATAGGGGGATGGAAGAGCAGAGGAAACAGCAGACCCTGTGATAAAAGATATTTTTTGTTTTGTTTTGTCACAGATTTTGAGTCTGTCACTCTCAAATGATGGATCCTGGCTGAGCTCATACAGCTTGCGGGAAATTCACATGGGTCTTGAAAGAAGCCCTGCTGGTAAATAGAGTGAGTGTGTGTATGTGTATGAGTGTGTGTGTGTGTGTGTGTGTCAGTAAGTGTTTGGTCCAAAGCGACAACATAACACCCACCATTTTTTTCAAAAGCTTCCGGATAGATCCTATCATCACTCATTAAAATCTCATTATTATGAGGGGTTACACTGGATCCCCCAACCCACCCACACATCCGCTCCACCCCCACCCCCAAACATACACACGCACAAAGGTACTGCCCCTCTTCTGTTGTCTGGCCAGTGTCCTGCTGTGGTTCGGTTCCGGAGGGGAAAGAGTGAACACATTCACTGACCCAGAACTAACACAAATAAAAGGGAGAGATTGTATTGCTACTCTCTGTTCATTTAATGCCATCATTGCTGCTATCACTCTGTTGTTACTTTAAATCAATTACAATACTCCAACAACTATGTTTAAAACAGTCATGCCAATGAAGGTATATAATGAAAGTTTTTATTTATTTTAATTTGAACTGAGCAGTGAAAAAAGGAAAGTTATCACTGAAAGTGCAGATGATTTTAGAGTTAGGAACTGATGTACTTAGTCACAAGGTATTCAGTTTCAGTCAAGGCAAGGGCAAACATTAGGCCCCATTCACACCTGGTCACTTCATGTGACTAGTATCTGGATTGTGTACTATCAGGATCATCTTCTTTTATCTTCTTTGCAGACATGGATCGTGTGCCCAGTGAAGTACTGCATGGTGAGCAGGTTTAGTTGTACTTGGAGGGGTTTTGGTTGTAAAATGTGTCTTGGAGAGATGGATGCCTTTGCACTGCTATAACGTGGCTCAAATGCATCTCAGCCACCTCCTAAAGTGATTTAAGCAATTGGATTTGTATCTGTTTTCAATGTGTGTTGGGTGCATTGACACTTGCATTTTTATGTGGCTTGACCTTATCCAGATATAATCCTGATACTCAAGACGCATGAAATGACCAGGTGTAAATGGGGTCTTAGTGATTTCCATGTTCAAACACAATGTAGCAGGTGTTTAATAGGCTTGCAAACATGTGAATTTTCAAGTTTACCACAAGGAAGTAGAATACAAACAGCTGACATAGTCAAAAATGCAGGTGATAAACTCAGGCAAGGTCCATGTTACCCAAGTTTACAAGTTGTGATGTATGACCAGCCAATATGCGAACACAGTAGACCAACCTGGCAAACAATGTGGTCTACCAAGTATGTCAATTACACTTTAATTTCTGTTTCATGATGTCTGTAAATGATTGCAACATTAAACAAGTTGTAGTTAGGCCTGTGCTGCTAATGGAGTCATGCTATTAGGGTAACTGTGTGGAAAATAATCAAGGTAAGAAGTTAATATTTGTGTGTAATATTGTGACGCTTCCTAACACCGAAGCAGATGCGAAAGCAAACACAGTGATAGCATGTTGAATTTGATTTTTTTTTTTGTGCCATTTTGTCAAATAAAACAGTCATAGTACAGTTCAGTTAATTTGTAGTTGCGGTATACTGTTATTCTTAATCTGACTACAAAAACTGCATTTAATTCAGTAAGATAGAATGGAATTGTGATTGTCACACAAACTGTTGAACCTCGACGTTTCTGGACAGGAGTTTAATATCCTTGGTCCTGTGTGTTTGTGTGGATGTAGGAGTGCTGTCACTAAAGGAGTTCAGGCAGGTGAGTGGTAATGTGTTTCGGCATGGCGGTGCTGGGCAGGGCTTGTATGGACAGAACCAAATTAGACAGAAGAGCATCCAAACGCGACTGTTCCTGGGAGAAGGCACCCACCACCTTCTGAAGAGCATCAGGAACAGGTAATACATGTTCATATTTTCATATTTATGCATGTGTAAAAACACTTTAACTTTCACTGTGTGGGGCTTATGAGGCACCACACACCAATTCATTACCTATGAATTCATTAGCAATTCATTAGCTTTTGAATTTACTTGGTGCTTTCTAAATGTCAGGTGACTCACTCTCTCTCTCTGTCTGTCTCTCTCTGTCTTCCTCCTAGGGTGACTCGTTTAACCCGACTCCCATCTTCATTGATTGATCTCAGTGAGCCGTTGGAAGTGGTTCACTACGAGCAAGGTGGATACAGTCATGCCCACCATGACAGTGGCCCCTCCAATCCAGATAGCTGCTGTGTGCATACATATCTGGCTGCAAACAGCTCTGCCCCCAACCATATATCATGCAGGTGTGTATAAATTCACCAGATGTGTTTTTGTCTATATTGTACATCCTAATTTTGGGACACCAGAAAGACAAACTGTTAACTGTTTTCTTAAATTTTACCCAATTTTCTGGGTAGATTTGCCATTTTTCAGTTGCTCTGCGTCTGCAGTATCACACAATGCTCCCAACCAGGAAGGGCAAAGGCAAGCCTGTGTTGCCTCCGCGATGCAAGTAGCCTGTTGCCGCCTCTTTTGAACTGCCTTTCATGCATCATTGTAGGACAGCTGAACTTGCTTGGAGAAATGCTTTAACTGTGCAATTCTGTGTACATATCCTAACAGACCTAACAAAATCAACGGGAAGAGAGGAACTAAGCTAAACATCTCATCCATTGGGTTTAACTGATCAAAGCTGCTTAGAAAGATGATTCTAGGAATGACATCTGAACTACTCTGCTTTTAATATCATACAACTTTCAAACAAGCAAAGATCTGAACGCAAACAAGCACTCACCCACTTACTTGCAATTAACTGTAAATGACTGTCCTTGATTGCGTGCCTAATCCTTAAGCGTTTTTCTGTTTGTACTAGGCCTGTTACAATTACTACATAATGATCCTGATCACAATTTCTTGACTTGATTGTAATTATTTTCCACAGTTGTTAACTTTCATAATCATATGTTTACATTGCAAATATATATAAATAAAAAAGTAGAAAACACATTTATTTGGATACGTCTAGGGTCTTATGAAAACAAGAAACTCTCCAACTTCAGGTGCTACAACATTTTTAGAAGGTAGTGGTGAGGAACATTTATTTACCTGAGCTGGAGCTGTGTCAGTTGTCTGTACCTACAGGGTATCGACGGTTTGGAAACAATATAGCTAATCAGGCTATTTAGCTTCTTTAGGCTTTAAACATTTAACAATAATTGCAATTATTGATATGACAATTATTCATCAGCTAAAATTTCATAATCGCAACAGGCCAAAGTAGAAAGTATAAGTTAGATCTATTATGATCATGACATTTTAGCTGACCATATAAAAATATTGCATTTATTAAATTAATTGTCTGTTTTTGTTCATTTATTTGCAGTGGATCATTACAAGTATAGGCAGCCAAATTGGCTGATTGTGCTTTCTAGCTGTAAGTACTTAGTACTTAGAGTACTTAGAGCCCAACTGACGACAGACCGAGCTTGAGCTCAATTAGACATACCAAGTTAGAAGTTTTTTGTTGTTTTTGTAAGATCGATGCCATGTCTCAATAAATGCATTTTCTTATTTCTTTTATTTATATTTACATATATTTGCCTCAGCCCAACTGATGAAAATGCACCCGGTTTACATTCTGTTTGTTGCGACAAAAATAATTGAAACAGGCCTATTACTACTCATTTTATCATATTTGTATAACTGAACAACTCTATTTGGCTCCAAAGCCTCTCAACCTGTGTGTTCAGACTTAAAATAGGGGGTGCTATTTCTTTCAGTTATTGTATTTTCTATGTGAAGGTTCATTGTTTATCAGTTCTAACACACTAACATCTTACACACAGATTTGTATTTGTGAGTTAAAGGCTGTACGATTAAACGTGTTGGTGTTTGTTGTTGATAGATACGTGACTTTGTTGCTATTTCTGAATATGGTGGATGGAGGCGGGGAGAGCAGCTTCCCCGTGGCTGACAACAGGACTTATGAGGAGGAGGTGAGCCACGTCCGCACTCTGTTTCCATAGCGATAAAGGGAAGTGAGCTCTGTTGTCAGGGCAACTAAAGAAAGGACCAGGAAAACTAGGCCTTAGTTGTTTCTGTGACATTGGCTCTTGACTTTAACATGTCCTGCATAAAGGTTCATAACTGTGATGGCACAATAATTTTGCCATGCAGAGTGTCTGATTTTTGTGTTTTAGGCTGTTGCTAGTGCAGAATTCCAAAGCTAAAATGTCCAGATGAGCCTGTCACACTACACATAATGCACTAACATGTTCATAAATGCAGTGACTTTGAACTGGATTTATCAAAATACTCTGCAGGCTAGGGCTGCACAGTAAAATCGTATTTTTAGTATTGTCACAATAGAAGTTTCTGCAAACACATTGTTTGGCAGAATGGATAAATTAGTTCACATATGCAGTGCCAGAGTGATGTAATTAATGATGCAATGTAATTAGCAGGCCTTAGAACCCCAAGTGCTTCTGTTTGCCAGGCTTGCACTGTGCTCTCCCATGTGAAGAACAAGTAACTTATACAATATATAGCCAAAAGTATGTGGATACCTCTCCTAATTATTGAGTTCAGGTATTTTTGCCACACCCATCACTAACAAGTGTATAAAATCACATGCATATGCAGTCTTCATAGACCAGCACTGGCAGTAGAATGGGTTGCACCGAAGAGCTCAGTGACTTTAAATGTGACACTGTCATAGGATGCCAGTTTGTGAAATTTCTGCCCTGATAGATCTGCCCCGGTCAGCTTTATGTGCTATTATTGTGAAATGGAACTGGTAGACAGCACAAGCTCACAGAGCAGCAACACAAAGTGCTGAAGTGCATAGGGTGTAAACATCGCCTGTCCTTTGTTGCATTACTCATTAGAGTTCCAAACTGCCTCTTGAAGTAACGGCAGCACAAAAACGGGAGATGGGAGCTTCATAAAATAGGTTTACTCGCCAAGCAGCTTCACACAAGGCTAAGATCTCCATGCGCAATGCCAAGCAGCAACTGAAGTGGTATAAAGCATGGCATCACTGATCTCTGGAGCACTGGAAACATGTTCTCTGCAGTGAACCACACTTCACTATCTGGCAGTCTGATAAAGGATAATGTGTAGAAAGACATTTTAGGGGGCTCCCAAGTGGCGCAACCGGCTAAGAGTTGGCCCTATCATCAGATCGTGAGTTCGATCCCTGGTGATGCTACAGCCTTCTGTAGCTGGGAGTCCAAGAGAGCACAATTGGCCCCGCTCTCTGGGTGGGTAGGATGCCCCCCCCCCGTCTCCCCCCATCACTCAACGCAATGCTAGTCAGCGTGGGCGTCTGTTAGCTGATGCAACAGATCTGGCAGTTGGTGCTTTTCTCCGAGCGCGTTCAGCTGTCCAATGACGTTGCATAAGCGGCAGTTCGAAAAGATGCGGTTGCTGGCTTCACAGGTCTTGGAGGAAGCCTGTGTTAGCCTTCATCCTCCTAGCATTGATAGTATCGTGTGATTGGGGGAGTCCTAACAAGCGGGTGGAATTGGAGAGTACTAAATTGGGGAGAAATTTGAGTAAAAAAAAAAAGAAAGACATTTTAGACATTTTAGAAAGACATTTTAGACAGTTATAAGCTTCTAACTTTGTGGCAACAGTTTGGAGAAGGCCCTTTCCTGTTCCTGTTCCCTGTCCTGTTGTGCCTCTGTGCACAGAGAGAGGTCCATAAAGACATGGTTTTGTGAGTTTGGTGTGGAGGAACTCAGAGCCCTGACGTTAACCCATTTAACATATTTGATGCTCCAATTCATCCCAAACGTGAGCCAGGACTTTCACATCCAACATTGGTGCGTGACCTCTCAAATGCTCTTTTGACTGAATAGGCACAAATTCCCCCAGGCACACTGTAAAATCTTGTGGAAAACCTTTCCAGAAGAGTGGAGGCTTTTATAGGCGCAAAGGGGGGCTAAGTCCATATTAATGCCCAGCAAGCTTATGTAGGAATGATGGTCAGTGTCTACATACTTTTGGCCAGTACATTCTTACACGTAATTTTACATAAATGGCTATTTACAAGACACATGTACATGCACAGCTTAAAACTACTGTTTCCTAGGCTACTAACCTGGAAAGAGGCTTCAAACGTGATGACTGTTCTCAGTCTTAGTGCTGTGTGAAGAATGTATGAAGCAGTAATGGCTACTAGGGTACACAAAATTCACCATACAATATGTATTTCTGTATTTGTATTACAATACGATACATTTTGCTACAAAATTTGAAAAAGAAATGCTAACATAGCTAGTTGAAGGGATAACTGGCACAAGTCATTTTCTTAGAAGACATAAAATAACTAAGCATAGTAAGTCATACAAAAGTACAAGATATTACATGTTGCACGTGTGTTTGGCAAACACATGTTGTTATGGCTCTGACCATGACATGTTTGTTTACAGTCAGATGTTGAGTTTGTAGATAAGCTGTGGCCAGGGATGCGGGAAGGTGTCATATAGGGCTACAATGAGGCCAGAGATAACAATATATAAATGTAGCCTAACTGACACATCAGATCGCTGACTCGCATCATCTCTTTGCTCTCTCGTTCTAGACAGACTTTATGCAAATGAACTGAGCGGCGACCAATCACACTGTTGATATGTGGAGCGGTAATCAGTTGTGTCATACCCACAATCATGCGGTGAGATTTAACGCTGAAACGCACACAGAGTGGGAGATATAACAGTTGATAAAACATTATTATAATGATAGATGATTATTTTTAAGTTTAAAGAACAATGTAAGGATGCTACTGGCTGCTGTGGGGGCATGTCGCTGAAAAAAATCAGAGGTTGAGGTTCAAAGAGAGGAAGTCTATGTCGAGTTACAGGCCACTTCACAGAACTTTTGAAAATATAAAAATACATACTCCACTCTAAAATAAGCACACATGGGTCTCTACTACGCTACAATTATTATAAAGAACAGAATATTTTATTATTACTATTATTTTTAACAGTGGCAGTCCTGAAATCAGGGGATGCTTCAGCACCCTTAGCACCTCCACTTCCCACATCCCTAACTGTGGCTGTTACCTTCTGGCTAAAATGAGTGTGAGAGAGAATTTTCTAATGTGGCTCAGTCACCCCCAGCAAACTGTTCTGTGGAGTTATTTGTTTTGACCATTCGAAATTGTTTGCTCCTCGCTCCAGCAAATTAGACATTTGGATGATGTCTTGATTCTTGCGCAGTGTTGGCATGTGGTCACCGTTCAGTCTACCACTCATTGCTCGTCATTATTGTGCTCAACTGGGAAACAAAAGTGCTTCCGAAAAGAGGATAAGGATAATGCTTTATCCAGCTATTTCAAAGAGCTTGGCTAGTCAACCATCGAAGGCAGACAAAGCTGAAGTTAGCTTCTTACTCTGATTTTTTTCAGGCACCAGAGTGTAACTGCAGTTATCACAGACTTTACAGCATGAAATAAAACTGTATTCAAGTCATAGCCCCGCCTCGTGACCCTCGTATCGGGGGAAAAAAATATTGTGCATATTGTGACACCCCTAGTCACAACAACCCTGCATAACCATAACAATTATGTCAAGGAATTTAATGGATGGATGGATAGTAGCCATTTTTGCAAAGGCTCAGGGATTGCTGACCATTTTTTAAGCAGCCTTATAGTGCTTGTAGTTCTGATGCAAGTAGCTATTTCATGATTTTGTATTTCATGATTTTTTTAATTTTGCACAATAGTGAATGGTGCTTTTGTAATTATACGTTCTTTGCTTAATGTAGATGTTAACGATTTCTGTTTATACAAATAAACAATCAACAACATATCATTGTGATATCCAACAGCTTTATCGAACATTACATTTTATCTACTTTGACTAAGTGTGTTTAATGAGAGAGAGCTGGTGTGAATCATTATTATTTCTATGTTTACTAAGCATTGGCACATATTATACAAGAGCTACCTTCCTGCAGATTTCAGTTTCAACCCTAATCCAATGTATCTTGCTCCGATTCCAGGCGTAACATATTCCAGATGACCCTAAATAGCTGAATCGTGTATAAGATTAGGGTCAGAAATAAAGTCTGCAGAATGGTCTTGTTATGGTCTTGAACAAGGTTAGAACAGGGTTAGAGATTCCTAGCCTAGATCAACAGAAATGGTATAAAAAAATAAAAACCTAGTTTTAAACCAGCAATAAGTTATATGTTATATGGATGTGTAGTGTCAAATATATGTCAAAATGTGGAGTAATATGTACATATCAACACAACATATCAACACATTTATCAGCCTCTCATTGTCTTTTATACACACACAGTAACTTAACAATGACTTACAATGCTTCCATCGGTGTGTGTGTGTGTGTGTGTGTGTGTGTGTGTGTGTGTGTTTGTGTGTATCAGGCCTTGGGTGACCTTTCTCAGCAGTACTGTGCCAAAGGGAATCTGAAGATTAAGCCTGTTGCCGGAACGGCCCTGCTGTGGTATAACCACCTCTCAGACGGCAATGGTTACTACCACTTTATTAACATATTCCTTTTCTTTCTCACTCTTTTTGCATTTTTTCAGTTTTTGCTATTAATGTGCATGTGGGAGGTGTGGGAGGCTCCCTTGTCAGGCTTAGTCTTGTTAAAAAAAAAGTCTCATGAGGATTCACTCATTCACTTCAGGAGTCACACATGCTGTCATTAACCTAGATTTTTAGTTGAACAAACCAGTGTTCAGATAAGCTACAGAAGTATTAAGCTGCTAGTATTTAATTTGAATATTTGTCTGTGTTCAGTCCAGTTGCATTGTGATGCCATGCTTGGCACTGAAGTAAAACTCTGGTATTGTGACAACCACAGAGAAGTGTTTTACTCTTTGCTAAGAGCCTGATTCACCAACTCTCAGTAACATACATAAATATTTGAGGCCTGGTGAAAGCTCACAAGATTTAGGAGAATTTTATTAGGCCATATCTGATATGCTAGGGTAATATGTAGTAATTTTAGGGTGTTTTCACAACTGGCAGAGTTTACTGGCACATTTATAGGGCCTATAGAATACTCAAATGTGTATGCAATATATACAAAAACAATTAATTTTATGGTAAGATGAATGTGAACTTTTTTTTAACTTTCTTTATGTCACGTGTGTGCACAAAGAGCTATGTACGACAGTAGACCCTGAAATACTCCTCGTCCTGATCTTACTTTTTTAACAATTTAAAATTTTTTAACAAATTAAAATAATAGCTGTCAATCAACAACTCTGGGAGGAGCCTAAAAAGGCATGGGTATGAGCCTAAAAAGGCATGTACATGCCTAACTTTTTGTGAACTTAAATATATTTGTAAACAAATGCTATACATAGCTAGCACACAACTGAATTAATCAGTAACAAATTTTACAATTAACTGTAATGGCTTTCATGCTAATGAAAATGTGCTTACTCTAGCCGAGGGTCCTTGGGAAGTAAAATCAAGACAGGGATGTGAGATTGGGCTTGCAAAATGTCTGAATGTAGGCTGTATTTCTTGACTATTTAAAGCTGAAGGATTGCTCTGATTAGAGCAGATCACGCAGCAGTCTATAAATGCGACTTGATTCTCTTTTTCTATTTTACACAGTTCGTGGAGGTATTAGATGATCACTACTCATTCACTGTATCTGTTTAGGTTGGGTAGGAGAACTGGACGAGTTCTCCCTGCATGGCGATTGCATGGTCACTCGAGGTTCTAAGTGGATAGGCAGCATCTGGATCAACGTCGACCCTGACCAACAGCGTCAGGAGCGTTACCAGCGCCTGGTCTCTGGGCAACCCCTCAGGTCAGAGGAACATGGGACTGAGCACAATGACCTCCACCAGGATTTATGAGCTTTACAGCTTCCAGCCAACGCTGCTCCTTCTGTCTGTGCGGATCAAAGGCTGTCCTTTTACCACCAAAATACTCATCTTTATCACTGCAATGCTGGTCTCAGGTCATCAGCAATGGCCACCTCAGCCAATAGCACCTTTTGTAGTCGCACTGCCGCCTGGTAGTGCTAATATGTTGCATATCAGTTAAATTTAAAGTTTGACAGAGAAACTCAATCTTAGTACAAAATAAACCTCAAAATAAATATTTAAATGCTATTGAAAGCAATTCCTTGATTTAAATTTTATATATTGAAGATATTTATTGAATGTTGCATATTTATTGTTAATTATTTATAAGTTATTGTAGTCTATTTATTTGCACATATTGTATTTATCTGTTTATGTCTTGGTTTGTTTATGTACATGCACTTTCTCAGTTTGATTCATTACAACAGACAAGGTATGTCTGTACTTACATTCCAGTTAAAGTTATGTTGCAATTAAGGTTTTAAATGGTAAATAAATGCAAAAACTCAACCTGGCTCAAGTGTCTTAGGTTTATAAGGTTACTTACAGCACAAGTGTACGACTTGAAGGCAGAATTACACTTGACAAATCTCTCACATTTCACAACTCTCACTATTCCACACATCTAAATGTCTAAACAAGTCTCCACAAGATGGCACCAAAGCAGAGAATATAGTTTGCCATTTGAATTGGGACACAGAATGATCATTTTACAACTCCAGGTTACCTTATGCTGATATGTAGTTTCTAGAGGTACATTGCACAATGTAGCTTGTTGCACAATAACCAAATTACTCTTCTACTGTACTTAGAGACTTCACAGGCCTTGATCTGTCAGGTTAAACCCATGAGCAGGCTAGGGCAGCTAAAGCAAAAATACAGCCTATAAGAAAGTTTAGTATCAGAAGACAATGGTTCTGTTTTAAACAGTTTGTATTGATGATGAATTTGTACTAATTTGTAATTCTAAAAGAATGTAGACCTACCAGGATCGTCCTTATGTGGAATGACCATGTGCCAAACAAGAACAAATATTCCATTAACATTCTATCCGTAGGCAAACAGTGAGGTCACAATCCTGCTTTGTTATGTCACCCCACAGGGCACTCAGCTTTGTTTTTTTTTCTATGCAGACTAACTGAAATGGTGACTAACTGTGTGAAGGATTATATTAACCCAAGCTTCAACATGCTTCTCAGATCTGATTCTCTTCAATTTTGATTGAACTTTGACACTGCATGTCACTATTTCAAGCCTACACTAATAAAGCAATCCTACAATTATATGAGAAATATATGAGCATTGTTGGTTACAGATTTGAACTGGGTTCATGTACCAAAACATAATAATACATCGTATAATTCATTTTTGCATGACCATTTTCCAGCATCTCTTTGTCCTTTGTCCAGAATTATAGAGGCTGTTTCTGATTGGCTAGCCAGTATTTCGCACCATTTAAAAAAGCAGTCCAGGCTGAAACACTTCTTTTGCCTTCAATAATGGGCGGGGCAAGGCTGCTGTAGGCTGAACAGGTGAACGTAAATACATTGATTTTCGTCCTAAAAACAATTCAGAACTGGCTTTTTCAGTTTAATTTCCTTATATGAGCCTTGTGGACAGAGTGCTAAATTGCACAATTTAAATGGTTCGTCAAACTCTTTTATTTTAAAAAATGAGGATAATTAGTTCCTTGATAAGGACCCTTTAACATAGTGTCTGTATGTCTATCCCAAGCTAGGCTAATTCGTTTATCACAAGTTTCCTCATGATGATTTGAGGATTTGCAGTTGAAATAACTCTGTTAAGTCTACAACCTTAATTATTTCACACATCAGTATTAGCCTGTTTCAAAGAGCATTACCCTCACCTCATGATGGAAAACTGAAAAAGCAGAATCACAGCTGGTCACCTGTTTCAGTCAGCTATAGGCATAAAGGGGAATTCCACCATTTTTTTCTAGACTTCTTCATAAACAAATTCATTCAGTGTGGCTTAAAGTAAAACGATGCATTCTAAGGAAACGTACCGACTACCGATTTCTTTACAGTGACGGTGATAGGAACCATGGGTTGCGATATCTACAGCGCAAAGCTATTTTTTACTATCCAAAACCAATAGTTAAACTACACGTGTTTTCTGGGTTTTCTATGTAAAGTTTAGTAATATAGTGTTAGTAGGGTTGAAACCAAATTCTTTGGGGACTATTTTCCCCTACACCACCCCTGCATGTGTTTTAAAAATATAGTTTTAGGCCAAGACCTTAAGACGATGTCTCAGGCATCAGGCAGCATATTCAACGATTTCATGTAGGCCCTTTCTGTGATGTGGGTTTTAGAGGCATTAAACTTTCTCAGACGTCTGGTTCCTCTCACCACTGTGTACAATTCTGGCTTGGCAAGTTTGTCTAGAACTGAGCATTTCACATCAAACCACTCTTAATGACTTTCTTTACATCTTGACCGTTTAATTTTGCAGGATTTTGGAAAAATCAGAGGAATTTCTTAATAACACTCAGTGAATGTTCCAAACCGGAATGAAAGGCAGGGCCGTTTGGGGACCCTCGCAGTAGTTCCTATGAAAACTGATGAATACTTAATTCTGTAAATTATAATATGTGTTCAAGAGGCGGGCTTATCGTTTCTTTTCGATTATTTAAGTAAACTTGTTAGCGATATGTGCATGTCAATATCGTGATTAGCATAGAAGAATCAAAAAACGAAGGCGCCACAAACGACTGAAACGGTCCTGATGAATGGAACGAGCGGCGCGCGCGTCTGATGGAAGTCAGGTAGCTAGCATGTCGCCCAGCCAATCACAGCGCGAGCTCCGTCGCTGGTGGGCGGGGCGCATTGGACAGAGACGGCTCACATTCCCTCCGACTGAGCGAACGGTCCCCGGCAGCAGTCCGACTGAACCTCACACCTCCGACCAAAGCAGCCAAAACCCGCGGATTCCTTAAGATCAACCTTTATTTTCATCTAACCTTCATCCATGCGATTCTTCAGGCTTACCTTCAAGTGCTTTGTCGACTGCTTCTGAGAGACCCTCACAGGCTACTGCTTGCGACGCACCGAAAATATTCCATCTTGAACTTTACCCTGACGGAGAACCATTTTTTGAAATATCAGTGAACACTATCGATACAGGATCATCCCAAAGAAAGAACTGAAAAAGACGGCATTTTTTAAAACGTGCGCTGTCCACCGAGCCGTTATTTGTAAATTACAGGGCTAGCCCTGCTGCTAGCCACTGACCAGCATGACGCCAGAGCTAGGAGACCATGACCAAAGTAAGGATTAATTTAAGGGTTAGCTAATTATCTAACTTTTTGTTTTGTCAATCAGCTTGTCTGTCTACGGATTTGTCTGTCCATCAGTCAGTGTATCCTTCTAAATATCTGAATTTGTCTGTTACATAGGCCACCGTCGAGGTTTTACACCTACATTCTGTCTAATCATTTTAGTTATTTGCTTGTAGGCTAATGTCTTGTACGCCAGTGAATCTTGCGGCGTAGCTGAGCTGGTTTGCTTTTGACCATGCACATGACTGACAGTGATGACAGAGAGATATGAGGCTGCGAATTCATCTTTTCTACCAAAACCAAAATCTTTCTCCAGAGTAGTTTGTCTTAGAATACTAGAAAAGGAATCAAATTAACTTTAGCCCCCATTCTTTTATGATTTGTACGAAAGTGAAAATGCTATTCATTCACCCCGAGGCAGCAAGGCGTCACTGTCGGCAGTGACGTCTATATTCATCATCATCTACATATTAAAAACTGCTAAGAAAAAACAGGTTGTCAGTGTTCAGAGTTTTTTTTGTACTTAGCAGTATTCGTAAACTAATCAACACTGAAGTCCAGCAGGAAAGGCTGTGCTCAGTTGTGTGCTCGTGTGTTCTCTCAGCCTCTCTCTCTCTAACTCCCTTCCATATCTCTTCAAACCGCTCCAAGCTGGATTCAGCTGCTTTATAGACCTCCTCAATGCAGAATGACCAATATCATTACAGGAACTCAGCAGATCAATAAGAACAACCTAAAGTAGAAATAGTAAGGCTGCGTTTGTTGTGACTAGCTAGTGCATGACATACAGTGATCTCATGACTCTACAATCTCATAACTCTCTTGTTATTTCTCTCCTTCAGAGGATGAAGAGATGTGTCAGGAGGACAGACAGAATAAGGAGGGGGAGGCCGAATGCCCCCTGGTGGGGACAGCTGGGGGTTGTCATGCTGAGGTGTGTGAGCCGAGTCCAGGCTCGGGGTCAGCAGACGGCTGTGTGTGCGACCCCAGGGCAATTCTGGGTCACTCCGACAGACAGACATGGAGCAGTCAGATGGACTTTATCATGTCTTGTGTGGGTTTCGCTGTTGGCCTTGGCAATGTCTGGAGATTCCCCTATCTCTGTTACAAGAATGGAGGAGGTGAGACTGTGAGATCCTCACACATATACACACTTACACACATATCATGTTCGAGCTGTTCCAGCCCAGTCCAGGTGCAGTAGCACACAGATCAAGCTAATAATGTAAGAAAGCATGTCTGCTTAAGCTGAGCAGTGGGCAAAACGTGAGCGGGGAGAGAAGAGCAGACATGGACCATTTTGACTGTATGGTCTGGATTTAACAAGGCCTGAAGATGACAGTGGGTTCTTTCTTTTTCTTTATTTCAGCTTCTGTAACCCTCCATAATTACTGTAACTACAACTGCACAATATATCGCTTGTTAATTATTATTGCAGTATTGGCCTGTGTAATATAAGTAAAGCTGAAATATGCTGGTGAGCTGTCTTATGAGTGGCCGTGGTGTGACTGGGCCCAGTGGGCTTAGGCTCACACACTTTTGTTATTGGCCCATCCAAAATGACTGCTCAACTGTACATGAAGTCTCACTAATAAACAAACCAACAACAAAGCTGCAAAATATTTGATATATTCAAAAATTTTTTCAAATTCAAACATTTTTGACATCCATCAATCAAAATTGTAGTTCAGCCAGATCTATGAAGCGATTTGCTAAGCTTTGATGGCAGAGTAAGACAAAAGCTCATATTGAAGCTTTATCTTTAAATATAAATTGGAAGCATGTGGAAACAGCTTGCTTAAAGCACCAAAGCAGCCAAGCATAAAAGTGAAATGAATACTGTAACTTCTGTTATTCAGTTCTGAACATAGCAAAATCATTTACAAGCTCATTAAATCTGAAGGTGCAAATGGCTGAATAATACAGACAAATTGCGAGCATGTTCGGTATTAGTTATGTAGGATATTAATCATTTCGATTTTTTTCCTGTTACAAGCTCAGAGTTTTATATGTCTGAGATTTTCCTCTTCTGAAGTCGACACTTGCGGTTGAAATTTGGTTCATGTCATGTTGCCATAATTACCATTATTCTCTGTTTCTCTTTCTGCCTGTCTCTCTCACTCTACCCCTTCAAATTATCTTTTGACCCTGGGATAAAGTGTCATCTTGCTTTGACGCACGTACATACTGATATACTGAACTACTTAACACAATAGTCGCTTTGTTCACACTAAGGTCGCCATCTCTAGTGACCTTCTGTGATGAGTCAACAGTGCATATCTTTGATGATATGGCCATTAGGGGTGCGGGAAAAACTCGATTCTTAGATGCATTGCGATGCGGACGTGAACGATTCTGAATCGATTTACAAATGTCAAAAATCGATTTAATCGATTGAATCAATTTAATTTATAACGTAATGTTGACGGAACGCAAAAGGCGGAACTGGAAGTGGGTAAGTGCAGCGCCCGGACAGTCTGTGACGGCACATAACAAAAACACAACTAGATGAGCGAGAAATCCGACCGGCTCCCTCTGCAATAAAACCAGGTTAGGTCAGGAGTCACAATACGAATGATAAGAAGAGACATTTTGCCTTTCAACAAAGTCAAATCACCTTGGGAGCCACAACATTTAATGTCCAGTATGTTTCAGTATGTGTTAATGTCCTAGTATGGGCTAAAAATATAAACCAGAGCGCAGATTTACTTTGCTCTGCTTTAAGCTTTAGCTATAGCCGCTTTCCTTCCATCTCCGCCAGAAAACTTCTTCAAAACTAGAAGAGTTTCTTGTAAAATGTCTCAGCATCCGGCTGTTTTACGAGGCTGAAGTCGCTTCTCATTCGCCAGCTTCTCGTTCTAATTTTCCCGTTCCACCTTAAATTCTGCCTTAGGCGCCGAATGTAACTGCTGCACCATTTAAGGTGGAACGGGAAAATTCGAAAGAGAAGCAACTTCATTTTCGCAACTTTTTAGAGAAAGACAGTCTCTCATTGCAGATTTAACCAATCGCGCTGCTTATAAATGCGAATAAGTCCTCCAAATGTTCGTCTTAATCTCTGTTTTTTCGTTCGCTACTGGCGAGGCCAGACTTCGGTGCTATGTGACTTGCTGTCTGCTGTCTGTTCTCAGTCGGTGGGAACCAGGGCTTTCGCGCTATGCTGCACGCTTTGGAGCCGAAATTCAGCGTCCAGTCTCGAAAATACTAAGCTAAGCTGGCTATTTATCATGATAAAATCAAACACTAAATCCTTATTTAGTGTAGAGGTAAAATCTTAGGGATTGTAATAGATGCTAAAAGTAGTGAGATGCTTTAAAGTGGAGTTTAGGGGTTCAGCGTGAAGGCAAGCAGTTCTCTTTTTAACAGCAAGATTTTGAAGTAATACAGAACAACCCAATTCTAAATCTGTTTGTAGCCACATGTTTTTTTTCTGGGGGGAATAAAACTGCAGTTTTGTAGAAGTCATATTGTTGATTTGTGGACTAGTACAGTGTTTGAGCAGTTTGAGCAAGATACTTTAGATGACCATCTCAAATAAAGTTCTGCCATTTAAAATAGCTTATAAGAAAACAATGTTAGGTTGGCCTCAGCCAGTACTCAAGGTTTTAGTATTGGTATGGGAAAAAAAAAAGTGGTATGGTGCCATCTATAGTTTTTCTGGTCATACATGAGATACATATTGTTTGGTTTCTAAAAGTTCTTTCAGCTTTCAACCCAATTCCACTTTCAGGGACCCAACAATTTTTGCATAAGCATGAGATGTGTTTTAGGATGGTCAGAACATTTCTTTTTTAGGTCAAAGCATTCCTACTGCAGCTGTTTCAATAGCTTGGCAGGTTTTGTTGCAAGTTATAAAGGCCAAATGACCCAGAGCCCAGTTTATGGAATTGCGTGTAAGGATTTCGCTAGTGGTCGGATTCAAATGGCATGGTTATTGCAGGACTTTGACCAGGCCACAGTTTTGCTGTTGCCACAGAGGTTTGTGATTTAGTGAATTTCATAACCAGCTTCCAGTCATTTCTAAGCCAGCTGAAGAGAGCCTTCAGTGCACCGAGGTCATCCACTTCTCCCTGATTACCTCTTCTACACTTCCTTTCTCTTTCTCTCCATTTATTTCTAGCTCAGTCTGATATTATCTTCCTTTCATCTCCTTTTACTCTTTATCTAACAGATTGTTTTCTTTCTGACATTGTTTCCATCTATCTACTTCTGTCCTCTGCGGATGCATTCCTTATAAGGTGATGGGTTAAGCTGTGCTTAGACAGAGAGAGAGAGAGTGAGAGAGAGAAAGAGAGGAAGGATGCGTAACTAGTATCCATAATACTAGAAGTTTTGTATATGTAACTGTAATTAACAACAGTCACCTTAGATTTTTACTTTCACTCTTGACCACTTTTAATTTCATGGATGCTTTTGGGCATTAAACCCTTTAAAATCCCAGGCTTATTACAAACTAAGGTTTATTATTCGGTAACTACAGGGACTTTGGTGCAAACGGGTTCAGCTACTCTTAGAGAATATAAACGTGTAATAAAACTTTGGACCTGCTGGTGGCCCCTGGCCATGTAAGGGGTTAAATGAGTGAGCCTATGGTTTTCAGATAAGTTTTTAGTAATGGAAGGGTTGTGGGAATGTGAACTGAAGAATAGATGAATAGAACAGAGAAGTGAGAAGGAGAAGAGAGATGGAGACTCATCACTCTCTGCTATGTCAGTAAAGTAGCTATTCAGCTGCCATGAAGCCAAGAATTAAAAAAAGACCACAAACCCTGTAAAGACACTGTTTTATAAGAGAGCCAGCACAAATGCATCTGAAAAGAGATAGACAGATAGGATTATTGTGGGATTAATGTGCATATAGCATGTAAACATTTACTATACTGGCTTAAAGAAAGGGCTGGGCAACATGACTATGATATGTTATTATTATTGTTGTTATAAATTACATCACAGTATGCTTTTCTGAGTATCGCCAGTACTTCTAGAACACTAAACAACTACATTGTGAAAAAAGACATATTTAGAGTAGAGATTGCACTGCTGGTGCATTTTGTTTGTTCCAACTTGTTAGCAGTCCTCAGGTAAACTGAATGTCGGTAAAGTGTCTTCACTGTATATATCTTTGCCATATCATCCAGCCTTAAAGGGAGGTACATGTAGGGATAGTAGGGATAGCACGGGGTAGTGCGATTACCAATCTAAACCCAGAACTAACCATACCTTTGTCAAATACCTGTGTCTGTTTTCCATTGCACAACAGAATCATGAAAGTAAGTGGTCTTCTCTTTAGCTTGCGGGGTCACATGATTTGTTACAGAAATCTATTGTTAACATTGTACACAAACAGTAGTAGCCCTAATGGTGCTTCATGTTCAGATTTAGCTTTTACTGCATTTGGTTTTTTGTGAGAGTCACAGACAGACAGGTTGTCACTAATTTCTGGCTAGCTAGTAGTAGTGGGCGGTATGTCAGTTGAAATTCTTGTTACCGTTATGTCAGTATGCCACATGCATTGTATAAACATTGTGCAAACCATGCTAATGTTAATGAACTCAGTGTATGGAAGCATATTCTGCACTTTAGTCAAATTTAAGTTCTATCTGTCTACAACTATCTATTATTCTACAGCTATCTATCTGTTTATCTAGGAAATGCATATTTAGTTCAAATTCAAAGTTAAAGTTAATATAGAAAAAGAAAGTGCTTTTACCATTCATTTTGGTGTGACTCTGACATATTAAAAATGGAACAACAATCACTCATTTGCAAATGCATTTCCTTATCTTGGTGCTTCAGCTCTGCCAAAATGCAACTGCAATCCTGTTTGCAATCGCATTTTCACTGTCAACGAGGCTCCCTGTCAGCCAAATACTGTGGATGGGATGTCGGGAGGAATTTTGTGAGTGTGGGGCATGTTTTAAGCAGAAGTTGCCTAAAAGTCTAAACTTTGGCAGTAATGGAGCATTAGCTACTGCTGCTAATGACATTTTAACACTCGCCGAACAGTCAGAGGATAAGTCTGTTCAAAGCGATGTCATGTTGTTCCGAGTGGAGGTGATCCTTGAGCTACTAGGAGGGCTTTTGGCTGGTCAAAGTGTCACTGACATTGGTGCTTGTGCAGCCACAAGCTTTCTTAGTCCGTCATTACTTCCACTCAAAACAACAGCTCGGTAACAGCCGTTATTTGTAACAGGTGTGTTAAAGCAGAGAAAGCACAAAAATGTCAGGGCAGTGTTAACCCAAGACCAGTGTTCCTCCCGACAGTCCTGCGAGCCTCTGTTTAAAGCCAGTCATGATTTAACTAATATTGGTGCTTGTGCAGCCAAATCTCTCCTAGTCGGGCAAGAATCACTTCCACTCGAAAATCACTTTGGACAGAATTATCCTCGGCCTTGTTTGCGAGTGTTAAAGTGCCACCCACAGTGTTTGATCGACAGGAGGCCTTGTTGGCAGTGAAAAGGCTATTGCAAACAGGATTTTGGCAGAGCTGAAGCTCCATGATGAGGAAATGTAATTGCAAATGGGTGATTGTTATTCCGTTTTTAATATGTAAGGGTCAAGACTGTTAAGACAATGAAAATTAAATGTCAAAAGCACTTTGTTTTTCCATATTGACTTTAACAGCCATTATGCAATCACAATGTAAACACACATTTTGCATTTAAATTATGTCCTTAATAAAGCACACCCATCTGGGAAATGCAGTTGTAACTATACAATTGAATTACATACATACATACATACATACATCATCTAAACCACTTATCCTTCTGGGTCGCGGTAGGGTGCTGGAGCCTATCCCAGCTGTCACTGGGCGGAAGGCAGGATACACCCTGGACAGGTCACAATTGAATTAGAAGTTTCAAATTTGCCTTTCAATTTGAATAAAGTCTGGAATATGCTGCCATGTGAATGGTTAAATCATGGGTATTTTAGTCACATTTCCAGTTGAAATGAAATCCTGTGATCACCTCTTGGTGTCTAGTCCATTGCATCTGAAGTAGTCCACTTTGCTTTTGACATGAAGGAATGGTCGGTCTTTTGGGGTTAGCCTTAGCCTAACATGAACACCAGAATGATTTCACTGCTTCCTGAGAAGCCGCCTGATTCAGTCAGCTGCATCAGAATCTCAAGACTTGTCCATGCAACAAGCTGTGAACCAGCTGGTACTTAAGCAGGAATGATTGTAATATTGTCCAAATTCCAGCAGTGTCTGACAGTCGGTGGCATGAGTGTACGGGATGCACATATGACACAAATGACTTGAGAAATTCAGTGACACAAAAGTTGGCTTCTTATTTGATTGTGCCATTCCACCTTAAATGATGCACCCGTTATATTCAGGTGCCTGTAAAAGTGTCAGAATGTAACTGCTGCTCCATTTATGGTGGAACAGAAAATTCGAACAAAAAGCTGGCGAATAAGAAGCACCTCAGCCTTGTAGAAGTTCAGATGTAGCACCATTTTCCCAGGCCTGTGGGGGTATTGTTAAATGGCAATATTGACTTAGGTTTATCTATGTGTTGTTTAGTTTTGTATTTACTGTTTTGCACAATAAAATATTTGATATTATGATTGATTATGATGATTGTCTAAAAATCCACTGTTAACCTACAAAAAAGGTTTACTTTAGCGTCTTTAATTGATTTTAACAGAAATTAAATATATACCATGCTATAAACTGATATTGATAACTTGCAACCTACACAGAGTAGATCGATGTCCCTTCAGATGTCCATTTGATTTTTTGCACCTTTACAGCCTCCCTTCTCAAAATTCTCATCTGTATTTGTGTGTGTTTGTGTTTGTGCATCTCCGTATGTCTTAAAAAAATCTCATTTCCCTCTTCCTACCCTCGTCTTTAATACTATCTGTTCATGTGTGTGTTTGGGAGATTTGGCTTGGTGCCAGTGTGTGTTTAGCCGTCATGAGCTGATGTTTCCACAACAGTGGCACGACAGAGTTGCTTGCACATGAATATTAATTGACAGTGAGGTCAAACGTCATACTAATGACTCATGTCAAGGACACCACCAGCTATACATACCTACACAGTGCAGTTATTAAACTTCCTTTACCCTTCCTGTCTCTCTTTCTTTATCTGTCTGCCACCCTTTCTGTCCTACCATCATTCTTCACTCTGTCTCTGCATCTCTCATGAGTATGAATGATTAATGGAGTATCTCTTTGGGCATGTAAATAGTGTTGGTATGCTCTTGGTATGTGAGTATTAACAGCAGGAAATCAGCTGGTCTTTACAGTGTGCACAAGGATATTTGAAGTAAAAGAGAAGTTGGTCTTTTATGTTTCATGCCTCATGTTTGATGATATGAAACAATATATGGTGTGTTTGTATGTGTGTGCACTATAGGTGTGTTTCTGATCCCGTATGTTCTGATGGTGTTTATCGGGGGCATTCCAGTGTTCTTCCTGGAGATTGCTTTGGGACAGTTCATGAAACAGGGAGGAGTCTCTGCCTGGAACATTGCCCCCCTTTTTAAAGGTACAGTGCTTATATCACAGCTTGATCTCTCTATCCTGAGCTAATTCACCTATCCATGCTCAGCCTCTAAATGTGTTTTTGTTGGGTTGTCAGAATTAATCAGTTACAGTTCATTACTTAAATAATGTCAAACACGGGAAAGCTATTAGCACTCATGTCACTTTTGTGTGCATTACTAAAAAAAAGAAAACCCACACCAGCTTGATGTCACTAATGCATGTATATTTGTAATTAACACGAATTCCATGTATATGAAGTAAAATTTGTGTTTTTCTGTTACAAATTGCATGTATAGAAAATAGAGATAGAAGGATCGATTGTCTATGTATTTGTTCTGGCCGATATCTCTCTAACTTAGCTGATCATGGGAGCTGATCAGTGACATAAAACATGTGAGCCATATTTCACCCAGAGGTGCCGGAATGTAACTGCTGCATCATTTAAATGAAAAGTGAAATAGTTGAACAAGATAGAAAGCTAACTTCAGCCTCGTCATATCTATTTCACTAATAACATTTCCTCTGAAGTATGTTATATTACATAATTAGCTCCTATTTTACTGTGACCTACCTGTGCAAATGTGCAGAGCTGTAATTAACGCAGTTTGTTGTCAAAGTTTGAGGATTCGTTTTTTGTTAGCACATTGGCATCTGAGCGCTAATCTTAGCTTTGCTTATAGTGCACTACTATTAGGTTCCTGACCTACGGCTTTGGCAGGGGCCAAAAATAAAAATAAAATAGAAAACTGCAAAAGCGATTGTATGTCAGCCTTTTTTTATGGCATAGTTAACAGTCCATCCGTGAGCCGGGAGTTCTGTCCTGTTACCTGCACCAGTTATTTCAATAGCTATGCTAGCCTAAGGCAGCAGAATGTAACTGCTGCACCATTTGAGGTGAAATGGGAAAATTCGAAGAAGAGGCTGGTGAAAAAGAAGCTGCTTTCAGCTTCATTGAGAGTTGAAAGGCCTGACTTACTTAACATTAACTTACTTTTGTTATTTTGCAGAACCGGTAGGTCAGTATTGTTTTGTCCCATTGCTAACGTCTGTGATAGCTAATTCTAACTGGTTAGCTTCGGAGTAGCAATTGTAGCGACAGTTTGCAAACTCTTTTCTGTCCGTACAACGTTTGCGAAAGGTTTTATGGCCATGAAGATCTACAGAAGTATTGTTCGCTTTGGCAATGTGCGTCCATGAACTTGGGGCGTGGAGCTTCTGAAGGAGCACTGAAGAGAGGGGTGTATTTGTTTTGCTGTTGAGTTCAAATCTCAACAGTCTTTCTCCCGAATCGCTTACTGTCTTTGAATGTGGCATCCAGCACCCCCCTTGATCTGTGTCTCCTCGGCCAAAGTTGTATCGCCCCCAAAAACACTGATCGGTCCATCTCTAATGTGAAGTAAAATGTTTTGTTGAACTAGGCTGAGCACCTCAGCAGACAGTTAACAGATTAACCGGCCCCTCCGATAATGTTCAGAGGCTTTACTGAAGGATTCGTTGTAAACATACATAAGTAAAGAATATGCCACTTAAATGTCTGTCCCAAGCTTCAAGCCGTTTGCCGTTAAGTAGAGCTGGTCTAAGGAGCATTAAACCCAGTGTGAAAAGTAAATGTACAGCGCCATTAGCTTGGCAACAACACTGAAATTCCTATAGAAGCAAAAACGTAAATTAGCTTTATTGTAGCCATTGCACTCAGACAATTTATAAAGTAAAGGTTTCTGCATTAAGCAATACTATATAATGAAATTACAGTGCAAGTTTACAAAATGAGTCAAAGCAGCATTTCAGGTTCCTCAAAATTTCTCAAGTGGTATTAAAAATGGCATAAAATGTATTACATTGAAGTGGTTTCAAAGGCTTTGTTTAGGCTTCCAAAGGCTTTGTTTGTCGTTTTTAGTAAACCTTTGGGAATCTTTGAAGGCTCTGTATATTATATTATTGTTCAGCTAAACAATTTTTTTATTGTTCGGCCTTAAAAACAGATTGAACATACTTCATTAATCATCACAATAATTGGTAGATTACTCAATTTTACATATAATGAATAATGACAGCCCTAGTTCTGTCATAGCAACTCTTGGACAAACTTTACAATATGGTGACAAAACTGCATTCGACCCAGCGTGAAACTGTAGCACACTCAGGTAGGCATCAATTACAATGAATAAACCTACTTATGTCAACATATTCAAGGGAACAATATGTAATACTGACAGCAAGCGTTTAAAATAAGTACTGCAGTCTAAATTCAAAATACTGGAGAGAATTGTCTGCCCCTGCCCCCTCCTCCCCAGACCTAAGCTCACGTGGGTTGCCAGGTTAAGGAGACACAACCTGCATATGAACAAGCTCAAGATGAGCACAACATTAAACTTTGACAATGGCAAGTGATGACGCATCATGCACTGTAAGTTGATCAGCTAATGTATACCTTTGCAATGTTTTTATTCTTTGCAAATTATAAACCAGCTCATGTGAATTTTTTAACTCTTTTTTTATAACTCTTTATAGCTCAGTGCTTACCTGTTCAGGTGAAATGCATCACCAATATTTACTTGCGTTTTACTGCGTCTCTGGTCATGGAGCTTTTTAGAAGGATGCCAAGGCTTTTGAGGTCAAATACAGTTTGTTTGCTTGCTTTCATGGCTGCAGCACGCTGTTTGCCTGCCAATTTGTTTCATATCTGGCAACCTGAGGTGTAGAAATGGTACTAGGAAAGGAGCAGTGGGTGGGATCACAAGCCAAAACACAAACAGACGGAACAGAAATGTAAAAGAAGAACATGCCGGTTGTAGCACTGTTGTCGGAGAGGCCAGTATTTCAACTTAAAACTTTTCAACCAATCTCTGATGGTCATTTTGTGTTTTAGTGCAGTAAATACATTACATATTGTTCCTTTAATTACATAACAAAAATCTACATCATATCTATGCTAGCAGTATGACCTTTCAGTTTCATACAAAATAAACACATTTTGAAGTGAATGCACTAGCAACGGTTGCTATGCAAGAATAATTTTTTAAGTGGGGCATGGATAGGTCAGCTGATCTGTCTGTATCTTATTTTATACAATTTCCCTCCATACAATCTGAATATGAAAAGTATATATTTGAAACAATGGAGCAAAGAAACAGGGTTTCTTTGCTCTATGTTTTTCTTTATTTTGCAAAACTAGGTAGAACACTTGAGGTCTCCTCTTCGGCTAGTGCCAGTAGCCCAATAACAGTCATGATGTTATTCTAGCTAGTGTTCCACATCTGAAGTATCTTCAAATTTAATAGAACAAGATAAATGGTGTTTGGCATTTATTATTTGCCATACCTTTCACTTTCTCTCTGTATCTCCATCTTTCTCTCTCTAGGGCTAGGCTTGGCATCAATGGTGATCGTGTTCTTCTGTAACACTTATTACATCATGATCCTGGCATGGGGCTTGTACTTCCTGGTTCACTCCTTCACTTTCCATCTACCCTGGGCCTCCTGCAGCCATGAATGGAACACCCCCAACTGCACACTCGACTTCAGTCGGGCCTGCTCTAATTACACGTTCCTCACATCCTCTGCTTCCCTGTCCTCACTGCTTAACATCTCCTCCCTCAACACCAGTGGCAGCTGCTTGGAGCCGGAAGGCATGCGTTCACCTGTCATGGAATTCTGGGAGTAAGAGTTCTTTGAGGATCTCAAAATGATGGGCAGTTCAGTAACAAAAATATTCAACAATCTCTTTCAGTGTGTAGAATAAGCTGTAAGGCTAAATAGGATTTTGAATTTGTGAAACACTATTCGAATTGCAATTTAGTAGTGTAGGCAATTTAGTAGTGTAGGCCTAGAGGTGATGATATTTTTCATTACCATGATAAATTGTTATTGTAATAAACATACTTTTCTAAACATAGTGTTTATATTGCCCATTCTGACCAACTGCATGTACAATCAAAAAAATATATATATATATTTTTTTAATTGGATTAAGTGCTATGTATATGAAATCTTAAATAAAAATATTTTTTGATGGTAGTTTTTAAATGTGCCGCTACTAGTAAATTGTATCGGTGTGTGGAATAATCATAAACATGTCTTTAAATATCATATAAATATCATTATATGATGCTATATGCAGGCCTAAATCATATCAGAGAAACTGTCCCTGTATGACTGTTCAAAAACTCTAGCATCATAAACACGTTATTTGCCAAGTACACCTGCATGTTACCAGGAATTCAAACAAATAGTAAATAAATGAATACAAAGACAGTCACAAAAGGATATCACAAACAACATACACTACGTTATAGAAAAAGAGCCACGTAAAACTCCCTCTTTCTCTCTTTCAGACGGAAGGTCCTGCGTCTCTCTGGTGGGTTGGATGAAGTGGGTGATATCAACAGCCACATGGTGCTCTGTCTGCTGGCCACGTGGGTCATAGTGTATTTCTGCATCTGGAAGGGTGTTAAGTTTACTGGCAAGGTAAGGGTGTACAACTTAAAACTGTTTGTTTTGTCAGTGGTTTCCTTTGTCCACCCTCTAGGGGTCAGTTGACCAGTTGGGCATATTTTAAATAATTAAAATTAGAATTTAGAACTATTGACCAACTGTGCTTGCACACAGAGGAATTAGACCTCCGCATTTAACCCATCCATGCAGTGAAACACACATACATGCACCCTAGCAAACACACACACTAGGGGACATTGAGCACACATGCCCGGAGCAGTGGGCAGCCCTATCCACGGCACCCGGGGAGCAGTTAGGGGTTAGGTGCCTTGCTCAAGGGCACTTCAGTCATGTCCTGTCGGCTCAGGGGATTGAACCAGCGACCTTCCAGTCACAAGGCTGGTTCCCTAACCTCCAGCCCACGACTGTCTGTTTATTCATAAATGAATGAATAAACAAACAAATAAATAAATATTTTTTAATCTATTTGACAAGTACAATACAGCCAATGTAATGTATATAGGGCTTCTAACAATATCTAATTTGCAGACCCTGTTCCTAGGCTTTTAGAAGGAAATAAAACAGAACATACATACGCTAAACACATTAAACAGTTTCAAAGCATAGAGTGATTTGTGAGTATGTAGCCATTAGGTGGATTTATGTACATGACTGATCAGTTATTTTCATGTGAATTTATGTTTTATGAACCCACTCATAAAACTTGTTTACACTTGGTCATATACAAGGTTACTAGCAGAATTCAATTGGAATGCTTTGGTGTCTGGCAATGCTGAGCACTCTTAGTTAGAAAAAATGCCTCTGAAGTCTTTGGACTTTGTTTTACGTTTTGAAGTAACTCTCATACACTTTGTTTATATGCCAGGACTCTTGAACTTAAAGGGACCAGGTGTGTGTGTGCACAAATTTTGATTTGACCCTGGTGATACAGTCAAAGAAATCAAAGGTCTCAAACTCCGAACAAAGGCCCCAAGGGTGGTTCTAGTTAAGCTGATTAATGTGTTTGTGTGTGTGTGTAGGCGTGTGTGTGTGTGTGTGAGTGTGTCTTTTGTCTCTAAGTCAGGAGACATATTTCTTACTTTCCATTCTAAGAAATGCAGTTTAAGAAAATTTTCACCGTATTTAGCCTCAGGGCACAGCTATGATTAGTGCACATGTGATATGCTGTTAAGGCTGCTACCAGCCAGATTGAATCCTGGTTAAACTTTGTTGAACCATAAGGAATGTTATGCCTGGAATTCAGTCAGAAAAAACAGGTGCTTATGTACATGTTCTGATCGTTTATGTGTGCATGTCTCTGTGTGTTTATGTGTGTGTGTGTGATTTTAGGTTGTGTACTTCACAGCTCTCTTCCCATATTTGGTGCTGGTGGTCCTGTTTTTTCATGGAGTCTCACTGCCAGGAGCTGTCAGTGGAATCGTTTACTATCTGAAACCAGACTGGAGCAAACTCAGAGACGCACAGGTCAGTGTGTGTGTGTGTGTCTGTACGTGCATGTCTGTTTGTGTGCCAGAGGTTTGCACGAATATGAAATTGAAACCCAACATTGTATCCACGACTTTGAGATCCAGTCTCCCCAGGCCTGACAGGCATGTGCAATTTTAAAGGGGTGGCCACGGTGGCCGGTGTCTTCCCTGAAATCTTATTGGCCACCCACAATGCCACACCAAACTTTCTGCCATGTCATTGACTTCCACCTGACTGTTGGACGGGTATTTGCGTCTTTAAGAGAAGAGTTGTCTAACTGTCTAATCTTTCTCCACCCCCACCACCCCATCACCCCCCACTTGCACATTCACATTACAAGCATGTCTTGTTTGTCCCACTTTGCCTTTAAGGGGAAAGTAGATTAACGATCATTGACCTGCACAACTGTCCAACCTCTCTTCACCACCACGCCCCCGCCCCGGCTCGCACGTTCACATTGCCACCCTGCTGAAAATGTGGCTCCCTGCCACCCCTGTTTAAATTTTTTAGATTAACCACTGCCAACAGGTAATGCTAAATTTGAAAACGAACCCACGCATACGTGCAAACATTAACAGAGATAAAATATCACAGACATGGTTATATAGCGCTTCGCTTTAGTGCTAACCACTTGAGTAACGGCAGAAAATGTCATGCAGAGATAAACTAGTGTTTTAAACACTTGTAATACGCTAAATGGAATAACTGAAGTTTGGGGGGAGTGCCATACCTGAAACCCCTCCTCTTTCCAATCTAAAGACCTATAAATTACTGTCTCTATATTCCATTTCCTGTAACAAAGTTTTGACAGTCTCCACCACCACCCCATCTCCTCCCTGTTCCTCAGTTCTATCTGTTAGTCCTAACATTACGCCATAAAAAGGAGGAAAGGGGAAGCTGCTCAGAACTCCAGCCTAAGTTCCATCCTTTTCCTCAGTCAAATAGTTTCTCTACATACATGGTGTGATTGTGACTGATGTTCTGTTTAACTTTCATTTAGGAACGCATTCACCCACTTCTCTATTTGCTATTCTGAATGCAGCCGTAAACTGTAATGCTACGAGACAGTATGCGAGAGAGAGAGAGCATGACAGAGAGAAAGTGTGTGAGAGTGTGCAACATTTATGACGTTGTATGTGAAAAGTCAGCCCGAAACCTAATATTTTGTTGAGCCCTGTCAGGCTCAGGTCAGGTAGCATCTCTAGCACAGTTTATTATTGTGAAAATAACTGTGGTACACATTTTTTATTATACTAATGATGAAAATGACAGCTAGTTTTCATTGTAATTATTCACCAGTTCACTAATGATGTTGATACTGTTGTTATTAGGTGTGGATTGATGCAGCCACGCAGATTTTCTACTCATATGCAATTGGTCTGGGAGCATTAACAGCCTTGGGGAGCTACAACCGTTTCAACAACAACTGCTACCAGTGAATAATAATTTTTCATGATTATGGCTACTGTCTTAGGTAATGCCTTTAGACATGCACACATGCACACAGGTCTCTTGAATGGGCATGCTGAGGAAAGAAAGTGCAACAGTAAGGTGCTTCATCTAAGTTACAGCATGTTACTGTAGAGAAAATATATACATTGGCAACAGGAAGTTGGCCCTTTGGAAGGTTTGAGCATATAGACTAAGAGAACACTGTTTAGGATTTTGGATTGAATACATTCAGTCTAAAGTTCAAGTCTGCATGAACTAGGCCTACTCTTTTGAGACTACAGTCATTGTCCACATGTTAAATTCTTAACCCTTTAATGCAGAGGCAAGAAGTGTCTATTTCTGCCCTTTAATCTCCTGTTCTGCCATAACATTGTAATTTCTCAAAGCTTTTGTTACATTTTTGTTTGAGATCAATTCTGGAAATTCTGAGATTTTTATAGTTGGCTTTTATCATTACTTTGATGAAACAAATCAATGATAAGCTCTTAGCCATCTGAATTCCCTTCTGAATGTCCATGCATGTTCACTGAGAAACTAATGCAGTGCTAAGACTTTAATGAGTTAAACAGGACAGTGCCAAAACAATACATTGGTAAGATAGGGTTAAATGGCAAACCACACATGTATCATTTAGGGGGTCATGTTACAAGTCAAAATATGGACTGGAAAGCTTTAGATGAAATGTTGATGTCCATCTGCAGCTCATTAAAGTCTGATCACTGTAGACACATTCAGAGACAACATAATGCACGCACATATTCCACTATGTGGTTTATACACAGTACAGTTTTACAGTTTGTTTGATATCTGTATAAACACGATAGAGAAATGTGAAGGTTTCTGCCAAAGACAGCTTTTTATTGAGTCCATGGCAATGCAGGGGTTTAGGGAAGCCTAATCTGCTCTGTGCAGGCTTACAGAAAATATGTGAAATGTGTGGTACGTGTGTGTGTGTGGGTGTGGGTGTGTGTGTGCACGCATTACGGGTTAACCAGTTCTGTTTTTACTTTGAACCCACCATAATCCCATCTTGCTTTCCTCTCTCTCTCTCTCCCCCTCTCTCTCTCTCTCTCGTTTCTCTCTCCCCCTCTCTCTTTCTCTTTCTCTCTCTTTAGGGATGCATTTGTGCTGGCTCTTATAAACAGTGGAACCAGTGTTTTTGCGGGGTTTGTGGTCTTTTCTGTTCTTGGCTTCATGGCAGCTGAGCAGGGTGTTGATATCAGTAAAGTAGCTGAGAGTGGTGAGTTGTCATCTCTCTTCTCGCTCTCCTCGTCACCTTCCACAGTTTATGTGGGAGCTACTGGTGTCTCCTACCAATGCCCAAACCACTGATGAAACCGAAACTCATAGAGAGAGAATAAGATGGTCATTGCGGGTTTGAATCTCGACAGTGTCTATAGCTTTAATTAGACCAGAAATTTTGGTCTAAACCCGAATGCACCCAGAGAACGTTCTGTCCAAGTGTGACCCAATCTAAACCATGTTATTATGTTTAACGTCTGAACCTGACCCCAACCCGGAAAAAAAATCTGTCCAGTGCTGACCCCAACTAGACCGTCATCGCTGAAAGTGCAGAATTAAACTTGATATTTGTTGATAGCACTGTGTTGTGACAATAACTTGAAATGGAAAAAATACATTTCTAACAAAACAGTGATTTTATTTAATTGTATTTAGCTGTCCAACAATATGTTTAAATTACACTTTAACAAATGTATTCATCAAGCAATGTTTTCAAACAGCATCCCAAATGAGCAGCAGGTCAGAGTAAAACATGTAATGAAAGTAAGGTGAAAAACTAATGCAGGGAAAATCTGTTAAAAGTGGCTATAAGGACCCAAACGTGAAATTTGAACCCGACATAAGCCCGAAATTTGGGAAATGACATTTGACCAGACATGAGCAGTCAGGTCCTGTCGGGTTCAGATAAATGTTTGAAGCTCTGCCACAGCTGTCTATGGCCAGGAGTCCATAGGTCTCCCAAATTGGTAACATTGTGTGAAACCCAGGGAAGATGTAGCTAACGAGTGGCAGTTGGCCATGACTAAATTGGGAGAACTGTACACCCTTTACTTTTGTGCACCCAAAGGTATTTCGGAAGGTGTCACTGACATTGTTACCCTTCAAAGAGACACTAATGTTCACACATTCAGTTGCCTAAACACACCTTTGTTGCCTTCTTGTGCATCTAAAATGGCTAAAGGAGATATTCATAGGGGATCACATATACAGTTATCCAATTGGATTTAAAGAGGAAAGTGAAAGGAAAATAAGTAAAAAAAACAGGTGTTTCCAAAAGTAGAGATAGATATAGAGAAAATGGGATACATAATAATCATACAAACCTGGTAGACGGCCAACACAGTCACCACCAGGTAAACAGTACTTAAAGCTTTCGTCTTTGAGAGATTGCTTCAGATCTGAACAAATTCACAGGTGTTTCTATCTGTCCTTCTACAGTGAGAAGACAAGCTCAATGCTATTGGTCTGAAAAGAAGCTGTCACTAAGTCAAGGAAACAGACAAAACATTTGAAAATTTATACCTGAAAAACAGGACATCTGAGATGTGGAGTACGATTTCATGGACTGATGAGTCTAAATTTGTATTTGAAATAATATTAATTGAGAATTGGGACCAACTTTAAGGACTGAACTTTAGAGGTGTGGATAAATATACCTCCAGATTTCTTTCAAAGACTGAAAGCAAATCTCATGAGAAAAATAGAAGCTGTAATAAAGGCAAAGGGTCATACTAACATACTAAATGCTGAACATTTCAATATTATATTTAGTTGTTGAGGCTTCTGTTTCTGCTTCTGAAGTTTTCTGCTTTTTTCCTGACGCTGAAAAATGAACAACTTGTACATAATGGCAATTTTGACTGGAAATTAAATGTCTGAAAGGATGATCTTTGCCTTGCACAGTACAGTTTATATATTGCATATGTATGTATACAAAACAGTATTGGGTACACTGTCTGTTGGTATAATTTTAGGTATGTGTACTCTCTTGGTATTAGTTATGTATTCACTCTCTCTTTTAGGTCCAGGGTTGGCGTTTATTGCCTACCCTAAAGCAGTCACTCTCATGCCTGTGGCTCCACTGTGGGCCGTGCTCTTCTTCGTCATGCTGCTCGTGCTGGGACTGGACAGTCAGGTGAGGTTGAATGCAGCTGTTCCTGAAGAATGCTACATAATGCAGGCTGACATACAGGCACTCATAAATGCATTTGAAGAACTCAGCTTAGCTCACTACGCTGATACTGATACTGAGTAATAGTTCTGTGCTGTCCAGGGTCCTGAAGTCTCATTGCTGTGTGAATGTCAGTTATTCATTAAGCTTGATTAGACAGCGGAGGTGTTTATGGGGTCAGAGAGCTATAATTTCAGTAATAAATTTGAAAAGATGTTCTGTCTTTCTCAGTTTGTGGGTGTGGAAGGTTTCATCACAGGGCTTCTAGACATGCTTCCCCCAAAGTCCTACTTTAGTTCTGTACGCCGTGAGGTTGTCGTGGCAGTATGCTGCATCACCTGCTTCTTCATCGACCTCTCCATGGTAACAGAGGTAGGCCAGAGGAAGAGCATCAAAGTCTGTCAAGAACAGACAAGATGTTGACTCATTCTAATAATGTGATGTCATTTTATTTTCTTCCCTTCTTCTAGTGGCCCTTCCTCTCATTCTTACTGGAGACTCTTTGTTTATGCTTGTGTTATTATGGTCTGTTTATCACTGTATTATTTGTAATGTGTGTAATGCGCATCTCTCTCTCTCTCTCTCTCTCTTTCTTTCTTTTTTTCCTTCTCTCTGTATAGGGAGGGATGTATGTGTTTCAGCTCTTTGACTATTACTCAGCTAGTGGGATCACGCTCCTATGGCAGGCTTTCTGGGAGTGTGTTGTAGTGGCCTGGGTGTATGGTAAGAGTAAAAGTGCAGTAAAAGTGATGAAAATATTATTTACTGCACAGTGCAAAAAACATTCTAGGAAACTGTTCTTTCTATTGGCTTCAGCAGTAGAACACGAGAGAGTGTATCGCTTGTATATTTACTAGATTATCCTGAATGTTGTTTTGTTGCACACTAATTTTCACATCATATGAAAAAAAAACACTATGGCCCTTTGAAGTTTTAAGAAGCAGACTTAAAAAACAGAATTCATCTTAAAGTCTGAGACGGCAAGGTTTGCACACACACTTTTACATACGTTTTACTTTGGAAACTTCTGTAGAAAAGAATACTCTCTCTCCCTCGCAGGGGCTGATCGTTTCATGGATGATGTGGCACGCATGATTGGTTATCGCCCTCGGCCATATATGAAGTGGTGCTGGTCCTACATCACACCGTTAGTGTGTATGGTGAGTCTCATCTGACTTGTTTACATTCAGATTTACGGCACTAAGCAGACGCTCTTACCCAAGCAGCTTATAAAAGTGTTTTGTTGTCCAATCAGATTCAAATAGGTTCACATTAGGTTAGAGCCTAGTTTAGAGCGCTTGGGCACTAGGACACTGCCAGAATCAAACAGGAGTCAGTGCTGATACTTAGAAAGATAAATACACAATGCTGATATAAGACATAGCAGAAGTGCAATACAAGATAATTGCTAGATTAGCATTTGAAGACTAGTCCCTCATCTCTGTCTGTTGTATTATTTGTGCATGTAAGGTATAATAGATAAAGCATTGTAGATAAAGTGTTAAAAATATATTTGCACTTGCTTTGCAGGGAGTGTTCCTGTTTCACGTAGTTAACTACAAGCGGTTGGTGTATAACGGGGTCTACGTGTATCCATGGTGGGGTGAGATGCTGGGCTGGGCTCTTGCTCTGTCCTCCATGCTCTGTATCCCCTTAACCATCCTCTACAAACTCTTACACTGCAAAGGTTCCCTTATAGAAGTGAGTGTGCATGTGTTTGTTTAGGTCCTGACTTTGTAGAAAAAGGATGTGGACCAGAAAAATAAGTTCTTTCTACAAAAGCTGCATGTTTCATTTTTTAAAATGGAGGACTGAAAGGACAAAAACATTTTTTTACTGAGGTTAAGGAATGGTTTGCTGAAAAAACAAATTTGAACAATTTCCCCCTTTACCCCAAACATAGTCGATCAGCCAAGACATGCTTGATCTATGAAGTTTGTTTCTTTAGTTTTGCAGAGGAGCTATAAGGATAATATAATATCAAAAAAAAAATTTTTAGTTGACTTTTTAGCCACATTGGCTATAATGCTCCAGGGAAAAATTTAAGAAGCAAACTTCATATATCAGTAATGTTTTGGCTGATCAACTATCTATAGGTTAAGGGGAAAAAATTGTAAATTAGATTTTTTTGGTGAACCATCTTTTAAGGTTAGGGTTCAGTGGTTCCTAACCTTAAGGTTCAGTAAATATGCATCATATATACATAGTAACATACCAGAGTTTTCTTTAGCCAGTACAATACCAGTATTTGACCTGTAAAGACTCTGCAAGACCAGTAAGTTAACATCCTACTTGACACAATATCTGGTAAATATAAATATTTATTAAATAAAATCCTTTGGAGTTTAGTAATTTCAACTTCAGTAGCCCAGTGCTTTTAGCATAAATCTTTGGTTTATTTGAGCTTCATCTCATCATTTACCACCAAAGCCTCCCCAGTTATTTTGTCTGTCAAAAGTTCATGTAATTTGTCATAAACATAGAAATATGATGAACAAAAATATGTTGTTTCTAAGTGTCTAAATGTAGCCAGCAGCTAGGCTTAGCTAATAAAAGTATTCCTTCTGTTGGTTTTTAATAGCTCTGCTTAAATGTTTTCTACATGGCCTTTATTTGATCATGTATGAGTGGCAACACACCATATTGAACTAATGGTTAATTTACCAGGTATCCACTGTGACAAAGCACAGAAATGTGGTCTTATAAATAGTCTTCGTTTTACTGTTGGCGCCACAGAGCTTAAATCAGTCCATAAGTAGGTTTTAAGGATAAAACATGAGCACATCTCAGCATGCTGAGAAACTTCAGCCAGGAATACAGGGAAAAAAACACTGTTTGCACCCATGCCAACAAATGTGTTTTCTTTAGAATAATTTTATTTAAGGCTGTTGGACAATATACACTAGGTAACACTGGACTAGCTTACAATGTTAGTCATTAAAACAATGTTGATTCTGCGCAACGTTAATATAAATAATGTTATATGACCAGGTTTCTACTAATTTGTCCAGAAAACTGAATCAATCGCTGGCACCGTGACCAGGCATAAATATTTATAGTGGAAACTGTGTTACATATATAATATGTGTGGGATGTATAGTTGTATGCAAAAGTTTGGGTGCCCTGGTCAAATTGTATTTTTCTATTTTAAAAAGAGAAATATCATTTTCATGATATACATTGTTGGAAGTGGGTCTAACAAATACAAGAAATACTTATACAATGATACCACCTATATTGGAGAAATAAAAAATTTCCTTCATATATCAGTTACCTTCAGAAACCTTGCTCTGTCCAAATTTGTTACAAATGGATGAACAGGATTATTTTGTCGGAGTCAAGAAAACATGTAATTTGACCAAGGATGTTCAAACTGCATAAGAAATGCAGGCAAGCATACATTTAGGTCTCACCATCTTTTTGTATCTCTTTAGCGCTGGCAGCACCTGACCACACCCATTTGGGGGCGGCACCACCTTGAATTCCTTTCACCTGAGACTGAAGTCAAACTGCTGCCCAATAATGAAGCAAGCAAAAACACGCTCTTGTTTGAAAGCGTCATCTGAATAATGAGTGTGGCATACATACACACACACACACACACACACACTACTAGCTTTGTTGTATGACACTGTAAGCTAATGCATGCACACACACTGCAACAGACCAAGCAGTCACATCACAGTGACTAATACAGAAATACACAGGAGTCACAGACAGTGCTCCCATTGAATCAGTAGTAAACTCCAGTCCTGGATTCTTGTGCTATACTGCAACAACAGTGCACAGTTTACCTGCTCTAACACAATATAATTCAACTCACCAACACCTTGATAATTAGCTTTTGCAATGTTTCAAGAGACTGAAAACACTACAATGATGATTTTTGTTCCCTCACCAACTCTTTCTTTCTATCCTTCAGTCTTTCTCTCGCTTTCTGTCCTATACAGGAAATATGTCATTCTGTCAGTGATAGTGTGAAGCACTTAATCATATGTTTTCATCAGGAGGTGTGTATATTCTGTTCTGTGTTGTCTTGTTGTCTAGTAGAGTCATTGGCATATCGAAGCAGTCTTGTGTAAAATAAAGGCAAAAAATTAAAATATAATTCACATCAGTGTTTTGTCTCATGATTTGTTAATTTTAATTTGATATAATACATACAATATAAAGTAAATCTTATAAAATCAGTCTTATGTGAAACAAATGAACCTTTAATACCAAACTTTGATATTACAAAAAAAAACAATGTCAACACAGTTGTGCAACACAAATATATACAAAATTACACTGCTTTAAGGCTGTGCTATTGATGCAACATTAACATCACTAAAATTGCATTCTTTGGGCAATTACTTTAGATGAAATTAAATTGGCCTTTTTTTTAACTCATTCATGTTCTTGTCCCAGGTCATATTAGGCACAATTCATCATATTATACCATTTAGACAAAATTATTGTTCTTTGCATAATCATCAATCTAAATGTAATAACTTTTGCCTGCCTTAAAAGCATATTTCTGATTACATCACTGTGCACCAGCGGGTGGGAAAAATATACAAATAATGTTTCCTTCCTCCCCCAATACTCGTCTACTGTTGAGCAAAAATGCCAAGCCAGCTCAAGGACCCTCCCTGACATTGCGTTTTACTCACAAAAATGACAAAATACGCAAAGAATATGCCTTATTATTTCCAATTCACACTGACTTCAATGCAGAAACATTTTAAAATTGCTGAGCACACAAAATGAACACACAGTAATTTATCAGACATTTGACTCCTCATTCATGGATTTTTGCCACCACTGGGCTGGCATTACTGTGTTATTTTTTGTCATGGAAACAAAGCTCTCCAGAAGTAAAGCTCATTCAGTGACTGGGTGGGTCAGGGATGGAGTCCTGGAGGGTGACATCTGCTGGTCACATCCTGGTATCACAGAGGATTTCCTGTTTCCATAGCAACAAGAAAGAATAGAGAAAAAGTGTTTGAGTTACTTTGTCTCTTGTCATGTAAGTTTTGGTAAGATGTATGTGTGCTTGGGAAGATCCAAAAATCATAAGCAGCTTCTAAATACCTTCCTTTTTCTATCAGTGGTACAAGTTAATCTATACCTCATCTGTCCCCAGAGTTTTACAGGCTTTTTAATGTATTTCTTAGCAAATGTCACCAGGCTTACCAGTCAAATTGCATTTTGTGGTAAACTCTGAGATTATGCTGGTGTGTTCTTCTCTTAATGCTAATATTTGTTTTCTTGATGTGATAAACAGTACAATATTCTTCAGTCATACACCATCAATACTGTGGCCTTCCATGCCCACATCATGGAGTGCAGTCATGCTTCCTAACAATGTACTAGTGTTGTGATAATGTAACAGTGTAACTGGGTTTTGATCCAACTAATAATTTTTTTTTCACTCTTATAATGGCCGGTTTAATTGGCTGTGACATTTTGGGAGATGAGGCCATCATGTATCCACTCATACAATCAGTTCTAGCCCATGCAAACCATTTCTGTCTATGAAACAACAGAGTAGCCAAATGCGCACACACTTATGGTTCTCTAAAAATGAACAACTGTGTATGCGAGAGATAAAGCTCACCAGTGAACACTGGTAGTAGGGCAAGGTCCTCCCAGCATGTTTCAAGCAGTACAAAACAGCATCATGGATGGTGGGGAAAAGGTGGGTTTTGGGGACAGAAGCAGAGAAGAACCCTCCTTGCTCCAACTGCTGCACCACTAGCACTATGCAAACACGTTTGGTTATATACAAAGTCAGAATGTGGGGGTCACACACATGTATTCCCATATGAATTACGCACACTCAGTGGCCACTTGATTAGATACACCAACCTTGTTTCTATACTTATTGTCCATTGTGTCAGGTCCACTTACCACATAGAAGCCTCTGTATCTCTACAGATCTAGTCTCTGTAATACTGCACTGACACTGACATGGTGGTGGCATAGTAGTGGATGTGTGTGTACGCTGCACAGAATGGATCAGACACAGCAGTGTTGCTGGAGTTTTTCAGCACCTCAGTGTCACTGCTGGACTGAGGACAGTCCACCAACAAAACATCTAGCCAATAGCATCCTGTGGCCAGAAACTGACTACTGATGAAGGACTAGAGGATAACTAAAACACACTGTGCAGCAACAGATGAGCTATTGTCTTTAACTTTACATTTACAAGGTGGACCAACAGGGTAGATGTGTCTAATAGAGTGGACATAGAGTGGATACAGTGTTTAAAAACGTGTACCATCATCACTACCATGTCAGTGTCACTGCAGTGCTGAGAATGATCCAGCAATCAAATAATACCTGCTCTGCAGTGGTCCTGTGGGGGGTCCTGACCATTGAGGAACAGGGTAAAAGGAGGCTAATAAAGTATCTAGAGAAACAGATGGACTTCAGTCTGTAATTATAGAACTACAAAGTGCACCTATATAGTAAGTGGACCTGATACAAAGACACCTGTAAATACAAGGTAGATGTACCTAACAAAGTGGCCAAAGTGTTTGTGTATATATACATACAGTTTTGAATTTAACATATTCGGCAAAAATAAAAGACAAAATGTGGCCTGGGCAAAAGCTATGGCATGTTTTACTTTTTATTTTTGTTAATCTCAGCAAATAAATATGCCATATTTAATTTTGTTCTCTGTGTGTTGACTTATTTTCACCCAGAAAATAATAAAGCATGCAATTTGACCAGGGGTGATTAATTGTGTGTCTGTAGGTTTAACAAGAATTCTTTAAGCCTGGCCCTAATTTTCACCTGAGTAAGCAAAAAGGAAATATTTTTGCCATTTCCCATTTATAAAATGAAAACGTAACTTTTCACCAAAAAAGCATTTCACAAAGTCAGAGTCATAATTATAGGACACGTTTGACATGAAATTGTAGATATACAAACACACAGAAAGTGTCTGGTGTGTGACTGCTTGGCTGTGTGAATTTAAATCAGGTACTGCTCCATGAAACACAATTTACACCCACCTTGACATCCAGAGATGCAGACTGTCACATCCACCTCTGCAAAGTCTTGAAATATCTAGCAAAGCCCAGGAGGGAATGATGAAAAATGACAAAACTCAGTTTATGAATCTATATTGTATGCTCTTTCATGTCTCAATTTGCCATATCCCACTTTTATCACACAACAACAGAGCTAATATAGGTTTAGCTCCAACTGTTCATATAGTCACATTTATAAAAAAAAAAAACACACAAAACTGATTCTACATCAGTTCTCTTAAAAGATCTAATTTACAGTATGACTTTTTATATGAGTAGATTATCTTGCACGTTTATGTTGGGCTGTTCATGTTTGGCACCTGCTGTTATCTAAAAATGTTCTTAACTTCCTTAATTCTTTTTATCTGGATATGATTTTGTGACCAATCTGGCCAAACTGGCAGACCAGCTTAACCACCCAACTCAAATGAAAACATACCATATGTTGGTCAAAGGGCTAAGTTGATCTACCAGCTTAACCAACTGGTTCACCAGCATAAGGTATATTTTTTGTCTAGTCTAGCTAGATGTCCAGCTTGTTAAACATCTTGACCATCAAAGACCAGCTTAGACAATTTGAAACAGCCTCCTTTATAGCTGTTTTTAGCTGATCTTTCAGCAAAGTTTCTTAAAATCAAGTTATGTCTTTGTTAAGTAGTTAGATCAACAATTTAAACCAAAATAGTGTTGTAGTCATCTTTATCTAGTAAAAGAAGAATTTTAAAATTCCTGGTTTTGTCGGACCCAGAACTGGCCTTCGCATTTTATTTATTGTTGTTTGTTGTTTCTTAATCTAACAGATTATTTATTTACTTTTTAGGTGCCATGTAATTTATACTTTGAATACTGAATAGTGAATATACTTTAAAAGTATATTTTAGCAAAACATCAAAATTGCACAAATTTTCCACTTACCCCAGATGTAGTCCATCAGCTATGACATGATTGGTGTCCATTTTGCTTAGTTTAGTTTAGTTTAACAATGGAGCAGCAAGGCTATTGGTAAAAAACAATAGAAGTCAATAGTAACCCCAAATGTTTTTTTTTCATAAATACATGCCCAAAAGATCCTCATTAAGGTCATGCAGACTTGTTGATGTGTTTTAGGATACATGTACAAGTACCAAACCTTGCTGCATTGCTGAATTGTAGGGTTAGCCACTGTAGACAACACCTACAGAAAAGACTTGAGTGACTAATGACTTCTAGCGTTCATTAACAATGTTAGTCTTGTAGCTCCAGTTTAAAACTAAAGAAGGAACATTTTGACACCAAACATGGCCTGGCTGATTGAATATATTATGGGATAATTTTTTTAAGATAATCTGGACTGAATAAATTATTTGAGTCATTTATTATAAAATGGAAAATCATATAAATGTGAACTGAAGTGACTTTACACATTTTTCCTAAATAATCTTATAATTATCTAATTGCACATACACATGCAGCTCATGTAAGAGCAGATAAAAACAGAGGCTTATTGAAATAGATCTTTTGCTACATCAAAGACATCTGGTTCTTCTTTCTCTCTACAGTATTTTCTATTATGTTTGCTTTTCTCTAGTCCCACGTGTGGCATAAGTGGTCTTCATTTAGCCCCAATCATTTACTATCATGTTATTATCTGTCGTCTATTGCCCTTGTCTTCGTTATCACTGGCACTTACATTTTTCAGGGTTTTCAAGGTGACTGTGTCTATGAAACTGACTGTAGAGAAGTCTAGAATAATGGAGTGTGTCCTGGTCCTTAAGCTCTCACTGCCAAAAGAGTGTGCATCATCACAGTACACATGTTCATCTGCTGAAAGGTGTGTATTGGCCACATGTGATTGTATGATGAAGTCACTGTTTGCTGGCACACTGACACCTCCATTCTGTAAGTAAAACAAAACATATGCAGTAACTTTAGAAGCATTTAGTGACAAAATACACAGAGTTGCTCCTACACCTACACTGGACCTCACTGGCCATTTTATCCTAAACACCTACCATATATAGGTGCACAATGTAGGTTTACAATTACTGACTGTAGCCTATCTGTTGCTGCACAATTCAGCCAATTTACACTCCATCCATCAATGGAAAATAACTACAGGACCACCACTGACCACATATTATTTGGAGGTGGACCATTTGTGACAGCAGTTACACTGACAGCATATTTTCACTTGAATTGTACACTCTTTTATAATTTTTAATTAAGTAATTCATTAATTTGAAACTTCTCTTATTTCATTTATGTTGTCACTTGCATTTTGCTATGAAGTTTGCTTATAATTTCTCTGAAAGTTTACAAAACGTCTGCATTTTCCCCCTTGTGGCCTAGAAAAATGCCAGAATTAAACAGGCTTATGGGCAGTGTCCGCATGTCTGCAAGCCCAAGTACACTCACCCAAATAACATCTGATCAGGGGTCCAATGATGGTCCCTTTCCACTGACAATGGGGTTGATAAATCGGGAAGCAACAGATTGGCTAGTCAGTAATTTCGTGCAAACAAAATACACCTACACTATACTATAAAACAGTATGTGAACACCTGCATATTCATATGTGCTTGTTGTAAATTACGTTCCAAAACCGAGGGCTTTAATATGGAATTGGTCCCCGTCTTTTGCTGCTACAGCAACCTCTGTTCTGCTTCCAGAAGAGCACTAGTGAGATTAATCTCTGATGTTGGGCGATAAGACCTGTTTTGTAGTCAGTCTTCCAGTTCATCCAAAAGGTGTTTGATGGAGTTGAGGTAAAGGCTCTGTGCAAGTCAAGTTTACCAGACTAAACTCTTTATGGAGCTTGCTTCATGCAAAGAGGTGCTGTTACACAGAAAAATTAAGGAGCCTTCCCCAAACTGTTGCTACAAAGTTGGAGGGACGCAGTTCTGTAGAATATCACTGTACGCTGAAGAATTAAGATTGCCCTTAACTGGAACTAAAGGGCCCATGAAAAACAGCCTCAGACCACTATTCCACCTCCACCCAACTTTACAGTTTAGACTATGCATTCAGGCAGATAGCATTTTCCTGTGCAGAACCTAGATTCATTTGTCAGGCTACCAGAGGGTGAAGCCTGATTCATTACTCTAGAGAATGCATTTCACTGCTCCATTAGTCCATTAGTGGTGTGCTTTACATCACTCCAGCCAATGCTTGGTACTGCACTCCATGATCATAGGGTTGTATATGGCTGCTGGGCCTTGGAAAGCCAATCCAAATGAACAGTTAATGTGCTGACATTTCTGCCAAAGGCAGTTTGGAACTTGATAGTGAGTGCTGTATTTAAAAGAATTGAAATACTTGAAAGACTTGGTCCAAAGCATGTAGTCTGTAAAATATTCAAACATTACTCTTTACCTGTTTCTTTCTCTCCTTCTCCTCTCTCTTCTTCTCATTTTTCTCCATGTGTTTCTCCTTTGTTGCCTGCTTCCTCCTCAGCATGATCAACTTGGAAATATTGATGCCACTCTGGTAGAGAGAAAGAAAAAAGATGATGAAGAGTAAGCAAAAGGGGCTAGACGACTTGGAGAGTCAGTGGGTGAACATGATAGTCTTGGTGTGGTATTAAATTTGTTTTATTGAATGTTTTTGGCATATGAGGTACCTTTTCTTGTAAGGCTTCCTTGTATAGCTCTGCATTGGCATAGTAGAGCGTGGATGAAGAGCGGAATATGGTGATACCTGGGATTTCTTTAGCCTAGAGATCCATACACACATGACACTAGACTCTTTCCCAAACTCCAGACTTTTACATACACATGAGCTAAGAAATTCTACCTTCTCATATGAATCTGTTTCCACGTATAGTTCAGTACCAGGCACCCAACCAAGAACAGAATACTTTGTACTGTAACAGGGAGAGACAGTCAATTACGCCACCATTCAAATCATTTTGGAATCACAGTTCAAAAGTTTGTTTTCAACATTATAATATAATTCTGGTTGCAGATCAAATGCTTCTGATTTCCTGGTCCTGTGAAACTAAAAATAAGAAGGAAACTGAAAAAAATGAAATTTTACAGTACAATAAAATGAATTAAGTAGTTACAAAGCTGTAGTGTATAAGATTCTAAAATATCAGAGAAAGGAGTGTAGCATCAAGAATGTTATTATTGTGTTTTAATAACAAACACATTCTTAAACAGCTGTTTAGATTTGTGAATAATATAAATCATTATTTTTATGTGTATTTTTTCCGCATTAAATTACAGAGGCACTCATGCCCCCATACGCTTACAGCTGGGTCCTGAAGATGACGGTTAACAGTGCGAAGGCAATGGAAGCTGCCAGACCCAGATCCAGATTTAGCAGAAGAGTGCAGAGGAATGTCACCACCCACACCAGCTAGAGACAGGAGTAGATGTTGATTAGAAAAGAATATTAGCTGAGATGTTGATGTTAATCAGCCCTGAACTGAAGGCCTAGCATTGATAATATGGCTGAACTCACCAAGTCAACTTTGTTGTTCTTCCACAGAGCAGGGATGTCTCCATATTGCTTAAACATTCCCTTTAGGTTTGCAAACACGATAGCAGACAACACAGCCTTGAGGCAAAAGCACACAAACAGACAGTACCATATAATTATTACCTTGAGCATTCAGGATAAGCAAATGTTTTGGCCTTTTTTGTGATTTAACAGCTTTTATTCTTTCTCTAATTTCTACTATTATTGTTCTCTCAATGTTCTTGTGTATGCTGTATTTTGCCTTCTGTAAACTGACTCTTGTTGATCTGTGTAGTGTTATTAGTTTTTCTACATTGTGATAAGAAAAAAGTGCTTAAAAGTTTTTATTTTACCTTAGGCAGATCACCGAACAGTGAGCCTACTTTTAGCACTGTGATGAGCACAATGACAGCAGAGACTGCCCCAGCAACCTAGTAAAAGTAAGAATGATAAAGTGATCAGTGTTGGGGTAACATGTTACAGTAATGTGATTAATTTTTCCCGTAACAAAGCAACGTAACCCATTACAGTTCTTGTAGTCACACTATAGTTGCTGATAAAAAAAAATTTCCTTGCATTTAAATGACAAATTATCTATAGTTTTCTGGTTTATCAATCTGGTTGATAAAAACCAGGCTGAACTTGGCTTCCTTCAAGAATTTTCTGTTCCACTTTAACCAGTGCAGGACTTACATTCTGGTGCCTCACTGCACCTGAATGTTACAGCAGCACTGTTTAAGGTGAAACATGAAAACTGAAGAATAAGCTAATTTCAGCCTCATTTCATAAACTGAGAACAGTGGCTGAAAGTAAGGCCAGACCTAGAGATTCCAGTTGTTGCCATGCAGGTATATCTTCTACAAAATGAGCATCAGAGGTGGATATATTGCTTTGCTATCACCTCACCTGCTGCTACACTACATGAATTGTGGAGGGCTGCAGAATTAAGGTAGTTAAAAGCCATGGTTAATGCTACCTAATGCTACATTCCCAAGCAAGGACCCCATCTGCTAATTTTTCCAGCTGGCTAATATGATCCAGCTCACTGTCAAACACATATACCAGCGATTTTTTGTAATATTAATTTTTAAAAGGAAAGCAGAACATTAGAGACCCCCTAGCTGAATTCAGTTTAAATATTTCACAGTATCAACACAGTACAGCGGCTGTTGCCAATTCAGCCAATGTGACAAGGTGGTTGTGTAATTTACACATGTCTATGAGTACCAGAACAATTACAATTAAATAATTTTATGAGTAAATTTTGGTAACAGATAAAGTGGAGCACAGTAATATATCCACATCTGATCCTCACTATGTAAGTTAGAAAACAGCCCTCAATGCTGGATTAATTTCTGTCTGCCGCATCTGAAGCCTATGTTCGGCTGACACGGACAATAATTTCAACTAACTGATTAAAACAGAAAAACCTGCCACAAGTTCAATTAAAGATTCTTCATGGGTCATGCATAAAGATAAAGTAATCATCGCAAAATTATATATTGCTTTGTTTCACTCCATCTTCTAAAGACAGATCGGCCTCAGATAAAGTCTTTTCTGCTGAGTGCGCTGTTGGCCCTGCCCTGATGGGATGATTGATAGGTTGGGAAGTCCATGAAAACTGGGTCAAATGCATTTCCAAAGGAATTTTGACACATTAATTATCATTAACATTAATGAGCGCAGTAGGCGAGAATATGTAATTGCAAAGAGGAGAAACACTATTTCCCATTTACATTTGAATTTTGCCCTCTTTCTAACTTGGTGTCCTCTTTGAAAATGCAATTTAAATGCAAGATTAGTAAAAAAGTATATAAGATAAATTACATTTTAATTATCATTTTGACACAATTATGGCATAATTAAGCATAAATATGCAGTTTTGGAAATACATTTTTATTTAAATAAAGCTACTTATAAAGTATCAAATATTTTGCAAATGAAATGTCATTATTAGCAAAGGAAAATGGCAAATTAAAATCACAGTATTAAATTAGAATTTTCACTTTGAGCTTAACATTGCATAGATGAGTGGGAAATTTAAATGCAAACATACAAATACATTGCCATTTTACATATTCCATTTTCCTCTGATGATGAATCAACTTTTGGTGGTTGACATTTTATATTTGGCTTTGGAAATAGGCATCTTCTATCCTGTCCAAGTTTCAGGTCTTGCTTTTACAGATCCCTCAATACCTGGAGCTTCACATTCATGGAAACACTAGCTCGATGTGAAAAACCTGAAAGCTTGAGCGAGATAATGAAGGATAATGTAACGGTTACTTAGCAGTGAATGGAGGAGAAAAATAAATGTTTAGGAAAGACTTGGAGAATATAAGGATTATGAACGGCCGTAACACAAAACTACACTGTGTCCTAACAGCAAACTGGCGTTCAAATGCAGTATGGCGTGGTGTCCTAAGGCCTTCATGATGTCAACATACTTGTGTGAGGAGGCCCCCTAGTGGCTTGGGCCCCTGGGCAAGTGCCCTTAAAAACCCATTGGATTATTAGGGCTTGGATGGTGGAGATCGTGTTCGCAGTGTCTGAGATTTTTTAAAATGAGTTATAAAATGAAAATATCTCAAACAAAACTACTGTCTTTCTGTATAGATAAATGTAGCATTGTTATGCCAGCAGTGAATTATGCTGTCTGTCACAGTTACCTAAAAACGATAGAAAAGGATGGTTAAACAGACGTTAGAACACCACTGGGGTTGTCCTAAAGTTATGACACTATTTAGGAAATCTTGTCTAGTTAGGATGTTTCTGCAATACTGTTTTCTATTTGGAGTTTGAATAAGGCTATGAACAGAATCGCCAACCAATCAGCACTTAGTAGCAGTAATGCTAGCATCCTATTGTATTTGCTACAGAAAAAACGATAAAAAAAACAGGCAAGTTTTCTTTGATTCTTTAGTGAAATATATCCTTCTGCTTCCAAAATTTGTTTTTAACCATTTAGCTCCATTCACCCCCATTCATTGAGAGTAAAACACACTAACACTCAACCACTATGTCAGTTTCACTGTAGTGCTGAGAAAGATCCACCACCCAAATAATCCCTGCTCTATGGTGGTCCTGAGGGGGTCCTGACCATTAAAGAAAAGGGGGCTAACAAAGTATTCAGAAAAACAGATGGGCTGCAGTCTGTAATTGTAGAACTACCTATATATAAGTGGAGCTGATATAATAACAATGAGTTTAGATTTAAGGAGGTTTTCCCAATAAAGAGCTTTGTGAGTGTACATGCAAATATCTGTCTGGTTTTTGTTGTGAATGTCTCTCATACCTGTGTCTTTCCTCCTGTGCTCTCCTGGACAAGGCTCCGGGACAGTGAGGAGGTGACAGGATAGCACTGAAAAAACCCCCCTACTGCATTACTGATACCTACCGCCACCAACTCCTATTGACAGATAATGGTTCAATTAATATGTTGCACTCAAAACATTTGCTGGTTTTGATGTTTTTCTCTTGCAGGGAAATCAGTTTAGAGGAAAATCAAATGTACTCAATTTTGTCCTTACTCCAAATGCAGTCAATCAGCCAAAACCTGTTCAGCAATAAGATTGCTTCTTCAATTTTGAAGTTTGAGGCCATATATTATCCAGCAGTGGTGTTCAACTCTAGTGCTGGAGGGCCAGTGTCCAGCACAGCTCAGAACATTCTTACTTAACCTGACAATTAACAGATGAGTTGAATCAGGCGTGTTTGGGCAGGGAAATCACTAAACCATGCTGGACAATGGCCCTCCAGGACTCGAGTTGAACACCTCTGCTGTATAGCATGCAGTACAGCGCAAGTCAGAGACCACCCTTCATTTGTTTAGTTTTCAGTCAAAACAGCCATTATGTACAAGTTATTCATTTTCAAGAAATATTTTTGAGGAAATAACAACTGTTCTAGACCTAGTACGCCACCAGACTGGTAATGATCACATAAACAGTACTAAATATTTCATTTGTGAGAGATAATTGAGCTCCACTCTTGCTTCATCTGAAAAAAAACCCACAGTATTTTCTGTCCATCCTTCCACTGTGAGAAAACAACTCAGCTCTATGGGTGTGAAAGGATGTGTAGCTGTGAAGAGGTTGCTACTGAGAAAAGAAATTGAACAAAAAATAAGAAAATCTGCAAATCAAAGAAAGAAGCTAGTGTCCTCAATGGACAATGGACTGAAGATGGGATCCAGCATAAGGGTTTGCGATTAACTGGGTGGTGCAAAGCAGAAACCTGAAACTAATGGCCATTTTGACTGGAAATTAAATCAATGAAGGACGGAATCTGACTTTTGCACAGTACTGTATGGCCTCATAGCTCCAGTGCAAACATGTCTCTCCAGGACCAGAGTTGAACACATCTGTCATACACTGTCAGACACCATGTGAGCAGTCTAGAGATTTGTTACTTAACAAGTTTGAGGCAAGTATGTTGATTTAGGCATGCAATTTGCATAATGCTAACTATGTGCTCAGCTATTTTCTGATAGCTACACTGCCTTATCCAGTAAAGAACTATAGACACCAAGTATGCATTGGCTGATGGGAAGGGGAAAAACATCTACATTAGATTTTTCATTGAACTACTGCTAAGTGAGAAACTAAGAGGGAAGAAAGAGATTGTTTATACACCTGGTTGTTGTCCACTTTGTACCCGTGTTTGAGAGCGAATGTCTTGCCCAGAGAAATGTTAATGGCATACCCCACCACAGCTATAGTGAATGCCTCCCCAATTATCCTTGAGAAAAAGCTCACATCGGGGACACGAGGTGGCACCAACCTAAAAGTCAAAAATTAAGAGTTCAGGAAGGCCACTATAGTGTTCTGATGAGGGCTTTTCAGTAAGCCTGTCTCTCTCACGCAAGTAGAAGAGTGAAAATAAAAACAGACATTAATAATATTCCCAAGGACGCTGATAATACATGTGAATGGCGATAAAATACACACTCCCAGTCATGTTTGCTTACCCACAAGGAATCTCTCCAACCACCTCAACAGCATGAACTGGATTTAGTTGGGCATAATGTGAGACCAATGTTCCTACAATAATCTGCAAATACACAGAAACACGAATACATGTGTTTATTTATTTATTATCAGTCAAGGTTATTTCATAGCCTAGTCACGAGACCAACATCAAGCTATGGTACGGTTCTCTCTTAGGTTACAGATTATTTCTCCAAGTCTCTCCACTGCTTGCACATTTTGTAAATCACTCTTGATGAAAACTTCTGATCAATGATTAAACATAAAATTATGTTTACACAGATACACAATCTAGTTTTCTCTAGGCTGAAATCCTTTCTCTGGATGCTTGTTTTGACTGCCCTCTGCTGCTTCTTCTGGCTTTTTATGTCAGTCAAGCTACAAGCTAAGCATAAGAGTATGACACATAGTTCAATGATACAACAAACTCATAAACATTTACACTCACACACAAACTGAATGAACTCACCACAAGAAGTTCTATGGGTATAGGGAGAGGTAGTTTTTGTCTGTAAATGGAGTTGACCTCCTTCACCACAATCAGAACAGCCAAGGCAACCACACTGACCACCAGAGTAGGGATATGTGTTCCAGGCAATAAAGCACAGAGGTCTATCAGGGTCTGTACACAGGTACAGAATTTGAGTCTGACTTACTGCTGCTTTCAGTAAAGTGTGCCATTATAATGGTTATTCAGTTACACTAAAATCAGTTACTATATTGTATAAAACAGCAAAAACAGTTGTAGTCAAACTGATCATTAAGGGCTATTTTTTTTAGAAACTGTATTCCGTGTCAGATGTCCTCACTTTGGGCAGCCTTGTTCTAGATCATATTAACAACTACAATTACATTATCACTTATAAATCACTTAACTTAATATCATAAGATAGTTACAGAATTCATAATTGGGAAAGTTCTTGCACAATATCATTTGTTACAGTCTTACAAGCATGAAAGACAACATATTGGAGTATAAAATGAAAAACTTTCACCACTGGACAAATTACAGGTTTTATTTATTTTCTAAGTGAAAATAACTACACATCATCTACAGAGAACACACTTCTGCACTTTTTAAATGCACCATTGCTGTTTATTTCTGAATTTAACATATTGCAAAAAATAAAACATTAAATGAGGCCTGTTTAAAAGCTATGGCACATGTTTTAGTTTTTTAATATGTTAAACTCAAAATAAATAGAAATTGTGCGCTAAAACTTAAAGAAAAATGCCATATTTAAACATATCCCCCATAGAAGACATGTTTATTTTTACTTAGAAACATGTCACTTGACCAAGGGTATTCAAATATTTGCATGTGACTGTATATATTTTTCAGAAATATAATTAAGCTCTTATATGCTTCATTTCTTTCTGTGTATGTGTGCATGTGTGTGTTTATATGCGTGTGTGCATGTGCGTGCGTGCAAAGGCCTTTGATTAGCAATGTTTTTTAATTTACTAATAATTTAATGCTACAATGTTGATTAAATTTTATAAAATTCATCATTAATGATTCCTGCATATTTAACTGCCTCTGTCTTTGGCAGACTACTCGCAAGCACTGCCTAATTTTCTTAGCTCTCCAATCACTTCTTAGCAACTGCTTCTATTTGCCATATGTGTACCTGTATCCTATTATTTTCTACCCATCTCCAAAGATAAAGAAGAAATTAAAAAAACATCCTTGGATTAATCTGTGTGGTAAACCTGACCATCAAGCAGAACTATGCAGACCAATGACACTGTTCAAAGGTGAGTCACTTCATTTGCTGGTTAGTTGATCAAATGAACTAGTGTGACTGAATAAAAAAAATTCTAAATTAAAAAATTCAAATTTAAACAGAGCCTCTCCTCTTTGCGATTACACATTCTCACCTACTACACTCATTCTGTGGCAAAATGGCTTTGAAAATGCATTCAACCTGAATGTGTTCTCATTTTCATGGTGTTCTCAATTTGCCAATTATCCTGTCAGAGCGGAGTCAACCACAGAGCCAACTGTAGGCTACAGATGCAGCAGACAGACATTAATCCAGCATCGAGGTATATATTTTTTTAAAATGATGATTCTTACAGCACAAGGCAGCAGAAACGCATCACAAACAAAAAAAGTAGTATTTTTATTCCATTTCTGACCACATGGAGGGCCAGCTTTACAAGGGTATTTTACCTGCTGTAGAGCTTCAAACGTGTAGGGCTGAAGCACACCGATTGGTGGTGCTGCTTTCTGACCCGCCCACGCAGTTTTGATTAGGTACCAACTTGGAATTTTTATAGCATTTATCTACTATTAAATCTTATTAATTTGTATGGATATATTGAATATAACACTGTTAAATGCTTATTCCATGGCATATCTTTACCATTAAAACAAAAAAAAATGAACATTTGAAACAACATCTTTACAGCTTTAACTCCAAGTGTTCAATGAGTTCAGTAGCTTGTTTAATCACATTTTATTGGCTGTCAGCTGCTATGAGAATCAAGATTAACCAGTCAGAATTGTAGGCTACACTCTCCCAGTGAAACTAGCTCAGTTTGAACAGCTTCAATCACTGTTAACGATCAAGATGTCTCAGTATAGTCTAGTTAATTGATTGTAATGTTTCGACCGCTTTTTCATTTTGAGCAGCTTCCCTTCTTATTGTCTTGGTCCTGTGTTTGTGTGCTTATGTGTATGTGTGTCTCTGTGTGTTACTCACATAAATCTGTGCGAGTGGTCCACAGAAGCGTTTGGGGGCCAGCCCGAAAGTGTACTTTAGCTGGGAGATGACCACATGCATGGCCGCTGCAGTAGTGTAGGCCCTCACCAACGGCTCTGACAGGTATGTCACCACAAACCCAAACCGCACCAGACCTAACACAACCTACAGAGAAAGAGAGAGGCAGATATATGATGTGTTTGGCATATGTGTTTGTACAGTATATTATCAGAATATGTATATGATAAAGGTCAGTTTTAGTTACAGCAAAATGAACATATCGTCACTATCATAGCAAAACATATCATGGAAGTGGTATGAGATTTTATTCCAAGTCATTTTGGACCTTTTATGTTGATCCATTTGTCATAAAATGTTCACATAATGTGAGGGCATTTTCATAGTGTTCAAAAATAAAAGTCAAAGGCCTTGATATGATGAAGTTTTGAAATGACAGCCAATTTTAATCTTAACTTGATTAAATTTCTTTGATTGAAGCAGAAAAAATGTAGAACATGGTACTTTATTTAAAGATGTGTGTTTTTCACCTGAAAGAGGCCACAGAGTAACGTTACAGCTGCTACCACTCGAATACGATACTGGTCCCTGGCATCTGTGTCCGCAGCAGACCCATTTACTCCATTGGTCAGGAAGAGATCATCAGGAGCAAGTTTCTCTGTGACCCCTCCAGTCATGATCCCAATCACAGCAAAGGACCCTGCAGATGTACACAAATAGAGATTTGTATTACTGTTTACAGCTATAAAAAAAAAGGTCGGTATGTGCAGAATAAGACACAACACATGCAATACAATGCAACTGATGATAAAATACAGTTGTACAATAAAATTATAATACAGGACTTTGATTTTAAAAACCTTTCCTTTCATATGATTATTGTAACAGAACCGTGTTTCTTTAAAATGGTAGTTATATAGGAAGAAAGAAAAAAACAAATTTATCAAACATTAATTTAATGAGATTTTATCATTTTGGACCATTTCTGTTGGTCCATTCGGAAAGTTCACGCAATATAAAAAGTTTGGACAGAGTTTTGAAACAGTATTAAAAAAAGTAAAAGACAAACAAAAAAGGCTATGATATAAATGTGCTATATGATATGCAACAATATACAAAAAACATTGTTTAATTTAGTTCTCTTTCTCTCTCTGTCTCTCTCTTTCTCTCACCTACAGAGATGTGCCTTGAGGTACCAAAGATGAAGTAAACAAGTACGGGATAGAAGGACGTGTACAGACCAAACACGGGTGGAACAGTGGCCAGGAGAGCATAGGCCATACCTGAGCATACATCACATACAAACATAAAATGTGAACAATTCTGACTCTGCAAGTTTCTCTAGAACAGTGTTTTACATCAAACCACCTCTGAATGACTTTCTTTACATCTTAAGCATTGATTTTCATCTTGTAACAAGCTATTCAACAGTCAGGGTATCATCTATGTGTTACTGATTTGATGCACTATGCTATGTTGTGATGTCTGTTGTGTGAGAGAGTGTGTGTATTTTAGACTGACCTTGCGGCAGGTGCAAGATTCCAACGCTGACCCCAGAGAAGAGGTCACCCAGAGCGTTCTGCCGGACTGGATAGTAGGGAAGCCAGGAGAGAACTGGAAGCCAAGCTAGAATACATTTTTTCAGTCTGCTAACAGAACACCTGCACAAGAGAGAGTTAATATATGTGGAGGGGTGCACTGACCATGATTTTACATAGCCAATGCGGATTTCAATTTCTTTACAGAAGAATTGGTCAATTTTAGGCTCATTTTTGTTAGTCTTTTTATTAACCAGAAGCGCACACTGTGTGGTTTAAATGAACACATGGCTCAGTGATTAGCCGGCACCACGCAAGCTATAGCTGATTTGTTGCTATTCACTGGGGTTGGCTTATTGAGTAGGTATAAAATAAGCTTACAGAGGGCAACACGATTACTTTTATTTAGCTAGCTAGGTAAATTTTCTAGCATGGATAGGTGGCTCATTAAAAACAGCGACCCAGTGCATGCTGTCTCCACTGTCCAGTCCAACAGTCCCCAGCCGAGCTCAGCACATCTACACCGAGCAAAGGCAGCAAACACCATCCTCAAGCTACTCACTTAAATATAGCCCATCGTAGCTAAATACAAGTTAGGTGTCCCAAGCGCCCATTTGGACAAAGTGCGAGAAGCTCTAGTGCAGGCTGGTACCATTCTCGACATATGGCTATATACTGTGTCTCGCGTGATGCTCGCTTTTGCTTTGCTTGTTACAAATCTGGTGCTTCCAATTCTGATCGAGAGGACATATTCATGAAACGTAGATACACTAGTTGGAAGAGAGCGCTTGAATGAGACAGTGGTTTCCTTACACGTGCCTCCTGTATTCCTCGAGTTAGAGAGTCTGCATGGCAGCCATATCAGCCGCGCGCGGAGACAGGTGAAAGTATCATGCAACTACCGGGTGAAACCTGGATAGAAGAGAACAGGTACTATGCAGAAAGCTTAGGCGAAGTCGTTCTGTTTCTCACTGTAAATGAGGGAGCTCTCCGGGGCACCTTCAGGATAATGGGGATTAGGCTATTTGCTCAAAAAGTTCCCAAACTTGCAGAAATTGCAAAATGCATCACTGAAAATACAAATATAATATGAAATAATTAATTCATGTCTATCCTAGCTTCCAATATAGAAATGACTGCATTGAGCTATATTTTTGTCCATTTTGTCCTCAATTGTCATCATAGCCTATGTTATTTGTGACGATTTATTAAACACCTTACAGCTAAACGCGGCATTCAGCAAGCAGCCTGTGTGATTTAATTGCACTCAGTTGGCAAACAGAACATTTGTCTTCTTTTGCGTGTACTGATGTTTAGCTTAGCTGGCTATCACTTGCAATCTAGAAGTTTTAGATCACACACAGAAGCAAACAAAAAATATAAAAATAAAAAAAAAAAGCTTAATTGCATCTGATGATCATAGAGGGCCTAGACATCTATCCTAGGCAGAACTATCGTAGTTCATCATATGCTGTTCATCATACAAGCACTGCTGCCTGACCCTGTGCATTCTATTCTATTTTAGCTACTGAAGATCCAAACTAAAGATTGTTTGCAAGTTTTCCTCTGTAGTTCATACAAATGCTCATTGCTCATCGTAAAATCTAAGTCAAAAATTTGCAGAGTTTAATTACTTGTTTTTCCTTTTTCACATGTTAATGGCCTTGGAACCCAACCCCTACAAAAATCGGATACTGTAATTTTATTCCTTTAGCCCTTCCCCCATTAAACTATGTCATTGTTTACATACCCTATTTAGAAAAAGCAACATTGTTGTTGTTGCCCACCCAAATAATTCAAATGCCCTCTCAAGGATGGCATCCTAGTAACACCTCTGCAGCAGGTTAATTTTGAGACCAGTTATTACAGATAGGTTGCTTCTCTTCTTCCAGTTTAAGTGAAAACTAGGCCTGTTCAAAATTTTATTTTTTATGACCTAGTTCAGGTCAAAATCTATGTCTGGTTAACCAGAATTCAACCAAATAACCTGAAAATGCCTTAGCGGTTTTACAAATTTGTAATGAAAAATACATTATTATATCTATTAATAAACGTGAAAGCCAAAGTATCTTCTGCCTTCTGCCAAACGCAGGTAAAAGTTGGTGATTGATTTGCCTCATCTACCTGACGTGTAAAGTTATTAAGTGTAAAGAGAGACTGCTGCATGTGGGATTACAGGACATTAACGCATTCAGCAAACTTCATGTTAGTAACTATGTACCATGAGTGACTTTTGTTTTCAAATCCAGTCCAAGAAAAGCATGGGGTTTGCCAGAAAAAAGAGGTGTGTTGTCTTCTACAAATTAGCATATGTTGAATAGGAGTTCTGACTAGTAAGAAGTCAGTTTTAAATATCTGAATTTATAACTTGTCTGAACACCAATTTGATTAGTCATAATAATCTATCAGCGAGTGACATCTTCATAATAGAGATCTGTAATGTTTATTGTTACTAGTAAAAAAGTATATGTTGATAAATGTAATTACATTAAAGAGATATGTAATTCAATTTTAACTAGTAAAAATATAATTTTCACTAGTTAAAATTCAATTACAGGTTTCAATATTTCTTATTCTTTCTAGTCAGAATGATATTTTATGATTTTACTTTTTTTTTTCATTTTAGTTTCATTTTAGTTTCAGTTTTTGACTGATTGTAGGCATATCAGTAATATTTTGTTTTGTGGAAGTGTATATGTGCCTTGCATGTATCCTACCTCAGAGAGTCCTGCAGCTTCTCCTTCAGGGAGGGACCTCTGGAGTCACTCTGCCGACTGGCCACCTCATCCAATCCAAGCTCATCCAAGATGTCCCTCTTCACACAGAACTGTAGCTCAGAAGTCTCATGGATGCTCATGACTGAACACTTGTTGACCTGACAGTCTTTAAATCTAAATCTTTACCTTAACAACTCAGCTTCAACCTCGTAACTAACCTTTTAACCTCTTGTCAAGGCCACTAATGAGTCACCTTATTTTCTGCCCCTTAATTTCTGTTTACTGACCAACTATGATTGTCATACCATCTCTAGCATGCTCTGCACAACATTTAAAAACAATCTGACTTTGGAAGACAGTTGAAACAGGCCCACTCTCACAAAAGAGGTCAAAATGTCCCAAGTAATTAATGTTTTGGCACTGTTCAGTAGATCCCTTCAAATCTATTGTGTTTAATGATGAAGCTTCTTTCCCTAAAACAAGAGCCTTGCAAGAAGAGGACAGAAAGAGCATCCACCACGCTGCTGCAGTGTTTTGGTCCAGAGCAGAGATGAATAAGAGACTCTGCATCACTCAAGGCTTTATCAAAGGAACACCTCTCCCTCCTCCCACCAAACACAAACACACACAGGACATACAGTATGGGATCATTAACCATGCAGAAGGTACAGTTGTGAAGGAAAAAAACCCTCCCTGATCCCTCACCCCCTCTTGCATCACTCCCTCTTTCAGTCACACATGACTAACATAGCTGTTCATGCCACTCTGTGCCTTTTTATGTCTTTACAACCTCATCTTGAAAATCATCTAAGAGACTCTGGACCATTTTCTGCAGTACCATAACAAGCTGAAAATCATGTTATGAGCCATAAGCCAAACTTTACGACCACTCACAGATAAAGCGACCAGTGTTGATCATGTCATAACAATGATGCATATGGGATATATAAGATGGCAAGCGAAAAATGGGCAAGTGTGAAGATTTTTACAAGGGCTAAATTGTGGCCAGGTGACTGGGTCAGAGCATCTCTGAAATGGCAAGGCTTGCGGGGTGCTCCCAAGGGGAGTGCAGTCAAGGTTAGAGAAAAATTTGTAGAGAGTAATTCATGCTATATTTATATAAATGTATTACTTCAACAGGTAAAACTACATACCTATAGTACTGTGCAAAAGTTAGAGACCACCTTGACATTTATTTCATTTCCAGAAAAAACAGCCATTAAGTACAGATTAATTTTTCAGCATCAGGAAATAAGCAGAAAACATTTATTTAACAGAAAATTAAACAGCAGCCTCAACAGCTAAATATAATAATATTTTTTCAGTATTTAATGTGTCCACCCTTTCTCTTCATTACAGCTTCCATTCTTTTCAGGAGACATGTTTTCAGATTTTTTTGAAAGAAATCTGCCAGGATGTTTTCCACATTTCCAAAGTTCAGTCTTAGAAGTTGGTTCCACTTTCTGTTTCTCATAGAGTTGAAGTTTGAGCTCCGGGGTGGATAGTACATTGTTTTGAGAACACCAGCAACCTCTTTATTTGGTAAGTACATCTTGATCTTCTCAGAAGTGTGCATGGGGTCGTTATCTTGCTGTTTAATTTGCTTTGACTTTCTTCTTCCTGTCCTTCCTGTCCTCAGACATATCTACTTTAGTTACTTTAGACGCACATAAAAGATATAATGATATTTTAAAGTTATTTAAGATGTGTAAGCTGTGTGTGTAAATGTTTTTTTTTTGAAGTGTTTTTTACTGTAATTACATTAAAGAGATATGTAATTCAATTTTAACTAGTAAAAATATAATTTTCACTAGTTAAAATTCAATTACAGGTTTCAATATTTCTTATTCTTTCTAGTCAGAATGATATTTTATGATTTTACTTTTTTTTCATTTTAGTTTCATTTTAGTTTCAGTTTTTTCAGTTTTCAGTTTTTTTTCAGTTTTTAAGTGATCATTATCTGATGATGTCAGTGACAATAACGTGGCGAAAGGGAGGGATCAACTTGCTTTTTTTGGTGTAGCTCCATACCACTGCTTCGAAGAAAGTGAAAGAGCATTATTCTTTCAGCATTTGATAGGCCTTCAATATGTGCATCTTGAATGATTGTGGAACATCCTCAGCCCAGATCAGAATGCAGAAGACCTTGGATACCAATTCTTCCATCTTCTCAGGTAAAAGCACCAGCAGACTATGTAAAACCAGTGCGCTTAGGGTAGAAGTATGTAGAGTATATGAGTATGAGGTCTTCATAGGTTCAAATTCTGTTTAGATTGCAATCTTGTAGTGATGGTAGCATATTCATCTTCCACACTGTGATGTTTTTTTCCGAGTGAAGCACACTTTGAGGAAGCTAGTTGAACTTTTTTGGTCAGTGATAAGTGGCGCTGGGGTGGTTGGAGTAGGACGTGAACAGTAATGTTATTATTGATATTATTTTACCCTACCAGCAGGTGCCCAATGTCGTAGCCAAAAATCAAAAGATGTTTTAGAGGCACACAAAACTCTTGTGATAGGAGATTACAGGAAAACAAGAACTGAGTCTTTGAACTGATATGATATAATAAATTATGTTTAATATGACCAGGCATAAGAGTGGAAGTGGACTCTTAGTGTAGCAAATAAAATAGGCAGCGCTGGCTGAAGGGATGAGCTGCGGTTCAAAACAGTTGGTCTAAAGTGCTTGGCTAAACTAAATGGTTATCAGTGCTGTTTGCATACTAATGCACACAAATTAGCTCAAATGTTTCTAGTTTTTTCTCCAGGTTTTAGCCTCCTGCCCACATAAACACAGAGCTTTAGGTCACTAAATTATGTATTAATATATATTTGCCGTTTTACGTGTGATGAGCTGCTTTAGGTCTCCATATCTGACATAGTTGATGATCTGTAATATCATTATTGCATTACATAATTATGGACTATCTTGGACTTGGATATGTTGTTTGTTTATTGTTTTTGCATCTTTCAGAATAGACATAATGGACCAAGTAATCGATTATGAAAATAGTCGTTAGCTGCTGCCCTACAAAGTATGTAAAAATATTTTATTCAGTCAAATGCAGAATGTTGACTCCTTTGACTGTTTTTGCAGTGTCATTTGTGCATGACTGTGTGTCACGTTGAACTCAAATCTCTTCCGCTTCATAAAAGAGGGGCATGCTCTTTTGCTAGTTTGCAAGTTTATTTTCCTTTGAGAGCTGCATAATGAAAAACCAGCATTATAACTGAAAGGACTGAGTCGGACACTTTTCACACTTTGTCCTGGCCTTGAAGTTAACAGAGTGCAACTGCTCAGATATGTCACAGACCCTGAGACAACACCCCCTCACGCTTGACGTGCCATCATACACATTCAGCCACACACTGGAACATATTGTGACACCACAGCATAATTCTGTTTCCCCGAGTCAAGTTTGAATAAAGCTGCATTATGGGCACAAACCTCTTGTGAGAACAATATTAACACAGCAGTCTCATGGTCATAACATGGGGTCATCAAAACAGGAAACAGTTATGTTTGTGTATGTCTGTGGGAGAGAGACAGTGCAAACATGTTCGTGAACAAAATGAACAGCATGAAAAGCATGGAAACTACAGTAGTGTTTCTTTTGAAATTTGCAATTTCTTCATGATACAGCCTTATATCTGGTTCTGTTACTATGATAAATGCACTTATATTACTCTCCAAAGTAACCCAACACTGACACCAGATTAACTCTCTAGCACTTCTCCTGGTACTCCACTTGATTATAGAAATATAAAAGAAATATGCCAGTATTTGCACCTGTAACTGTATTATTTGTACTATATGTACTACATCATAAGTGACCACAGAAAATTATTTTCCTGTATCTACAAAAGAACAGAAAACTCTCTGACTCATAATAAACTTCTGAGTGACCAGTGGCGTTTCTGTTTTTGTTTGTTATAAAGAGAACACTTTATTAGGCATCAACCACAGTACTGATATAGCTCATTGCATATATTATTCAATGTGTTTTATATTCAGTGGCAGAAATGCTAAAATATCTAAAAACAAGGCTAATAATTTAAGACCTACTTATTCCAGACATGCAGACTTGTGCACAGTGAAAAGGTGACAGATACAGAAGCCAGCCTTGCATTGGGGGTTCGGAGGCTTGGTCCATCAGGTGAAAATTTTAGTGATATTTAGTGTGAGAATTAAACATTCTGGTGTATTCTGAAATCAAAGTAAAGGTGCACAGTAGGTGATGAGGAATCATTTAGTTGATTGAGTTCAGCAGCAGTGAAGATACATATCAAAGATGCCTTAACTTTTGCCTTAACCTCAACAATTATCATAGAGTAAAAATTTGAAGACAGTCTGGACAGTCTACATAAAGCAATGTGTTCTACATCGATTTCAAACAAAAACGAAGTAGTAGCTGCTTGTCTTGGTTGAAAACAATGATAATGTAGTCTACAAATATTAACATTTTGGCACCACCATTTTAAAGCGATCACATAAAAATGAAACCAACTCATGTGTCTCTTGTGTCTAAATTACTATAACATCACTGACACCCTACAACGCAGATCTTCAGTCAGTCACTAAACATATATCCACCATATATCCATTACTATTGTGAGATTGTCACAGCAGATTATTTTTGGTAAGCTGTTTAAATAAGGATCTCTTATTCCATCCAAAAGACAACGAAAAAGGTCAGAACTAAGCAGCAAAGATAACTCCCTCTTCAGTGTATTCATCAGTTACAGCACTGCTTCAGAACATGAGAGTTTATCATAATAGCTTCGTCATCTTTGTAGCTTCAAGGACCGCTGCAACACTGCAATGGTTAGTCACAGGCCCACCCAATCAAACAGGGACCGAATGCATTTCTTACCAATAGCCATAAAATTCCATGCCACAGTAAACACAACCCACTCTGATTAAACCCACTCCCCAACGCAGAGTAACACAAACACATACCACGTAACTTTAACTGATGGACAACAACATAAACAATATTATTGTCCCTTTCTACATTGAGTGTGTACCTCCCATGAGCCTCTTCGCCTTCACATGGCCCTCTGCATGGCCACGTCTCCCAAGCTTCTCACAGCCACATGCAGCCAGTAGCGGAATGCTACAGTGTTCTATTGATTTAGTACAAATTCTCCTTGGAGCAACATGGATGATATTTAGTGTATTTTTTCTGTATATTTGTTAATAGGACCAAAGTAAAGTCTTTTAGGTCTTTTTAAGGTCTTTTAGTTTATCCAGCACATAAGGTCAAAAGTCCTCTGTGACATGAGAAAGGCAAAACAGTACACACATACCCTGTCACTCCTCCAGTGTTCTGGGTCCCTGGCCTGCTGATCGCCAGCTCCTCCCTGCACGTCAGCCTCATTGCTCACACATATGCCTCTTCATGGACTCATGACCCGCCACACATTTATAGCCTTGCTTCTCTCGGTGCCCTTTGTGAAATATCTCTAGTAGAATGTCTAAGCCTTATTAACTGTTTATCTGCCTTTTGTGTATTGACTTACAGCTTCTTTGTTTAGTTGAGTTTGGCCAAATTTTACCTTTTTGCCCATTCACTTAGCTCTGAGAATGGATCTGCATTATCCCATTTGTCTGAATTTTTTATTTCATGTCATGCTCCAGTGGTCTCATCTAGATAATCTTCAGTAGAGAAGCTCTTTGTAAGTAGCAAATTATTAACAACAATGCATTTAAAGATTTGCAGACTCCAGACTTGCTTGATTAACCCCTTAAATCTGAGGTTTAATCTTATGATTTATTGTTCAATATTTGTAAAATACTATGAAACTGATGTGTAGTTTCTTTGTAAATTAAGTAGGTATGAGCATGAGGAACTGGGTGTGGGCCCCTGTATTCCATTGAATTGGTTCAAAGTCAGAGTTGAAAACACATTTCAGCATTTGAACTAACCTGGACAGCGTGACCAGTCCATCCACACCTACATAGAAAGGAATATTACAGTAGGGTTTCACTGCATAAACCCCTCAGCAGAAAGACAAATGCACATATAGACTAAAATCATTTTGCTTTGAAAAACCTTATGCATAACTTACATTTTTTTTTTTTAAATAAATGATAGAACATTCCATTTTGTCACTACCAATACACTAATAGCACC